CAGGCTCATCCCTAAGCTGCATGAGGCTAGGGCCTCCCTGGTGGTTGTAGAGGGTTAAGTCTCAGAGCTAACACCTCTGTGGCCTGATTTCCATCTCCAGCCAGGGAGCTAACCCACATATGGCACAGCAGACTGTGGAACAAGGCATAAGTATTCTTAATCATTGCTTTGTCATTTTGTGTGTAACTGCCATTTTAGAATTTTAGGTTTTGCTGTCCCAGGAATGACAACTGCATTCCAGAGATAGTTTCGACAGTTTCGACCCTCACTCCACCCTCGCCCTCTGGTCACCAATGAGGGCGAACTTGCCATAATTGGAGCTGCATCTCGGCCGGGCCAGTCAGCTTAGAATTATAGCCCGGCAAAGTTGAAGAACACATCCTTGTAGCCAATGAGTAACTGCCAGCATGATTTAACTCTATAAAAAAACCCTGCTTCCTTTGTTCGGGGCTCTCAATATCTGCCGTTGTGATGGTAGGTGCCATGAGCCCGGACTCGAGTCTGTAATAAACTCCCTTTTGTGTTTGCATCAGCTGTCTTTGGGTTCTTGGAGGCTATGCTCGCCGAGTCTGCTGATCTTGGGCACAACGAGACCTCTCTTGTCTCGCCCACTGTATTTCAGTATATCTGCCTTTTCTGCTCCCTACTGTGTCTGGTGAATCTTATTGATGATTACTTCTCTGGTCTATACCTCAGTTCTTCTATGCATAAATCTTTAGGAAAAAAATGTATGAGGCTGACCCAATGCAACATAATAAATGCTCTGAAACCTGAACTGATATCAGAGCCACCTCATAAAATTAGGAAGAATTAGTTCAGTATAATCAGGATGATTGCCTGCTTTAAAAAAAGTTTCAAAAGATTTTAATGTTTCATGTCATTATATTCAAACTATCCCAAAATACAATCCAAAATTACTTGGAATACTAAAAATTCAAATCCAAACAAGGTAGATGAAGTTGGGAGAACATAGGAAAAACAGAAGTGACAAATAGAAAACAAAATCTAAGACATAACCCAACAATATCAAAATAATACTAGGTGTAAGTGTACTCAGATTTGTATTTTTTAAAGCAAGACAAAATATATGTTGTGTATAAGAAACCTACTTTAAACAGAACAGATAACAAGAATTAAGATAAACCATGCAAATATTTTTTGAAAAAAGAAAAATTATATAAAGGAGTTAACCCACCAAGAAGACAAAACAATCTTAAAATTGTATGTATCTTCTAGTGGACAGACTTTAAGGTGATCCACATGATTCACATGTCCTGGCATTTGCACATTGCGTAAATCCATACCTTCAGGAGGGATTGGAACTGTTACTTGCTACTAAACAATAGAATATAGCTAGTTCCCTAGTTATGTTACATATGTGACAATGATCATCCCCATGATTATGTTACATTATGACTCCATCTTGCTAGTACATTTGCTCTGTAGTTTTCCATTCACCTCTTGCCATTTCTGAAGAAGCCATTTGCTATGAATCCTTGAATCCTACAGCTGCAATGAATTAGCCCAACAACCCGAGTGATTTGGAGTGCCTCCTTCCTCAATATAAAAAGTTTCAGATGACAACCTAGCTAGCGCCAGCCAACACCTTCATTCCCTGCTCATACTGAGAAGACTAAACCAGGCCAAGACCAGACTCCTAATCCACTAAAACTGAAACAATGTGTGTTTTAAACCACTAAGTTTTGGGACCTCCCTGGTTGTGCAGGCAGTTGAGCCCAGCGCTGTGAAGCTGCGTACACCCTAGCTCTGCATACATAAATCTTTAAAAAAAAAAAAAAAAAAAAGCTTGATTTACTTATACAAGAACCCGGGTACAGGCCAGATGTGCAGGAGGGTGAGAGGATTCACCAGAGACAGAGTGGGGAACAGAACAGGCAGACTGACAAAATACACTGCTGAGAGGAGCAGCAGGGAGACAGGAGAGGTCTGCTGTGCCACTGGGTTTCTCCCCAGCTGGCCGGGATCCAACCCGTGCTGCAGAGTCTGCAGACAGCTTCACAGTGCTGCGCTCAACTGCCTGCGCCACCGGGGAGGCCCCATAAATAAATCTTTTTAGGGCCTCCCCGGTGGCGCAGCAGTTGAGCGCTAGGTTGTGAAGCTACCCGCAGTCTCTGCGGTGCCAGTTCGATCCCCGGCCTCTCCCCGGCCACAGGAGGAGGGTCCCACATGGCGCGCAGACCTCTCCTACCGCCCGCTGCTCCCCTCAGCAGTGTACCTCGGTCCTTCTGCCTGCTCTGCTCCCCGCTCTGGCTCTGGTGAATTCTCTCACCCTCCCGCGCTTCTGACTGTACCCAGTGCATGCATAAACAAAAAGCAAACAAACAAACAAATATATATACATATATATGTATATATATATAAAATGTGGAACATTCACAAAGACCATATTCTGAATCAAACAAGTTTATGAGAATAAAAATCATATAAATAACCATCCTGACCATGATAATGTCAGTCTGTAGTACACAGTTCAGTACTGTTTAGAGGAAACAACAATAAATGTTTGCATTGGAAAAGAAAAATGGTTTTAAACAAGAAAGATTAAACCTTAACTAGGGAAAAAAAGCAAAGCAAGCAGAAATCAATACAACTGAAAAAAATCAATGAAATTAATAGCTGGTTCTTTGAAAAGATCTAATGATAAATTAGTTGCCAAGTTGACCAATAAATAAAACACAAATCATCAATATTGGGAATAAAGAAGGAACATCCCTATAGACTACTTGTCAATAAATTTAAAGACTTAGAAAAAAACAATTCCTTGAAAAACAATACCAAAGTTAACTCAAAATAGATGATTTGTCCGATATCTACATCATTAAAGAAATTGAGGGGCTCCTTGGTGGCGCAAGGAGTTAAGCACAACCTATGAAGCTATCTGCAGCAACTGCAACATGAGTTTGATCCCGGGCCAGGGAGCTATCGACATGGCGCTGCAGACCTCTCCTGACTCGCTGCTCCCCTCAGCAGTGTATTTCAGTTGATCTGCCTGTTCTGTTCGCCACTCTGTCTCTGGTGAATTCTCTCACCCCCAGCACCTCTGGCCTGTATCCCAGTTCTTGTATGCATAAAATAAATAAATCTTCAAAGAAAAAAAGAAAGAAAAAAGAAATTGAATTCATTGTCAAAAGCTTTCCACCAGAGAAACCTTGAAGTCTATTCAGCATTTAAGGATGAAAAAATTCCAGTTTTATACATATTTTTCAAATATATACAGGAATTCTTTCTATCTGATATTTTGATACTAGAATTATATAAATGACCCAAATTAGACAAAACAATTTTTAAAAAACTACAAATCAGGGCCTCCCCTGGTGGCGCAGCAGTTGAGCGCTGTGCTGTGAAGCTGCCTGTAGCCTCTGCAGCGCCGCTTTGATCCCCGACCACTGGCGAGGGTCCCACATGGTGTGACAGACCTCTCCAGCTGCACCTGCTGCTCCCCTCAGCAGTGTATTTAGTCACTCTGCCTGTTCTGTTCCCCGCTCTGACTCTGGAGAATTCTCTCACCCTCCCATGATTCTGACTGTACCCAGTGCTTGTATAAATAAATAAATAAATCTTTAAAAAAAAAAAAAAAAAACTACAGCTCAATTTCCCTCATAAAAATTCTTAAAGTATTAGCAAATCAAATCCTGTGATAAAAGATTATACATTATGACCAAGGCTGGTTCAAAAGTACAACATCAATGTGATTCACCATGTTAGTCAAATAAAAGGAAAAATATTTCAATAGCTGCATAAACATTTGACAAAATTAAAATCCATTCATGATTAAAAAAACACAAGCAAAATTTACCATGTGGCCAAGCAGGAATTAAAGAGAAATTAATCTGATAAAGAACATTTTTTTTTTTTTTTTTTTTTAAGGATAAGATTTTTTTTTTTTTTTTTTTTTTTAAGATTTATTTTTATTTATACAAGCACTGGGTACAGTCAGAAGCGCGGGAGGGTGAGAGAATTCACCAGAGCCAGAGCGGGGAGCAGAGCAGGCAGAAGGATCGAAGTACACTGCTGAGGGGAGCAGCGGGCGGCAGGAGAGGTCTGCGCGCCATGCGGGACCCTCCTCCGGTGGCCGGGGAGCAGCCGGGGATCGAACCGGCACCGCAGAGGCTGCGGGCAGCTTTGCAACCCAGCGCTCAACCGTTGCGCCACCGGGGAGGCCCTAAAGAACATTTTTTAAAAAGCCAACATCATACTTACATGAAAGAAGGAATTTTCCATTTTTTCTTTAAAACTGGGAACAAGGCAAGGATGTCTACTTTCTATGTTTCTATATGTCTATATTCTGGACATTCCAGTGAGTACAATAAGAAGAAAAATAAGTGGGACTTCTACATAGAAAATTCTAAGGAATGTATCAAAAAAGAAATTTTAGAAATGAGTTAAGGTCACTGAGAATACAAGATCAACATTCAAAAATTATATATATTTTTTTAATATTTATTTTTATTTATTTATTTATACAAGCACTGGGTACAGTCAGAAGCGCAGGAGGGTGAGAATATTCACCAGAGCCAGAGCGGGGAGCAGAGCAGGCAGAAGGACAGAAGTACACTGCTGGGGGGAGCAGCGGGCGGCAGGAGAGGTCTGCGAGCCATGTGGGACCCTCCTCTAGTGGCTGTGGAGCAGCCGGGGATCGAACCGGCACTATGGAGGCTGCGGGCAGCTTCGCAACCCAGCGCTCAACCACTGCGCCACTGGGGAGGCCCCCAAAAATTGTATTTCTGATTACTACCAATGAACAATTAGAATTCAGAATTTTAAAAATGATCATTTACAATAACAGCCAAAAATTAAATACTTTGATCTTAATCTAAACAAATTATACGCAGAATTTGTATGTTGCAAACTATACACATTGTAAAATATCAGAGCAACCTAAATAAATGAAGAAATACATTTCACTCTTCAGTGTTGTCATGATGTTAGTTCTCCCTGAACTGATGTACAGATTCAACAAAATTCAAATCAAAGCCCAGAGGATTTTTCTATAGACAGTAATAAATTGATTCTAAAGCTTACTGAAAGACAAATTAGACTAGCCAATACAATTTTGAAAAGAACAAAGTTACACTCATACCTCCTGATTTCAATTACTATAAAGCTTACTTACACAATTACTATGTAAGTAATTGTTACATACACACTTATGATCCTGCAATCCATTCCTAGATGTTTTACACAAATGAAATGAAAACTATGTTCACACAAAACTCTGAATATTTTTATAGCTTAATTTATAATTTCCAAAAACTGGAAACAATCCTAATAGATCAAAATTGGTCAATGAAAAAGCAAACTTCTACCTCAATAGAGTGAAATGCTACTCAACAGTAAAATAGAGCAAGCTAGTAACACAACATGTATGTGGATTTAGACATGATGAGTGAAGCAAACCAGTCTCATTTCAGACAGGTGTCACACTGTGATTCCATTCATAAGGCACTTTGAGAAAGGCGAAACTATATGGATTGTGAATGAGTCAAGAGTTGTCTACAAAGGAAGAAAATGGGGCATTTTTTTTGAGGCACTAGAACTTTATCGATTGTGGTGGCGATTATCAAAACTCAGGACTATATGAAAAAAAGTGAATTTTATTGTATATAAATTTTTAAAAATGTAAAGAAAGACAACTTCTATACAGAACATATATCACACTTGGAATTATTTATTCACTTCACAGTTTCTCCTATACTAAAAGCTCCTAGTAAACCATAATTTATTCTCAATATTAAGAATGTGCAGCCCAAGAAGATGAAGCTACACTTCTACCCTTACTGCTCTGAGATCTCTGAGAGAGCCTGGGCTAACCTCAAGGGTGAAAGACCATAAGAAGAGAGTGAATGGTTTAGCCAGCCCCAGCTGACTATCTGCACCCTATGTGTGAATGAGGCCTACTTTAACCAGCCAGCCCTAGTCAATCCACGCAAGTGACACCACATGAGACCAGGTGAACTGACTGAATCCAAACCAAATTGCTTATATAGAGAATCATAGGCAAACAAAATGATTGATGATTTAACCACCATCTCTGGTGGGCTGTTAACAGCATTAGAGAACTGGCACAATATGATCCATGAGGAGGTACATTACAGTCAGTTCGCAATCCCTCTCCCAATTTTTTATTTTACTTTAGAGACGTTACAGGAAATCCTTTGGTCACTGAAAAGAAAGGAAAAAAAGCTTGTATTAACATAACATAAATAGCATAAATTAAGTGGTGTTTTTCTACATTAAAGCCCAGGTGATACAGTTGATGGTCACTGTAGGGTAAGGTAAAAAGTATTAGGCTTTTCTGCCCTCCCACCATTAGGATAGATGACAGAACCCTGCAGTCCTGAATGCATGCCTGATGGCGGGCACCTGGAGTAGGGTGTGGGCCTATGTAGATGGGATTCACCTGGGCTAAGACTGGGCTTTTAAGGGCGGCATCACGGGGACGCCAGCAGAAGCCGAGAAAAAGAAGCAGAGGAGCAGAGAAGGCGAGAGAGAAGCAGAGCCATGAGAAGAGCAGAGAGAAGGTGAGAGAAGGCCGGAGAGCCCAGTCAGAGTGAAGACTTGCTGGGGGCTGGGAGGCCTGCCAGCCTCCCGGCCCCCCAGCACCCCTGCCTGCCGTGTACCTGGTAAATCCCAATAAAAGCCTGAAAACCCACCGAGGTCCCCAGAACTCTGACGACTCCTTTACCTGGTCTGCTGGATCAGAAAACCTGCTCTGTGGGGCCTCCCCTGGTGGCACAGCGGTTGAGCGCTGGGCTGGGAGGTTGCCCGCAGCCTCTGCAGCGTAGGTTCATTCCCCGGCTGCCAGCAAGAGTCCCACAAAAAAAAGAAAACCCGCTCTGTGTCTTTCCTGTCCTTTACAGTCATATCTACAGTAACATGTTCATCCCTTATGGTTGTATTTTAAGAGAAGGGAGTAGGACAGAAGGAACCAACAATTTAGATCACTGAGAGAGGGCAGGAAAGAGACAGACCAAGGGGAGACATTGTAGCTATATGATGGGTTTTTAAAACTCTTGTTTCAGACAATGATAAACCAGAGACCTCCTGCAGGGGAGGGGGAGGGAGCAGAAGGAGGGAGGGAAGAGCACAGGGGACTGAGGTGATGGTGCACGGGTGCATTGGTGAAGGAAACCATGGGGACTACACCTGAGGGGGTAGGGGAAGCAAATACTATTTAAAAATGAACAATGATGTAAAAAAATTAAAATAAAGACAGAATAAAAAATAAAAACTATGTTGTTTCAAAGTCAGAAATTGGATCAATATGTAGACATTAAGCGGAGGAATGTCACATCAACATTAAGAAAGATGTCTTTACTGTGAAAATTGACCAAAAGTAAAAGTAAACTGCCTCAAAATCAAATCTAGGAAATTTCCAAACAGCTGTATCATCACCCTTAGAGATGTGTCCTGTACCAAATACAGAGGTGATGCCTACATAGAATAAGACACTATACTAGATAATTTTCTAAAGTTCCTTTAATCTGAAGTTTGTTGTTTTTTTAGCTATTTGGCATCACAATATTCATAGCCACATTTTAAGACTTGTACTTTTAAACTTGCTGTCCTTTTAATTAAACCTTCCAGATATGCCCTGATGCATGTAGCCAAACAAAATTGTTTCCCCTCATAATCTCTAGGAACAGGAATTTGTTTTGATAACTGAATGCAAATAAACGGGATATATTTTATCTCTCCTGCTCATAGCTTATCAAGTGACCACTTGTACCAAAAATTGTTTCAAAGGCCAGAGGGAAACTATCACACCCAGCCTGCCCTAATCAGCCAAAAACTGGACAGAACAGTATTATAATCATGTGAGCTGTGCTCTCTGCTTGGTTTAGTTATCTGCTATTATTGTTTTATTTTTTAAAGATTTATTTATTTACTTATACAAGCACTGGGTATAGTCAGAAGCGTGGGAGGGTGAGAGGATTCACCAGAGACAGAGCGGGGAACAGAACAGGCAGACTGATGAGATACACTGCTGAGGGGAGCAGCGGGCGAGAGGAGACGTCTGCTTCGCCACGTAGGACCCTCGCAGGCCGGCTGGGATCGAACTGGCACTGCAGAGGCTGCGGGCAGCTTCACAGCCCAGCGCTAAACCGCTGTGCCCTGGGGGAGGCCCTGCTATTACTGTTTTAAAATCCTTAATTCTTTATGAACAAGAGGCCTCACAAATTCTATAATTGAGTTGACTAAAATCTTTACAGCTCCCCACCACCCAGTGACTCATTGTTTTGCTTTGCTTGTACTCTGAATTCTGCATTTATATGCCATAAACCCTCTCACTCAAGTCACTTATGGCCCAATAGCCAATTCTCAAATTCTCTCTTTAATCCTCACCCACTTTAATCTGTCTGGGGCATCCAACATTTTGATAGACTATACCTTAAAATTACCTGCTTGGATTCTATGACTACCATTATGGTTTTCTTACTTGAACTTGGTTGATAAAATCATGTAGAATGATAGAATGGAATTAATAATCACAATACATGCCTCCAGGTTCTTCACCCTCTAGAAAAAGCCCATATACTCTATTGGCCAGGATATACTGGTATTCCTTATTTTCAAAGTGACAAAATGATTTCCAAATGGATAAATCTAAAGAATGAGCTACTGTCCTACCTGGTCGACATTACAAATGATATTCAAGGTTTTGTGGATTTTTTAGACATTTTGTTTTGTTTTGCTTTCCTGGCTATAACAATGAAATGAAGAACATACCATGGGTTTCATCATTTGAATATATAAATGGTCGTAAATTTCCTCGTGTCTCCTTCACAAAATAATCAATGACGCTGAAAAGATTTGGGAGTGTAACCTGTAAAAAGAAAGTGTAAGAAGGCTCAGTGTCACCTGCATAAAAACAGAATAAGAGAAAGTTCAATTAAAATTTAATGGCTGCAACTGTGTATTTCCTGAGCTCCAGAAAATCATCTCAGTATCTCACTTTGAGGATTTACTGAAGAGATGACACTTTACCTGCCCATGCATTTTATTTCTCCTTTGTAACCTTATCTGATTTCCTGTTGAGGAATTCCCTTTTCCTAATGGATACATTTTGGCATACAATAATTAGGTATCCTGTTCTTCCCCAAATGCTGCACGAGAATGTGACTCAAATTAGGCCAGAAAATGATCCATTGAATTTGACAATCAGAAACAAGGAAGGATAGCAACTTCCTAATAAGATTGTTCTTGTTGCAGTTACAGGTATCCCTGGCTTTTTAAAGCTTCCATTTTCTCATTTCACTTTTATGAAAGACTTACATTTGTACCTGTTTGTAGGGTAAATGAAGATTGCTCAGGCTTTTGCACCTTTTTTTTGTGCCGTTCATTGGCCTCTGTGGCTATCACCTGTGGCCTTGAATGCAGGAGGCGCTTGGCAACGTGGGCCGGGGTAAACATGCCTGATGGTGGACAGCTGGAGTTTGATGCGTGCATGCATGAGTGGGCACACCTGAGCGGAGAGACTGAGCATATAAGGGCAGTGTCACAGAGGTCAGGGTGTGGGAGAGGACTGTGTGGTACAGTGTGGCAGAGAGTGGTAGAGAACGCCAGAGCGCCCAGAAAGAGTGAAGATTCCCCTGGGGCTAGGAGATCTGCCAGCCTCCTGGCCCCCTGACCCCCCTGCCTGCCCTGCATCTGGTTGCCTCACTACAGATGGTGTAGAAAGATCATTAAAAGTCTGAAAAAGCCACTGAGGGCTCCAGGACTCTGCTTTACCCATCTTCCCGGATCTATACAGAACCTGCCATGGTGCCTTCTTGCTACTACAGATGGCATGAGTCGGCAGGATCCAATGCAGACAGGTATGCAGACAGGTCTCCAAAGACCTCGGGAGGGACTGAGGGGTGGTTGGCCTCCTCTCTGTGGGCGCCTCTGGAGCCCCCGGTGTAGGTGGACAGGACTCTGCGCACAGTGGGAAGGCACTGGGTGGACCTGGTGCCTGCTCAGAGTCAGGGCAGTGGTTGAGTGTTCCCTCACTGCTCTGCAAATGGAGTCAAGGACAATGCTGGAGGCTCCATGGCAGCACAGGCAGTGACCAAAGTCCAGGAGATCAGAGAGGAGTAAAAGATCCTGCAGGAGCATGGAGGTGGTCAAGGACTGGGAGCTGCAGGACAAGACCTCATGTGGAGGAGGAGATGGCCTGAGAGGACCAGCGCACGACCCCTGAAGCAGCAGACTCACCAGGGGTGAAAGAGGACCACAATTCATTATTCAGAGCTCACCCAGTGCTGACACAGGGAAAAAAGTTGATGGACTAACAACCCCGCCAGAAGGCTGGGGAACTCTGGCAGAACGATATTGTGACTATGGGGCTCTGGGGATGGATGGCATCATTTGTACACCCCAGGAGACCAGGAGATGAAAATCAGGGGGTGGCTTAAAACAGCCTTGTGTGAAGTAAAAACCTGAAAAAAACACTGAGAGCTCCAGGATTCTCCTTTGCCCTAGTTGCTAGCACTACACTGTTTCACTATTCGAAAGAAATTTGAAGAGGATTTTTGTTTTCATAACAAAAGGCAAAAAGCAAAATTAGCCATTTAGCATTTGTGCTGAAACAGTCATTCTAGAGGCAGTGTACACCCCAAGCAGTAAGAGTGGAGGCATCAAGCTCCTTCCCTGGGAACTACTCATACCAGCTGTGTATGTATTGTTTGCATTTTTCCTCTATGTTGGTGTTATTTTAGGTTTATGTGTTATTTAGTATGATTTGGCAGATTATTGGAAAATTTTTCCATGTAAATTAATTGTAAGCGCTTCTTTGTTATACATTATTTTGTTTTACAAAGGTTTCACCAAAACACTATTTTCAGATAGTGAAGGAAACCTGTAACTTCTTCCTAATCCCTGAATATTTTTCAGCCTTCCAGTCACTCTCTGCTTCTTTTATTATTAAAATAAATGCATTATTATTTAAGTTGCAATAGTTTGTTTTGCCAACTGGAAGCCAAAGAATCCTTAAAACCAGAGAATTTAGCATGTTAATATCTCATCATAACAGCATAATTTACTTGGTAAGGAGTAACTGAAATGTATTGCTACCCCTTCCAAGCCAGTGTTTTCATACAGGCAGCATTCAGGTTAAACCTGAATATCCCAGGTAAACTTGAAGAGGAAAAAGAATACACAGAAAAAGACAACCTGACTGAGGAAGAAGGTTGGGAGTAAGAAAGGTGAAAGAACATTCCTTTTACTGTGGACCATTGGCTAATGACAGGTCAATGAATCTCATTTCACCAGTTTCAGAGGCACGTTGTTCTTCCCTGACCATTTTTTTTTCTATTCATTTGGTTATTTGGATTGTCATTCAGCAATCTTTTTTCTATTTCCTTCATTGGAATTTTTGAAATAGTCCAGTCAGACATGGACATGAGAACAGAGATTGCTCTTGATCAAGTTTACCATTGCATACTAGCGCTTATTGTCAAACATAAGAAATGCAATTCTCCTGTTCCTTTTTCTATTTGATCAACACAGTGGGCCTGGTGAGACACAGGAACTAGGAACTCAACCTGGAGAGCTATCAATATCCTCAAAATCCATAGATTTCATTCAGTGTGATCACTTTCTCAGCATAATCTTACCACCATGCAGCCTAAAATCAGAGAATTAGATTCCTTTTTTCACCATCCTGTAACACAGATCACACTGTTATATTTTTATTAAGACCAGTGTAAATACCAGTTTTTCCACCTGCTTAACGGGCATTATCTTGGGGTAGTGATAAAGATTAAGTAGATGGTGCATGTAAAGCACTTAGCTCTGTGCCTAATACAGTATCAAGTGGTCTTAACGTTATAGCATTAGCTTCAGAAGTCAGCTGGGGTAGGAGAGGGGCTGCAGACAAGAAAGAAACCCTCTCCACATTAATTTGCTATTAAGAGAAGATTTCTGCATGGCAAGAGGAACTTCTGCATGATCACTATTAGAGAACTAGAGATTTTTCTTTTCAATTAGAAATAAACACATTGAAATACTTACATTAAGCAGGATGCTTAATGAAAATATTTTTTTTTCTCCCTGAAACAACTATATTGATAAAATTTGCAGAGAAAAAAGAGCATTTTTAGCAAATTATCTTTTACTATGTCCCATCCACCAGCTCTTACAACTAACTTCTCACCCTGTGTATCTGCCACTTTGGGGGCTCCTTAACATTGGTGGTTTTCATCATACTAGGTTCCTACCCAAGAAATCTGCTTGCCCACCTGTCTATATTCTTTAAGGTAGGTTTGGGAAGAAGCAGAAAAAAGTTCAACAACAAATAGCTACTCACAGGTTTTTCCAGTTCAATAGTGTAGTTGTTTCCTACACTTATCACTTTGTAGTGCTTGATTCTTGGCATACTAAAATAAAAAAAAAAAGGTTAATCTCCATTGGATTATGTGATTGGGTCAAATCAAACTATAGTGAGTATAAATATCATCTGTAGAACAAACCTATGTCCCCATCCTTGTAGTCTGGCAAAAAGAAAATGATAGTGGTTTTTGTTTTTCCATTTGTCTCTTTCTCTATGTCTCTTTGGGTGAGGAGGTTATAAAACAAGGATATAAGAAAACTGTCATGGGGTAGGTCACCACAGAGTGGAAAAAAGGAATCAAGAACCGAAACTCTTGCAGACACTTTTTTAATGCTAGCAATTAACTAAGTAGAAATTTTAAAATTCTGTGTAGGCATACAAATCATATATATATATATATATATATATATATATATACCATATTAAAAGAGAAGTGGAAAGAATTATGGAAAGTAAATTATTCCCTACATCACTTCATCACCATTCCAATAAGAAAGCCCTCAATTATGGTTTTCCCCACTACCTCATATACCACCTTGAATATTTGCTACTATCAGAGCTAACTTAGGGATGTGGAAATATAGGTATTAGATACTGTATTAACACATAAGTGGGACTATAAGTACAGTAGATACATCAATGCCCTTCTATAATCACATTCTACTTAAATTTATTATCATTTAAAACACATTTTTATTGACTATGAACTGCTTTAGGACAAGAAGCACATTATTTACATTTATGTCCTAGCATTAGACAACAGTAACTATAAAACTGAATCGTAGTGTTATTTGCTAGAAATAATTTATACTATGAGCATAAATCAAGGTTCATGCCAGTTAATTTTGAAAAACAGTAGGTCTGCCTTGAATTCCCTTGATTCATATAGCAGCAGTGCTAGGAACAAGATATTTTCTAATATTGAAGCATTAACAGTAGTTATTATACTTCCACCTGCTTGAAAGACAAACTAATTCAACAGAATTAGCTGTTTAAAGCAAAATTGTCTATCACATTAAACTTGTCTAAAGAGACTTTTTCATCTCTGCTCTTTCCATTTCCGTGTCACATTCCTCTAGAACTGAATCATACTTCGAATCAAGAGACTCTTATCTACTAGTATATTCAAATCTACCCTCATTTGGATAACATATTATCCAATTATCATAGTAAATGGAAAACAGTTAATAGTTCCAATGACTCATTGCAGAGCTTTACTTTAAAATCACAGGATAAAAAAATAAAAAAAAAAAAAAAAAAAATAAAATCACAGGATAAAACATAAAACTTTTCCCTCCTAAAAAAAAAATTTTAGGACCTCCCTGGTGGCGCAGCGGTTGAGCGCTGGGCTGCGAAGCTGCCCGCAGCCTCTGCACCGCTGGTTCGATCCCTGGCTGTTCCCGGCCACCAGAGGAGGGTCCCACATGGCGCGCAGATCTCTCCTGCCGCCCTCTGCTCCCCTCAGCAGTGTACTTCGGTCCTTCTGCCTGCTCTGCTCCCCGCTCTGGGTCTGGTGAATTCTCTGACCCTCCCGCGCTTCTGACTGTACCCAGTGCATGTATAAATAAATCTTTAAAAAAAAAAAAAAAAAGTATTTTTAAATTCTGAACCTTCAGAAATAAGCCACAGACTCTGAAGGAAACATTTTTGAACAGCGGAGTTCTTACCAGCACCCTTCCTTTGGGGTAGTTGCCGCTGTGTTTATCTTTACCCCTACCATAAAAAAGACCTTTATAAGCAACACAGTTCCTTCTGAAAACTTGCCAATTCTGGTTAGGATGCCTTATGAGATGTGATTGCTATTCCTTGGAAGATTGATGGGAAAGCCTGAAATGTATGATCTTTATAACCAAAAATATCTTGGTTCTGATTCTGTTCTGTAAAACCTCTGAGCTTTCATTTCTTCAACTATGTAAAATGGAGATGGTAATACTTTTCCTCCCAGACCTGTAATGAATTAATGCTTGAAAAATCCTTAGTTCGATGTTTGACACATTTAAATATTAAATTATAACTATTCAAAAAATATTTTTAAATGTATTTTAACTTAGTAGTTTGTGTTAGTCTCAGCTTCTTCATTTGTAAAACAGAAAATACTATCTCAGTTTTTACTGTGTCTAAAAGAAGTATTTGTCAAACATTCAATAGTATCCACAAACGATAGCCTAAAAGTGGTGACAATAATAGTTGTGGTTAGTAATTGTCATATCATCAATATCATTCATTCATAGAAAATCTGTGGGAGGAAAGCAGCAAGATTAATAGGGTCTCTAGGAACTTTTGACTAACAGAACTAAATTCTGAAGCAGAAATTAAGGTAGAAAAAATTCCATTGTAGTCACATAGGCTGACTCTCATTTTTGACCTTTGTTTTTCTTTCATATTTTGTTTTGTTTTTCCAAAGGAGTAGAGAGGGAGGAAAATGTGATTGATAAAATTGCTATGTTGAGGTTTCCTGATTATGACCTCAAAAAGAATTAACACATTCTTTAAAAAAAAAAATGTGACTTTAAATGTGGTTGTAAGAACTTTTCCTTAGCTTTTGAGCCAGATTTTTTGCAAAGGTATTAGTTTTGAGTAAATATGTTCTACTGCTTCCTTGGCTAATGGCCTTCCAAAGTGTTTACACTACTAGCTTGCCATGTAGTCATAACAATTTAAAAAAACCAAGCCAAACTATGAAGTTTGTTGTATGAATGGCTTTACATATTATGAATTCACATACTTCTGGGCTGGGTAAAGGTGGTTGATACTTTATATCAAGAGAAGTCACCTGACAGTTTGGCACAAAGTGAATTTTGCTTCTTCCTCAGAGCTATAATTGTCCCTCCCATAGCTGATTTGTTAACAGATGGAGATAATTTTACTTTCAAGTACTGCTTTGTAAACCAACTTGTCCTTTTCAGCTAGTGTTTTACCAGACACAATCATCTCACTTGCATGACTGAACATTTCTCCTACAACCTGTAAGATAATGAGTTGATTTTGTGGATAACACAGGTGATCCTAACAGTCTAGACTTTTGCCAAAGTCCTTACACTAAGCTCTACAGTCTGACAAGCCAAAATTCTAATACCCTATACAATTTCTACCCTTTAAAATTAGTGATTTGCAGAAGACATTAAATTCAGGCATTCTATTAATGAAAGATCTGTCTAGCGGCATTAGGAAACACCTGTGACAATCCTCAACATCAAATTATACTTGACTCATAAGAAAAAAAATTGTGCAATAACAATTCAAATTTGTCTTAGCCACTTCCATGTATAAACTATTTCCCAACGCCCAAATGAGTTCTGACTTAACGATTGATTCCATTACTAGAATGCTCTAGTTTGACCATATGAAATTTTTTCTTTTGGGAGTGGTGATAAGTTTTATGAAATGTTATAGGTATGTAAAATCATGTTATAATAAACTATTAAAAAGTGGAAGCATAAATTTGTGCATGAATTCAAACTGGAAGTGAGTTTACTAAAATTAGAATTACTTAACTTTGATATGAATTTCTTTATCAGATTCCTTCTTATAAGTTTAAATATAGCTTAAATACAATGCAAATATAAGTAAAAACTGTAACACTAAATTTATATCTTAAGTATAGAAATTGATTGCACTCGATCACAAACCACATCTGTGGCAAAAAATGCTGTTATTTCTCATAGCTCATTAGTATGGAAAATACAGTGCAAAAGCTGGGCTAGTTTAAAACAACCTGAAAGAGACCATGCTGTTGCTGTGCAGAAAAATGCAACCTTTAGAGAACCATTATGTTTGGGATTTTGTTCATTTCACGCAGAATAGTAATATATGGATTCATATGCAAATGGATCTAATACTCAAGTCAACCAAGAAAAGAAAAATATGAGGAAAAAGAGTAAATGTTCATGTGTGATCTAATTTTGCTTTCAAGCAGTTTTATTGTTTCTATTTAAAAAATCTGGGAGATATATTTTAATAAAAGGAGATTTCCATTTTCAGGGTTTAGGAAATTGATTATGACTTAAAATTTAGAATATCTTATTTAAAAATTAAAGCAAACATTTAAAGTCATTCTAAATTTTAAGTCATATTCAATTTCTTAAACCCTGAAAATGGATAAGCTCCTTGAATGTTATATACAGACCAGAAATCCATTTTCTCCTAGGAGATCTCACTGACAATTAAGAGTCATAACTTTTATTTCTTTTGAATTTGTTAAAGATAGTCAATTAAGTTAAAAAATCAAATCACGGGCCTCCCCGGTGGCGCAGCGGTTGAGTGCTGGGCTGCGAAGCTGCCTGCAGCCTCTGCAGCGCCGGTTCGATCCCCGGCCACCAGCGAGGGTCCCACATGGCGCGCAGACCTCTCCTGCCGTGCCCACTGCTCCCCTCAGCAGTGTACTTCGGTCCTTCTGCCTGTTCTGCTCCCTGCTCTGGCTCTGGTGAATTCTTTCACCCTCCCGCGCTTCTGACTGTATGTACCCAGTGCTCGTATAAATAAATAAATCTTTAAAAAAAAAAAAAAAATCAAATCACAATTGAATAATCTATGGTATTCCATCAATTTCAAATATAAATCTATACAAACAGAAAAAATAATGAAGCCAGAAGTTTATGTTGACATAGATGTCCATTATGGAAAAATACACACACACACACACACACACACCCCATTATTTTACATCATATTCAGAGTCAGGATCTCATTCACCACCAGTCATTCTTGCACCTTTTCAGTACACATGGCTAGTGTATCATGCTTTTAACAATGCTATATGTTTTTAATTAAACATACTCTATTTCCTGCCGGATAGTGATGGAGTAATTTCTATTATCACTACCAGGTCTCAGGATCATATTTCCCATGGAAGGATTCTTCTCAAGCATCTGAGTTGCTTCTTTCCGGGACACTGTATAAAAACATCTACAAAGGTAAAATAGAAAGCACAATCTTTTTTTAACTGATGAAGATCATACTTGAAAACATGCTTTTAAAATAATTTTAAGAAGTTCACTTTTCTTACAATTTCCAGATTCACTGCTATCATTATTATTACATACTTACAAGCCTGTGCCACCATGATATACTTATTTTGAGGCTCTCCTTCCCTCATCCCACAAAAGCCTTTGTTTAACCAAGGAGGACATGAAAAATAATCTAGTAACTAATACATAGTCACCATTACCATTTGAAAATCTAATACAAGAATTAATAATATATCCCCAGTCTTGCTTTTTTTTAAAGATTTATTTATTTATGCATACAAGAGCTGGGGTACAGGCCAGAGATGTGGGGAGGCCCCCCCAGTCTTGCTTTATAATGGGTTCTTGGATAAATATTTGTAGGTAGTTTCTTTTCAGGAATATAAACATTTCTATACATGCTTCTCAATCTCAGTTTTAAATAACTTATTGAAGGGTATGTCTGAACACATTCCTTTTATTGTTATATGGCTTTCTTATTGCATTTGGTGGTGTTTTAGTGTACAAATTTTTAAAGAAAGAACCTCTCATTTTTATAGTAAACACTGTCATCAATGAAATATATAGCAAAAGGGCCTCCCCGGTGGCGCAGCGGTTGAGCGCTGGGTTGCGAAGCTGCCCGCAAGCCTCTGCAGTGCCGGTTCGATCCCCGGCTGCTCCCCGGCCACCGGAGTTGGGTCCCGCATGGCGCGCAGACCTCTCCTGCCGCCCGCTGCTCCCCTCAGCAGTGTACTTCGGTCCTTCTGCCTGCTCTGCTCCCCGCTCTGGCTCTGGTGAATTCTCTCACCCTCCCGCGCTTCTGACTGTACCCAGTGCTTGTATAAACAAATAAATAAATAAATGAAAATAAATCTTTAAAAAAAAAAATAAATAAATATATAGCAAAAGAAAAAACTCTGGCAGGTTATGTAGCACACCAAAATGTAAACACCAAATACCTCTGAGTGGGAGACAAGGACTAATTTTAATCTTTTTTTTTTTTTTTGTATTTGCAGTAACATATATTACTTGTTTTATTGAACCAAAAAAAAAAAAAAAAAAGCACTCTGTGACTTATTCTGAACTGTGACCCATCAGCTCATCAGTTGTCACTGGAGTGAGCTAAGAGTGATGGTTGGCAGATTTTAGCAATTATGTTACAAATAGAATATGCAGCAGAACCAGATGTCAAAGATGGTACTAGAACAAGTTTCACTGACAACACCAAGATTTCAGGAGGCAAGAACTCATGGTCTTTATTACACTTTTCAGGATAAAAAATAAATGCAATGTTGCTGAATTTAACATGTTCTGTGTCTCTTTATTTCCCCAACACCTTACCCAGTTACACAGGGCTTTCCTCAAAGCGTAAGCTCAGTGACTACTCCCTGATGGACTCGACAACTGAATAGAACACATAGGTATTTAAAAGTATTTGGTATAATTTTCAAACAGAAAACCATTGTGAAAAAACCTCTTTTCCTCTCTTCTTCATAGCAGTTTTTATTTAGGTTTGAGCTTTGGAAAGAAATCTATTTGGTCTAAAGGTGTGGGTGGAGGGGATTTCCTGTGTGGTAGGAGGGTTGGTTCAAATCTGCATTTTGCTTTTTGTTGATCATGCATAGGAGAGGAAATGTGGCATGGACTCAGAGATGTGCTGTTTATCCACAAGACAGTTTATTGTCCCTGATTTAATTAGGTCAATAACTAATTTTCCTTGATAATTAGAAATTAATATTAACAATCTAATAAGTAAATTAGAGTTTATTGTGCACTTACACTGGCATAGGGTTCAGTACATCCACATAATCTTCAACTCGTTCCTTTTCTTTTTCCAGAGATGTACTTGGAAGCTGCTCTGTCTCAATCCTCCTTTTTTTCTCTTTCTCTAGTACTTCATGCAGTCTAATTACTTGTCCAGGAAGGAGGGACACATGTTGGGGAACTGACAGCTGAAGTCAAATAAAGCAATAGGCAAACAAGAAAACAGCAAAATAACTGATTTTGGCAATTAGTTATTACAAAATTAATTAATGGCCTATCCTGGTCCTAAGGAGCTAGTTATTGTGATAGAGGTGAATCAGTAGAATCATGAAAGGAGGATTTTGGTATAGAGTAGGTGTCTCAGAATTTTCCCCAAATCAACTAGGACCTACATAGAATGTCTGATCTTCTAAGAAATGTTCCTTTTGATCTGCCCTAAAGCAAAATATATCCACCTTGTACTACAAGCTAATTCAAGTAACAACAGACCTCTCATTTTTCATTCTGAGCTCACTAGTTCTAACTACAAGGATAGTCCCAGAGCACCTGCAAGGTGCCTAGCTCTCCCACAGGTAAGTCAGAATAAACACCACCCATCATGACAACATGAGTTTGAGAGAAAACAATTTATTAATTGACTGAGAATCAGTCATCAGAGATCTGTATCTTGGTGTGATTGTGTGTATATTTTAAACTTCCATTTACACATAAGGATTAAGATACTGATCTACTTATTTTTTTTTAACTGCTCACCTTACTCTGAGCTGTAGTTTCTTCATCTTTATTTATTTATTTTTTTAGGTTTTTTTTTTAAGATTTATTTATTTATTTATAGAAGCACTGGGTATAGTCAGAAGCGCAGGAGGGTGAGAGAATTCCCCAGAGCCAGAGTGGGGAGCAGAGCAGGCAGAAGGGCTGAGGTACACTGCTGAGGGGAGCAGCGGGCGGCAGGAGAAGTCTGCTGCACCATGTGGGACCCTCCTCCGGTGGCTGGGGAGCAGCGGGCGGCAGGAGAGGTCTGCCACACCATGTGGGACCCTCCTCCGGTGGCTGGGGAGCAGCCGGGAATCGAACCAGAGCTGCAGAGGCTGCGGGCAGCTTCACAACCCAGCGCTCAACCGCTGCGCCACCGGGAAGGCCCCTGATCTACTTATTTTTTTTTTAAGATTTATTTATTTGTAATACAAGAGCTGGGGTACAGACCAGAGATGAGGGGGGTAAGAGGATTCACCAGAGACAGAGTGAGGAACAGAACAGGCAGACTGACTGAAATACACTGCTGAGGGGAGCAGCGGGCGACAGGAGAGGTCTCCTTCACCATGTGGGTTTCTCTCTGGCCAGAAGCTGTGGATTGCTTCATAGTGCAGTGCTTAACCCCTTGCGCCACCAGGGAGGCCCAGTGATCTACTTATTTTTTTAACCTTTTCTAGAGCTGTATTTTGAATTGAGTAATCTCTTTCCTCCTGATCTAAATTCATACTCTAGATTTAGACTTCAGTGTGACCATCAATGTGTTGATAGAATATTTTTTTTTATGTAACCCTACTAAGTATATATTTCAGAAAGACATGACTGAGTATCACACTGATCTCCAGAATGGGATGCATGTTTCCCAGGTGATGTATAAAAATCCATTGGAATGTGGGAAGAAAACACTAGAGCTTCATTTTTTATTTTACTTGTTTCATTAGTTTCTATTGTTTTTGTTTTACAACATGTATATGTGCATATACATAGTTTGAAATAAAAATTTACTGAAAATCTATTCTCCCCGATGTCAAGCTAAATAGTAATAAGCTATTTCACTTGTATCAATCCAGAAAAAAAATTAGAATGAGGAAAAACTAATAAAACAGTTACTTCTTATTAACTGCTTATTATACCCAAGCATTGTGTTATTGAAAATTCCCACAGTAATACTACAAAATAGGAATTATTATCCTAACTTTGTGGGAAAAAAAAACCTCAGAAAAATAAAATAACCAGTCCAGGGTTACATCGATAGCAAGTTGTGGAACCAGGGTTCAAATTTCATTTTAATTTAGAAGCAACATCCCAACTCTTCAACTACAGTCTGTGTTTCTCAAACTTTTAAAGTTCTGGGCCTCCCCTGGTGGCACAGTGGTTGAGCGCTGGGCTGCAAAGCTGCCCAAGGCCTCTGCTGCGCTTGTTCGATCCCCATCCCTGGCAAGGGTCCCACCTGGCATGCAGACCTCTCCTGCCGTGCCCACTGCTCCCCTCAGCAGTGTGTTTCGTCGGTCTGCCTGTTCTGTTCCCCGCTCTGTCTCTGGTGAATCCTCTCACCCTTCTGCGCTTCTAACTGTACCCAGTGCTTATATAAATAAATAAATAAATCTTCAAAAAAAAAAAACCTTTTAAAGTTCTAACAACAGCAGGGTATGAATATACACATAGAGTGATCTAGGATCATAGTACAATATTCACAGAGCACAACATTTGAGGCAACCTGACTTCTCTTAGAAATATAAGAATATAAAAAAAATGCTTTTTATTATTGATATTATTTCGATTATTCAGATCCAAACTGGCTGGTTTCAATCTCAGCTCTGCTATATACTTTCTGACTTTGGGCTACTTTCTTTGTCTCTCTGTTTCCTCATATATCAAATAAGGATAACATTACCTACAGAGGATCACTGTGATGGTAAAATGTATGCTTTCAAAAATAATGTTTTTATCCTTTCCTCAAGGCAAAAATTGAAAGCAAAATTTTTTGGCTAAAACATCAAGTATAATTAATGTACCAGGAAGATGCACGTCAAACTTTTCCCAGTGGCCTTAATGTACTTCTTGACACTTACTCACATACCCTTGGGAACTTGTACTCCAATGTATGAAGTTCACTGACAACTGCCCACAGCAGATGTGAAGACTGCAATTTTCCAGAGTTTCTTCCTCCTCTCATGTCTTTCACATCTTTAACTTCCCCACTTCGCTAGTGTTCTACAACTTCGCAATAGTTGAACCTCTAACTTTTACCTGTTATTGGCTGAGATAAAGAATTAACATCCATTATCTCAGAATCTATAGTACATATTTCATGTGATTAAAGAGTCTTTACTTAGGACATAGGTTTCGATAATCTGTATTTCACTGACCCTTACAAACAGAAAAGTTTCCTATCCTCTAAAAGTATTAGAGAACATGGTACTTTTTGGTGGATTGGTTATCAAAGTATCTCCTGTTGCTAAGACAGTTGCAACAACAGCTTTATTCAAAATAATGGTAGTTATATTCTACAACTGCTAGCTAAAAGCATATCTTATTGGTCTCATATACATGTCACAGAGTTGAACAGATAAATATTCCTTTGTCTTAAGAATCACTAAACAAATGTTTAAGGGTGACTTTTTATTTTTATCATCGTTCCTTGTTATATTGCCTATGTTATTCATAAGCTCTATCTCAGTTGGCATTTTATGAGTATTAATGAATAAAAAGGAATTAGAAAATATTTTAGAAGATGCTATCTAGGGGCCTCCCTGGTGGTGCAAGGGTTAAGATGCAACCTATGAAGCTATCCACAACCACTGCAGCACATGAGTTCGATTCCCAGCCAGCCGGGGAGCAACCACATGGTGCAGCAGACCTCTCCTGACTTGCCCGCTGCTCCACTCAGCAGGGTACTTTGGTCAATGTGCCTGTTCTGTTCCCCACTCTGTCTCTGGTGAATCTTCTCACCACCCCACACACCTCTGGCCAGTACCCCAGCTCTTGTATGCATAAATAAATAAATCTTTTTTTAAAAAAAGATGCTATCTAGGCTACAAATGTCAGAATTTATATAGGGCAAATATGTCAAAAAGGTATGACCAGAAAGTTATCTCCCTGAGATAACTTATCACCTATTATTTTCTATCTAGCACATTGCCCTATTTATTTTCTTCATAACAATTTTCACAATTTTAAATGATTGTGTATGCTTATTTATTTTCTTTCTCTTTGGTCATCCACTGGATAAAAAAAGAAAGTTCATGAGTAAGTGTAAGGTTTTCTAACTGTCTTTTTTAAGTAATATGACTTCATTTTCTTTCACTTGGCACAGTGTTCAGCAAATATTTGTTGAATTAATCAAAAGTAATTATACTCTTACCTCTGTTACTGTAAGAATGAAGCCTCTCCATTCTTCTCCACTTTCTGCATTCTCTGTCTGAAAATGAAGACAAAACACCCACATACAAAGAAGAAAACATATGAAAGACTATGACCATTAATACTCCTAACTTCAAATAACTTCAAAATTTCATGATCATTTTATAAAATTAAAAATGTGCCAACCATCAAAAAATCCAACAAAATTGACAAAATGCATACTCTCCTATTGAAGCATCTTGTTTGAAAAGGTCAATTGTAATTTTAAACCACAGAAATAATTCATTTTCCTTTTTGCTAGTAAGTATTCATATGTATTTATAATGAAATAGTATATTATGAAATATTTCAAAATTATTTTCTTTTGTCAGAAGTTTTATGAGTTTCAAGAGTTAATTTGCTTGCTTATTAAACAAATAAAATTGTACAAGTTTACTAACTCAAAAAAAAATTAAATATTAGTACACTTACTCCTGTAGTAGGTCAAGTGAATGGTTACTCCCCCCAGTTGGTATTTAACCTGACTAGTTTAAGTTTGGGGCAATCATGTGGGATCAATGTAGCTAATCCTTAGAAAATTCATTTATTAACTATTGTCAAGATTTATTAAGCCTTCAAGTGGTAGGCACTATTCTAGGTACTGGTTTTCATCAGAGAACAAAACAAAACCCTTGTTCTCATACAGTTTATGGTTTAGCAAGGAATATGTAATAAACATAGTACTGAGTAAATTTTATAATGTCAGAAGGAAATAAATGGGAAAATAAAAGTTTGAGCAGAGTGAGAGAGACTGGGATTGCCCTGGGGGCTGAAGGGAAGGGAAATAGATAACAATTTTAATAAAGTTAATCTGGGGTGGGGAGGGGGGCTTAGTAATAGGGTTTCACTCAGCAAAGACTTATTTCTAGGTGAAGAAACCAAGACACAAAAAAATTAAGTAACTTGCCTGTGATCACATAGCCAATGAATAAAACATAAAGTGAACCTGGGCATTGACTCCAATCCTGTGCTAAACATCTGGGGAGCTTGCTTAAAATTAGATTCTGGGGCCTCCCCGGTGGCGCAGCGGTTGAGCGCTGGGTTGAGAAGCTGCCCGCAGCCTCTGCAGCGCCGGTTCGATCCCCGGCTGCTCCCCGGCCACCGGAGTTGGGTCCCGCATGGCGCGCAGACCTCTCCTGCCGCCCGCTGCTCCCCTCAGCAGTGTACTTCGGTCCTTCTGCCTGCTCTGCTCCCCGCTCTGGCTCTGGTGAATTCTCTCACCCTCCTGCGCTTCTGACTGTACCCAGTGCTTGTATAAATAAATAAATTTAAAAAAAAAATAAAATAATTTAATAAAAAAAAATAAATAAATAAATAAAATAAAATTAGATTCTGGGATCCAGGTTTAGAGGAGGGACCTAGGTTTCTAAACGATTCCTGGTACCACTAAAGCTTAATAACCTATGTTTTCAAGGCCAACTCCTACTACATTGTATTCAATTGTGAGTTGTTCTCTTTATATTTTTGCTGTTTTTAGTTGACTTGAATTGACTACTTTTTTTTTTAATAAATTTGTATTTCAAACTTTCTTTTTTTTTTTTTTTAAGATTTATTTATTTATTTATACAAGCACTGGGTACAGTCAGAAGCGCGGGAGGGTGAGTGAATTCACCAGAGCCAGAGCGGGGAGCAGAGCAGGCAGACGGATGGAAGTACACTGCTGAGGGGAGCAGCAGGCATGGCAGGAGAGGTCTGCGCACCATGTGGGACCCTCCTCCGGTGGCCAGGGAGCAGCTGGGGATCGAACTGGCACTGCAGAGGCTGCGGGCAGCTTCGCAACCCAGTGCTCAACCACTGTACCACCGGGGAGGCCCTGAATTGACTACTTTGAATGCCAATTCAAGAATGATTTTTTTTCTGCATAGATTCCAGGTATCTATGAGTTTAACAGAATGCTGCCCATATGAAGTTTAGAGTTTTATGAGATTTCCATCATATTTCACAAATTGTCTATAGCTAACATACAGTTCTAGCTCAACTTTTTCTAATTGTCTCAATAGTGTTCTTTAAAGCTTTCTCCTCCCTTTTCTGATCTTGGGATTAACGCATTCAGCTATCAAGACTCTATATTCTCCAAAATGGGGAACAGTCTTTCTCTAGCTTTTGTCACATTGGTATTTTTGAAAGTTTAGAAAGTCATCAATTTGTGAAATACAGATTTGTCTAATTCAATAGTTCCAAACATGTGTCAAGTTGGACATGTCTCAGAATCAGCTGGGAACTTGGTGAACGCCATGTTCATGAGAGCCAAATCAAGAACAACTTTTTAAAACACCGGGTGGCTCTCTGACTTTGTCAAAGGACAGAAGCTATGGTTTCAATATGCTTATATACTAAACAAGTGAACATGCCCTTTAAAACTCTATTTAGAAAACTGCAGTTCTTGGTGAAAGACAATATATGTTAGCAAAGTATAAGACTTGGCACTCCTCTTTTAATTCCTCTTTACCTTAACCACTGGGTTGCAAAGAGGTGAATGCTATCTTCAACCACAACTTATTTTAGGCTAATTTCTTCTCTTCACTCACCTTCAGTTGCACTTCCTCTTTTGGCAAAACCAGAGTGAATTTTGCACAATTCTTTTCGGTTGAATTTTGGTCAGTAAGACTCATGAGATCTAGTATGTCTAACTTGTCAACAAACTGCAAGATAAAGGGAAATCTCATGAAATTATTCCATGGGTAATATACATTATTATAGAAACATACAAGTAAATGCATTATATTAAAAACAAAGGTAATTAAAATGCAATATTAATAATTTACTAATTATATTACTATATAGTATTCTCCATGTTCTTAAGGTTATTTACATCTTTATTTCTGTATAGTAGAAATACTATATAGTGGTATGTTACTGTACCTTTCTTATCAAGTCCACGTTCAATGATAGGTTGAAATTAGCCATGGTGGGAGTATTAAACCATGGAAATTGACAAAACTTACAGATTAAGGCTTGATTTATAATTTAGTTAACTTACGGCTAGCAATTTTTTTCTGTTGCATATTCTTTCTTTTCACAAAATTTTTAAAATGTAAAAAACATTCATTCATAGTTTACAGACTGTTTAAGATTGTGTACAGGTCAGATTTGGCTCAAGCATCCTAGTTTATAGGCCCCTGGGCTAGACTTCAAAAAACTAAGGAAGAAAATGTTAATGCAGATGAAACTTTAAAGTGTGTTGTGTCTGAAGTTTTTGTGAACAGAACAAAGAATTGACAAAGTACTCTTCAACAATTCAAAAACTATTATTCAACAAATAAGTTGTTCATATCACTGATAAATAGGCAAAATTCTGACAAACATAATTGTTTTACATTCCTCTTGTTAATATAAACAAAAACATCAGTCCACATTGATGTCAAATATCATATTTAATGAGAATAAACTTATCAGGCAAACATCAGATTGGTATAACTCCAACTGTCAAATTATTGAATTACAATCATAGTTACATATAAGAGTTCAGTAAAAATCAGTGAAAGCATATATTCATAGATACATTTTTTTTCCATAAAACTATTGTTCAGCATTTACTACCAGTAATTATGAGGATCATATTAAGAAATTCCTACCTTATCTCAGTACACTAAAATATTTCTTCTGAGCAATTGGTATATATGGATTGGCCTACATGCAACTGGCTAGACTTACTTTTAGTGTTAAAAAGGATAGAACCTCCTCTAGTGAATGTGGTAAGGTTTCTATGGTATAAGTTTTTGCTAAATTAACTTCATTCTTAATTTCTTTTTTCTCCTTTTATTTTTCTCTCTTCCTTAACAAATACAATTTATTTTGCAGCATTTTTATGCCTCATTTTATTTTTATGAATAAGATAGAGCATAGAAATAAGTAATTACATATTTTTTTTTCTCAGAGCTACTCTTATATTGATGAGATTGAGGGTTAAGTTTGGGTTGATCTATTTATTTTCAGTGAACAAAGAGCAACTTGAAATGGAAAGAGAGGAATAAGAGAAAGAAGACAATTTAAAATCATACAAGAATCTTTTTCTGATGGATTGTCTAGACCAAATTTAGTGAATTTTGTTCAGACAAAGGAGGAAGCAACAAAGGAAGAAGTGGCTGAGTTAGATAGAGTGCTGTAAACTGATCTAATTGATTAGAACAAAGGAAGTTATATCGTCTGGTTTTAATTATAGTGTCAAAAAGAGGCCTGAAAGTCACATGTCTAATGTAGTGGCTGTCTGAGACTTGAATCTCCATGTAGATATCCAGCCTGTGTGGAACATCTAGAACAACAGGAACTTGTGTCCTGCCTGCTAGCAAGTTTTTTTCTTATATTAACCACAGCTTTTTTCCAGGCAATTTCAAACCATTGTCCTAGTTCCTTTTCTGTGGTATAACACTGAAAAAACTCAGTGACTCACATAAACTTCTGCCAGCTTTTCAAATATTTAAAGGCAGCTTTAAATTCATTCCTACTTTAGGTTAATTATCTACTGTTTTCTGTAGCTACTTTGTAGATACTGTAAATGTCACAGTATTGCTGTGCTTTCTCTCGAAACTCCATCCAAAAATTTCCCCAAAAGTTTGCATACTCTTTTAACAAAATTGATAGATGGGCAATTCTGCAGCATTTCATTATAAATAGTCTCTATGACATAGTGGTTAAGAATGTAGGCTCAGGAGCAAGACCTGGACTATACCCTTTCATTGATTGTCTGATTTTGTATAATTTCTTCATCCATAAACTTGACTATTTTCATTTATAAAGTGGGGGTTAAAACAGTATCTTCTCTGCAGAGTTGTTGTAAGAATTAAATGGGATAATTAATGTCAAACGCCTGAATGCTTACTCCATGTAGCCAGTCTCTATTCTTATATTTAGTACCTCATTTAATCCTTTTGATAATTTTCATCCTAGTTTAGGGATTTGAAATTGAGTAAGAGAATTTTCATTTGTTCCTCTACATTCATTTTTATTCCAGCACCTTTATATAAATCTTGCCTATCCAGAACTCTAGTGAAAGAAGACCATTTTAGGCAGTAGTTCTCCTGCCCACCTGTGACTATGCAGGTGCTTCTTTTTACCAACTCTCTCCTTCCGCCGGGCAGCAGCCTTCCTGCCTGCCTGTGACCTGTCAAGGCCGGAGCGTCTCTGCACCGACCTCCCTCAGCAGAGGTAGCTCTCCTCAGGGCCGCCCACCTGAAACATGCAGGCCTCTCTTAACAAACCTGTGCCTTTCAGGGCAGCTCTTTCTGCCCGCTTGTGTCTAAGCAAGTGTCTTTTACTCTTCTGTCCCTTTCCCTAATAAACCTGCTCTTTTAAATAAAAAAAAAAAAAGACCATTTTAGGTTTATGTGTTTGTTTGTTTGATTTAATGACTTCTGGTTCGTTTACCACTAATGGCACCAAATACCTGCAGGTGGAATACATCACACAGATGCTTTTTCTGTTTCTTTCATTAGATCTGGATATGTAATTATGGTGTTCTAAGAAGTATGAGCCAGTACATCCTTGGTCCAAAATGTCTGTATTTAAACAAGTTACTGGTTCATAAAACTTATTAAAAACCACTGCATTCCATGGTAAGCAAGCATTTGTCACCAAAATAACAAATCTTATTTTAGATTAAAAAAAGAAATATATAATGGTTTCGATTTATTGCAGGGAAACTGATATGTAAGTCAATTATTTGAAATTAATACAAATACATAAATCACAGAATTCTATTATTTTTGTACTTGAGGTCTTAGAAATTCTGCTTTATGGGTATGTTTTAGTCTCCCTAGAAAAACTGAATTCTGATAATTCTGATATAAAGTATGTTATGAGATTCTGGGGGTTATCTTGTTCCTTTCAGATTATAAGCGAAATATAAAAAGTGAAGAAAAATTAAGACTATCATTTGACATTAATTTGTATTGAGCTGTACAGCTAAAATTTTCAATTTTCAATTAAGTTTTTTTATTTTCAAGATAAGAAAATTATGCAAAGTTGAAAATATTAGTTAATACCTTCTGAGTTGGTCAGAAAATTTTTTCACGAATCTTATAATATATAATGCTCACATATATGAATGTTCTTATTTGAATTAGTTTTACTAGAATTCTTGGCAGGAAGATCAGAAAATCCAAATGAATAATAATGACTTGAAAAAAGATGAATTAACTACTTACTGTTGTACTTTTTTTGTCTGTATAAAAGAAAAGTGTAGTTCCTCTTAACTCTGTCCAATAGTGTTTATATTCCTGTGGAAAAGAAATCATTAACATTATTTATTAGTGTATATTTTTCTATTGGTATTTTCTATTTTTCTATTGGTATTTCTATTTTCCTATTGGCATTTTCCGTTGTAACTTTCTTAATTTCTTGTGTGTTATAAAGTTCTTCTTTAGCCTGAAATTATTTCCCTAAATTTTAGGGCTTAATTTTACATTTAATCCTTGGTTAAATTCTTCACAAATTTATTTCTGTATTGAGATACAAATACAATTTTATTTGTGTTTAATAAATCACCTTCCAAAACTTCCCCCACTGATTTAAGACACTTGACTTTATGGCAGTATCAGTGGAAACTTGCACTTGGAAGATGGGTCATTTAAGGGCCATGGTAGGACAGGCATTCAGTATCTATCTTACAGGATGGTTCAAAGAATTGAATGCATTAATACATGGAAAGCACTTAACATAGTACATATCTCACATTTTGTATTCAATAAACAGTACATATTTATATAGTTCAGGGAAATTTAAGTAGTTGATAATGATAAAAATAACTTAATGCCATCAAAAGCTGAACTCTAGAGTCCAAATTTCATTCACGTGGTAAACATCTCTTCATTAATACATTCATTTAATATGGGTTCTATAAAAATACATCCTTTAAAATTAAAAAAAATGTAAATAAGCTAGTCATTACTGATTTTACTTAAGTGGAAATTTGTTTAGATATTGGAAACTTACATCTGTGAAGATTGGTTGTATTATAAAACAGTGGCAAGGAGGTTTCATGAATAAAGTCTTTCCACATTTAAAGACTTAGCTTCATACCCAACTATTTCCAAAATTATGTTTTTAGAAATTCCAGTAAGTTCCATAGACATGTTTATCATTCCTTCCTTTAGCATTTAATAATATGAATTTTTGATATGTGTTGGATTGTATTGACCTAACATTAGGAATTAATGTTAAGAAAGTCACATGAAGAAAGGTTTTTCTTTTATTTGTAAATATGATACTTTTATATATCAATATTATGGTATTTTGTGTCTTTTTTAATGCTAACATATAATATTATTTTTGTGATCAGCAAAATGTCACTTTTCAGTATTTAAAATATTACTTTCTAAAATCATGGGAACTCTATAACTTATCTTGCTTTTATTTGCCTTGGCTCCTGAGATGCTCAGATTATATTCATTGTGAATTATAATCTTTCTCATGTGGGGGTGGGGATTGTCTTTGTGGCTAATCAGGTGCTATTTTTAGTTAGCTTTTTTTGTGTAACAAGTCACTCTAAAACTAAGTGGACTAAAACTACAGAAATTTTCTATTTTCCAGTATTCAGTATTTTTCAGTATTCAGCTGATTGATGATTCTTTGTCTCTGGATATACTCAGCAATGACTGAATGGTCTAGGATGGCCTCACTTATCTTCAGGATTAGTTGGGAGTGCAGAATGACTGGAAATGACATAATATGAAATATATTTGGTCTTTGTGCTCATTCCTTGCACAGGACTCCTCAAACTCTTGAAATTTTCTGATTAAAGGTGTTTTTGTTATTCATGAGTCCCTTCAAATCATACCTGAGTTTATACCAATGAGTTCACTTAGCGTGGGTCCCTACAGATCTCAGGCTGAGTCTGGTCACCAAAAGAACAAGTGATTAGAGGATTGGAATTTTCAGCCTCAACCATCAACCTCCAGGAACAAGCAGGGTGGAAACTAAATACTTTTTCACAAAGAGATTTGATTTGTTTTCAAATTGATGAACATATCCAAATGCCAGGAGGGTGGCCACCTCAACTTCACAGAAATATAAGTGCTTGAGATCCTTATAAACTTAGCCTTATATACCTCTACATACCTCTGGCTATTTATTTATATTCCTTGTAATAAACCAGTAAATGTAAGTAAAATGTCTTCCTGAGTTCTGAGTCATTCTAGTAAATTTTGAATCTCAGGAGAGAGTCATTAGGAATCCTGATTTATAGCCTATAAGTCAGAAGTATGGAAATCTTGGAATTGCAACTGGTAACTGCAATGTTGGGGGTAGGGGGTGGGGATTGGGATGGGCAGGACAGTCCTATGGGTCTCAGCCCTTAAATAATCTGTGAGATTGGCACAAAGTCTAGGTAGGTAGCATCAGAATTGAACTGATTTGTTGAATACTCAGTGCCTAGAGAGTCAGAGAATTGGTTGTTGCTGTTGAAAAATAATTCACTGACATAACCAGATTCTCTATAAATGTTCTCATTATCCAGTCAGCTAGCTTACTCTTGTGCACATGATGGCAGAATATTGTAATGCATTGTCATTCCTATATAACTCATGGCCTTAAATGCATTCAGAAATTTGGCTTGAGAAGTTACTAATATAATGATATACTGTTTCTATGATTAGACAGCTGTTCCATAAAAACCATGAGAGTGTCTAGTCACTCTATTGAAAAATACTAAAATCATCTCAGGTTTAACTCCAATTAACAAGTAATAAAACAATTCAAATATATCTTGGAGGTTTTTTTTCTTTTTTTTAATCATATCTCTCTTTTAAGGACTTCTGTAGGGGCAGGACTGGACACAGTGCAGGTTTTCTAATATCCAGCAGACCGGGAAAAGGAGGAATCGGAGTCCTCAGTGGCTTTTGCAGGTTTTTTTATTTAGATTACCAGGTACACAGCAGGCAGGGGTGCTGGGAGGCCGGTAGGCCGGCAGTACTCCCAGCCCCCAGCAGGTCTTCACTCTGGGCTCTCCGGCCTTCTCTCGGCTTCTGCTTCTGTTTCTGCTGCTACTGCTTCTCTTCTCTGCGTCTCTGCTTCTGCTGGCATCCCCGTGATGCCGCCCTTAAAAAGCACAGTCTTAGCCCAGGTGAATCCCATCTACCTAGGCCCACACACTACTCCAGGTGCCCGCCATCAGGCATCCATTCAGGACCGCAAGGATCCACCATCTATCCTGATGGCGGGAGGGCAGAAAAGCCTGACATTTTTCCTTACCCTACAACTTTCATATCCTGTTCTAATAGTAGGTTTCTGCAATGCAAAGAGGAAGTCAGTGCTACTGTATTTTGGAAGTAGGATGGAAGTGAAGGAGAGAGGAAGACCTAAGAATGTAAACATTGATTAAAGAACTGAATCATAGGTTCTGTAGTTTTACTGAATTATGGCAGCTAACATCAAATCCAAACCCGAGATTCTATGATTTTGGAGGAAAGAAAAGCAAAAGAAAACCATGAAGTCAAAGTCTACCCTTCTGTTTATCTTCTTAATTATCCTTGTTAGTATTAACCTGACACAAGATAGAGAAACTAAAATCACTATTAGCCTGTCAAGGTTTATTGTGCTTTCTCTATATGCACATGCAGACATTTATCTGTGCTCCTGAGAAAAATTAGAGATGTTTATTCATGAAAGAATGATGTATATTGGGTAGAGCTAATCAGGGGGAAATGGAAGTTTTATTGGTAAACAGGAGTTTCAATGAAAGGATTAAGAAGATTTATAAAGAGGGGGAGAAAGTAAAAAAAAAAAAAAAGGAGAGAGAAGCAAGACTAAAGACACTGAGTTGAAAGTAAAGGCAACTTCGAGGAAAAGTTAAGATTACACATATCAATAGGCCCTGTGCACTACCACCACAGCCACAAATTTAAGAACAGATCAAACTTGTATCAGTAGGCAGAAACCTGACGGCCACAATCTTGACTGTTTCTCATAAGCTCTCATGAGGTCAAGTATAATCAGTCATCTACAAATAATGATCTCAATACTCAACATCTACTGAGATGTAAAAATTAATTTTTAAGGATATATTTTTAGATGACATGTATTTAGTTTTATATTTTTTATCAATTGTTTGTGTTTGAGTTGTTAAAGAGACTGAAAAAGGACCTTTGAATTTATCTCGTTTCATAACCATTAGATGACCTTAGAGTTCAAAGTCACTATATTATTGTCATTCAATTAAAGAAATGTTTTTTAAAGTCCACTGAAGCTCACTATTGGATTCAATGTAACAAAATATGTAGTGATTGGAAGCCCACAATCAATGAAATTAGAACTTTAATTTGAGAGTTAGCACCATGTAGAGTACTTTACAATAAAATCCTAGGTAGAATTCTTAATGGACCGGGAACCTTGAACTTAAACTTTGTGAATCACAACTGACTTATCTGGGAAGTGAATAAAAGAGTTTCTAACCAGAAGAGGATCTGAGTGAAAGGACATTTAACAGTCTAGCAGAGTAATTATCCATTTTACAAAAGAGGAAACAGGTGTACTCCTCCCTCACACCTCTGGCCTGTACCCCATCTCTTGTATGTATAACTAAATAAATCGTATTTAAAAATTAAAAAAAAAAAGGGAAACAGGTTTAACAATTTAAAAGAATTGCATGAGTTCCACAGGAAGACTGATATTTTTATGCATTCTGGCTCCTTGGTGCTCTTTTTTTACCAATGTAACTAGTAAAAATACGCAGCAGTCCAAAATGCTGTTACATTCCTCTCCATCATCCCCAGTGAAAAAGCTCTCATTCTTCCTCTTGTGAGCCAATAAAATGCCTTGGCTTAAGGAAAAATGTTGCAGGGTGCTCTCCAAAGTGGGGCACATAAAGTCCGAATTTAGATAATCCCACTAGGGAAAAACTTTTAAAATTATATTTTCTTTTGTTTTTTTTTTAAGTTTTTATTTATTTATTTATACAATCACTGGGTACAGTCAGAAGCGCGGGAGAGTGAGAGAATTCACCAGAGCCAGAGCAAGGAACAGAACAGGCAGACCGATGAAATACACCGCTGAGGGAACCAGCGGGCACCACAGGAGAGGTCTGCATGCCATGCTGGACCCTTGCCGGCGGCCGGGGATCGAACGGCACTGCAGAGGCTGCAGGCAGCTTCGCAGCCCAGCGCTCAACCAGGGGAGGCCCTAAAATTATATTTTCTTTCTTAATTCCTTTTTTACATGTATAATAATTTTATTAGAGTATTAATAGAGAAACATACATAATTTATATAATTTATATAATATATAATTTCTAAAATAAATTGATTTTCTTATATTAGAGGTCTATGTTCCAAAAATGTTTTTTTGAAAGGAGTGTGTTATTCAAAATTTTGGGGACTGTAACAGGCATTTCCATTAAAGAAGGGAAGTTTCGGGCCTCCCTGATGGTGCAAGGGGTTAAGACACAACCTATGAAGCTATCCGCAGCCACTGGAGCACAAGTTCAAATCACAGCCAGGGAGCTACCCACATGAAGGAGCATACCTCTCCTGACTAGCCTGCTGCTCCCCTCAGCAGTGTATTTCAGTCAATCTGCTTGTTCTGTTCCCCACTCTTTCTCTGGTGAATCTTCCACCCCCCACACCTCTGGCTTGTACCCCAGTTCTTGTATGCATTAATAAATAAATCTTTTTTTTTTTTTAAAGGGAAGTTTCATGTTCTCTGTTTACCAGCATTGAGCACTATGTTTGAGTACTATGCTCTAAAAAAACTGATGGACTAGGTAGACAAATGTTATTTTGTTCTACTATGATGACCGTGTTCCTATGTTTAGGTTAATATGAAGATATACATATTGCTTTTAACATTAACACATTACAGATTGAAGAAGTTATAATTTGCTGCTCAAACTGATTTTCTAACAGTTTCAGAAAAATGAAAATTTTCCATTTGTAAGAACTGTGATGCCACTGGTATCCTGTTAATAGGATTTAATAGCTTTTATTATCAAATAAGTCCTGCTGAACAATCCAGAATTCTAGTGTTGTGCTTTAAGTAAATTTTCTACATTATCTTTTCCTAAAGATTATATCCTTTTATGAGTTCTAGACAGGATGCTGAGACTTTCTAGAATTGCATTTAAAATGGAATATATTGGTACATTTACATGACTGCAAAGTTCCTTAAATTCTTAAAAGTTCCCCATCATAAAAGCAACCTAGAAACACCTCTCAACAAATAACCTCCTCATAAACCAGGTTGCTCTTCAGTTATATTTTTTTCTAACTGAAATGTTCTGAATTTCTTTAACAGAGAATTCTGAATTCCTTTAACTTAACCTTTTGTAGAGCCTCCCAATTTCCATCAGGCCAATAACATCGAAGATGACCTTCAATGTACTGTGGTTTACCTTCCCTTTAATGGTTCCCTGGAACTTTGCTGCTGCTTGAAAAATTCCACTATTTTGGGCCTCCCCTGGTGGCGCAGCAGTTGAGCGCTGGGCTGCAAAGCTGCCCACAGCCTCTGCAGCACTGGTTCGATCCCCGGCCACCAGCAAGGGTCCCACAAGGTGCGACAGACCTCTCCTGCTGCACCCGCTGCTCCCCTCATCAATGTATTTTGTCAGTCTGCCTGTTCTGTTCCCAGCTCTGGCTCTGGTGAATTCTCTCACCCTCCCGTGCTTTTGACTGTACCCAGTGCTTGTATAAATAAATAAATAAATCTTAAAAAAAAAAAAAATCCCACTATTTCCTTAGCTTTTTATCACAATACCTATTTTCTTTTTTTTTTTTTTTTTAAAGATTTATTTATGCATACAAGAACTGGGGTACAGGCCAGAGGTGCAGGGGGTGAGAGGATTCACCAGAAACAGAATGGGGAACAGAACAGACAGATTGACTGAAATACACTGCTGAGGGGAGCAGCAGGTGAGGCAGGGGAGGTATGCTGCACCTTGTGGGTAGTTCCCTGCTTAACCCCTTGTGCCACCAGGGAGGCCCTCACAGTATCTATTTTCAAATACTGTCATCATGGCTCTTCTTTGGGTCATGTTACTTGTGAACTCAGAACTGATTTTACTATCTAGTTTCACATGATTAATAACAATACGATAAAAAACGAGATGGGAAGAGAATGAGTCTAACATTAGTGTAAGCCAGGTGTTTTACATGTATCCCTTAAATCCTTGAAACCATCCTCTATGCAAATGTTATTGTCCTCCTACTCTCTTCTTCCTGACATATAAGATACTTCACTCTAATTTCAAGTGTAAACAAAGCTATTTTAGCAAAAACATTTATTCCTATAGTTTATAATTTCCATTTCAAAGCATGTTTTCTAAGAAAAGACTGAATGGCGATTAGGTAAGGGAGTCATCACTCCTTACTAAATTAAGCCTTTTAAGTCTATGTTTCATTACTATTTTGCAGAACTGAGTGTGATGCTTAGTTAAAGCATCCTGCCAAGACACATGATAAATGCTGTTTGAGTGAAAAATTGATTGAGCACCTACCGTATCTCAGGCATTATACTTTGGGACAAGTCATATTCTTTCCATTTTGTAGCTAAGAAAATCTATCCTCAAGGAGATTGAGTAGCTTGCAGAAGATCTCAATTGTAAGTAGCAAAACCACCAGGTAAAAACATGTTTTACTGAAACTTTAAAATCCTTGTTCTTTCTCTAACCATTCTAATGGAAGGCCTTCTTTAGTATTAAAGGAACCTAGTAGCAAAAACAGTCATTGTAAATACTTTGGAAAACTTTCAGTGAATAACCAAATTTAAATAACAAATTAGAAATTTCTTTCTTATCCAGTCCCCTTTCTGGCAAAGATATAACAATGTGGTTAACCCATGCAAGACTGAATTAACTTCTAAAGCACATAGAGTCAACAAAAAATAATTAGGCATAACTGGGTAATGTTATTCTTACATGTTTAACACCTGTAACAGAATACGAAGTACTATATCTTTACTCTTAAACTAAACTTTATATATTAAGACAAAATTTTCTAGTTTACCATTGTCATCTATGGACTTACCTGGTGTTCTGACCGTTTCACTAATAAAAAACCTTCAAAGTACAAGGGTAGAGCAGTAATCTTTAGCCTCTCTTGGAAGATCCTGCGAGGAGCTGGTTTTGGAGGCTTAGCCATCATGAACCCTCTTGTCGGTGTATGGTTTGGTTTCAACTGTATCCAGTCTCAAACAAAATGAGATCTCCCTTTTGTGAGAGGAAAAGGCAACTGTTCAAAGAGGAAGTCCCAACTCAATGTTTAACCACCAACAGGACACACACACACACACACACACACACACACACACACGCACGCACATACCCATACACTCACACATTTTTTTCCCTTTACTTTTTGAGAGGTAAGAACTGGCTTAGACCAACTTTGAGAGGGCAATCTCTGAGTAAACTACCTATTCTTAGAATTAAGATAGCAAAATAAACAGAAGATTAACATCACAGAAGCATGAAAGGAACAGATGTAGATGTTATAGACTTTAGAGGACATGTTAAGGGCACATTTGTTTTCTTCACCTTTTTCTATTTATTGCTGTCCATTTTTATGTGACAATTCAAGAATTAACTCCATTAAAAATTATAGGATAATTTTAAGTACTATTTCTGTTGTAAATATTTCAACACCAAACTTTGTTTAAATTTTTAGAAAAATGAAATTTCTTATTCCATGTCTATTTTGATAGTCCACTAAGTAGAAACCACAGTTACAGGAATATGGGATTTTCAATTTTTCTCAGTATTTTGAGATTGTGGGATACTAGTAGACATTAGGCAAAATCTGTTTGGCAGAGAAAGCTGTAGACTTTCAAACTTTTTTTTTTCCAGATGTATTTTATTTATTTATGCATACAAGAACTGGGGTCCAGGCCAGAAGCACAGGGGTGGGGTAAGAGGATTCATCAGAATGGGGAACAGAGCAGGTGGATTTACTGAATTACACTGCTGAGGGGAGCCGGTGGGAGAGACAGGGGAAGTCTGCTGTGCCATGTGGGTTAGCTCCCTGGCCAGGGATCAAATTCATGCCACAGAGGCTGGCATGATAGCTTGTTACTGTTGAAACTTGAACCCCTGCGCCACCAGGGAGGCCCAACTTTCAAACCTTTATTTTATTCTTTCATGCTTTCTGAGATATGAATCATTGATGCTGTGATGCACAGACGGGATCCCAAGAGTTACCTAGTGAGATTTATACAATTACATTGGTGCTAAAAATGCATGGATTTCATCCATCACTGTGCAAGGAATGATGGGGGAAGGGAACATGGGAATGAATTTTGTTGTGTTTTGCATGGGTCTCAAAAAGTTCCACCATTTCCTATAGCACATTCAATACTTCAGAAATACTCTAGATTTAGTATATAACCCAGGCTTAAGTATTGTCTCAATTAGGATGGCTGATTTTTAGAAATCAAAGCAAGACAAGCATCTCCAGTTTGATTCTTATTTCCTAATGAAGAGACTACAGGGTTTTCTTCACCAGTATGGGTTCCATTGGCTCTGCAGCAATAGACATGGGGAGCTAAATATTCTATAAAGCAAAGTAGATCAATTTAGACTGATTATGAATAAACCAAAGAAGAATCTTCAGATGCATTAACAAAATGAAAATGGTCTGAAACATAAACTGGGAGTTGAAGATTCAAATTTGTCACCTTGCCTTTATATTTATTCTGCCTTCTGCTATCTGAACCTTCAAATTATAAAATAAAAATCCAGCTTCAATTTTTGGAACAAGCCATACGTATTTTTTTTTTTAGTCGCAGTGTACTGAAAACAATCATCTAGTAAATTATGTCTTTCTTACATTTTTAAAAATGACAATTAATGAAAAACAGATTTATAAATTTTTTTTTTAGATACACTTTTTTTTTCCAAATTTTTTTTTTTTTAAGATTTATTTATTTATTCATACAAGCACTGGGTACAGTCAGAAGCGCAGGAGGGTGAGAGAATTCACCAGAGTCAGAGCAGGATGCAGAACAGGCATCCTGCTGAGGGGAGCAGCGGGCGGCAGGAGAGGTCTGCACGCCATGTGGGACCCTCCTCTGGTGGCCGGGGAGCAGCCGGGGATCGAACCGGCACTGCAGAGGCTGCGGGCAGCTTCGCAACCCCGCGCTCAACCGCTGCGCCACCGGGGAAGCCCCAGATTTATAAATATTTAAGTTGCTTTGGTTTGCTAATTTGCAATGCAAATTAATATACCAATAACTCAACTATGCCTTCCTAAAAAACAACTATAACATACAAAAACTGAAATGTCATTAGCTAGTTATACCTGTCTACATTCCCAATACCACTGCATTATTACAATAGAAATCTTTTTATAAATATCTCAAGTTATAGGTGGAGAATGATGTATTTTTAGGTAAGGGAATATAGTAGAAAAATATAAGGGCACAGGAAAAGGAGCCAAATTTGCTACTCAACAGCACAGAGATCTTGAACAATCAATCAACTTCTCTGAGATCACAGTTTCATCACCTATGAAATGAAATGAATAAATGACGTCTTTTCTGAAGAACTGCAGTAGACTTTTAAGCAATGTCCTTTCTGCTTTTTCTCTGATTCATTTAAAATAAAGTCTAATCCTGTCACTCCCCAGTTATAATGGATTGTCTTGTTTTTTAGATTCACTCTTCCATTTTTTTTTTTTTTTTTACTTAACGCTAAATTTTATTGAACGCAAACAACAATGTTCAGACATGACATACAAACTGCTTACTATTAGGGTTCATTTAAATTGAAATTCCTCAAAATACTCTTTCCACTAGTAATTTTGGTTATTGCCAATTGTCTCAATACCCTCTATTCTTTCCTATCTTCTTATATTCCTTTCCACACCTGCACACATTTGTTTGGATGTTCTTTTATTCATATGTAACTCCCACTCAGTCAAGACACAGGTTGAATATCTACTAGTCTGTGAAGATTTCCTAATTTCCTGACACCTTTCTTATTCCAAGGGGAAGGTTTATCACTCTCATCCTGTATTTCCATACAAATTTCCTTATTTCAACATTTGTCCCATTGTATTTTAGCCATTCTGTACCAATAGGAAACAATTTTTAAAGGGCAGAAACTATGTTGAAGGTTGATAAGAAGCAGATCACAATAACCATTTATTAGATGACAAATTTTCATTTTAAAAAGTATTGTGATTCCAGTTTGGAGTTATTAATGTCTACCAGAAATAGGAGTTGCCTTTTTTCTCCTATGGATGCCCAATGGTTGACATGTGATTTCAAACTATTAATTCAAATCACTGAAATTATATCAAAGCCCAATTATTACAGCCATTAACAGCATGTGTGTCAAAGGAGTTTGCTATAAATCTGGTTATATGGCAAATATAACTCAACAACTTTTAATGTAGTATTAGATTAATTTACAAATTTACACTGTTACTTTGAGTCATTTATGTTATAATGCTATTCAAGTGAATAAAAGCACGTTTTTACAATGGTTAAAGTCCTCTGAAAGTTTCCTATCCACTTATTAGAATTGAGCCCATGAAAAGGTCTGAATAGGAGACTCCAATTCCTTTTCAGTACTTCTAAATTTCTTACTTTTGTTTTACTTATGTTTACTGATGATGTATTAACATTTTGCATAATAATTCATTGCAGTAAACTTCAAAGATATTTGTATTGAAGAATATAGGTTGAATTTCAACTACTATATGAAATACACTGTGCCATAGTGAATCATTATGACTCAGAAGATGATTCTACCAGGCCCTTTGGTGAGGCAGCACTACAACAGAAGTGATATCACTAGCCAGAGTGGTATTAGTAGATGGAGTGGTTCAATTTGCTAGCCATATCTTTTTCAGTAAAAAGAGTTGCATCTAGGATAATAAGAGTTTTTCTAGTTATGCTTTTTTTTAAGCACATTGGTCTCATTTGCATATTGAGAAATATTTCTTGGATTCCATACATCAAAACGTGTAAATAAGGTAAATCATAGAATTGTAACTTTAATAAAAACTGGACATTCCAGATAGGGAGATAGCTTGAGCAATGTCTAACCACTAGAAACTCAATATACACAAGGATTAGGTCTACCACCCACCCTGTCCCCCACCCCTTCACTGCATTTATTAATATCCATTGGTGCTTTTTTAGGGGATAAGGTGGATTGGAGCTTAATATCCATTTCATTCCCTTCTAGTATGCCATTCTTTACTCCAAAAAATTAAAATGACATTTCCCAGACTTCTTTATAGCTGTAGTAGGGTGCATTCCATTCAGCAAGACAGACAGAAACAAAACTGATTCTTATTGATGTCTTTGGATTTTTTGAATGTGAGCACAATCTGAAGACACCTGATTTTCTGGAAATGTTGTAAATTAGTCTCCTCACTAGTTTCATGGGTATTAATAGTCAAAGCATGGAATACCAGTTTTCAGATTTCCATTGTATATTAGATAGAGATATAATATAGAATCAGGAACAGTAAGAAACCTTTCGGTTAATAAAGGCTTATAAAGCCTTCTTTGGGGCCTCCCCGGTGGTGCAGTGGTTGAGCGCTGGGCTGTGAAGCTGCCAGCAGCCTCTGCAGCACTGGATCCCGGCCTCCGGAGAGGGTCCCACAGGGCGCGCAGACCTCTCCTGCCGCGCTCGCTGCTCCCCTCAGCAGTGTGCTTCAGTCATTCTGCCTGTTCTGTTCCCAGGTCTGGCTCTTGGTGGATTCTCTCACCCTCCTGTGCTTCTGACTGTACCCAGTGTTTGTATAAATAAACAAATAAATAAATAAATAAATCTTTTTTTTTTTTTTTTTAAAGCCTTCTTTGACAATGTATTTTTGTAATTGCATTGGTTTCCTGATTATGTAGTGCCACTGAGGTTTTGGTTGATACCAGCATTAACACTAGCTTCCCACTTTCTCATTTTATGGAAACAAATGGACGTTTCCTGACTGTATATATAGCAACTGACTTTTGGTGTCTCAGTTTCTCAGTTCCATGGTCTGTCTTTGGGAATCATTGCTGAATGCCTAAAATACAGTGTTTATCGCTCCTCCTGACAATTCTCAAAGCTGATATATGCATTTTATTAGATCCCTTTCTGCTTAAACTCATTATCATGAATTTTGTTCTAAACAACTGACCACGCCCTCCCATCAATGCGGTTTTCAATTGTCTATAGGAATATGTGAAAATTATCCTAATATTGAAGGTGTTTCTTAATCTAGTTGCATTTTGCAAACACTTAGCAGTATCTGACACTTTTTTTTCTGTCAACGGCATATCATTTCTGCCTCATGTCTCTGCTTGAAGTTTATCTTCCTATTTCCTTCATGTCACAAATCTCTGACTTTTAGGTCTTATGGGCAAGTTACAGTTTTTGGTATTTTATTGTTTATGTATTTCTATAAGCACTTAATTTATAAGTGCTTATTTATCATGTGCTACTTTCTTATTTTTATTATAGATGGAAAACACATATTTTAGACTAAACAGAAAGACTTTAAAAAGAAAATCACATGCTATTCTAGCCATTAGTATTGGCTGGATGGGTATAGTCAATTTTGGGCATTTTTCTCTATTTGTTTATATTTGTGTATTTGGGTTAATGCTGAACATGCGATTTGATAAACTACATTTTTCATATGTTTTAGAGCACATTTCCAAGTCAATATTTATAAAATGGGGCTTCCCTGGTGGCCCAGGGGTTAAAGTCTCAGTGCAATCACCTCTGTGGCCTGAGTTTGATCCCTGACCTGGGAGCTGACCCACAGATGGCACAACAGACGTCTCCTGTCTTGCTGACTACTCCCCTCAGCAGTGTGTTTCAGCAGATCCACCTATTTTGCACCCCTCTCTGTCCCTGGTGAATCCTTTCATCCCCCACCCCCAACCTCTGGCCTATATTCCAACTCTTCTATGCATAAGTAAGTAAATAATAATATCTTTTAAAAAGACTTTAAAAACATATATAATGTACATAATTTAATTTTTCTGCTACCATCTAACTAAATTAAGACTGCAAGGTTAAAATTATAATGCAAACTATTAATGTTTTTGAAAATGTGTTTTAAATGACAAAAGATCCTTTTATGAAACAGGAATTATGTTAAGTAGAAATAAACTATAGATTACAGAATGGAGTCTCAGAGAACAGGGTAATAGTTGTTGTCTTAAGAGGGACAGTATATACAAAATAGAATATTATAGCAACTAAGAATCAAATAATTGACACAGAGATAACTTAGTAAAAGTAAAGGTCAATTTATACAGCACTTTAAAATGAAGGACCCCTGCAGATGTTTACGACAAATTGCATATTAAAATTTTCCTTGAACATTACTGCCACCTATCAGCACATTTCGAGTATATACTTTTTAACTTGGAAATTACAGTCTAGTAAGCTTCTATTAGAGGATAATTTTGTTAGAAAAGGTTAAAGTGTGTGTACTTTGCAGTTGGAACAACATTTGGCAATAAATAGTAAAGAAAATTACTGAAATTTTATGCAAAATAAATTTCGATGATATAATTTCATTTTACGTAGTATAAAGCCATTCATCTTTTGCAAGATTTTCAAGTTCACTTTGCAATCAACTAACAGTGTTTTGTTTTGTTTTATGCCATTTGACAGTCAGTGTGAGACTCACCCAAAATGATGTTGATCCAATGGAATGTTGGGCAGACACTCATGTTAAGTTGTGGGAGTAGGGCTGAATTGGAACCAATTTTTAAGTGGCAAATTCAATTGTGAATATTTTTGTGTTACAACTTCTATTTCTGTATCGAACCTTGTAAGTTGAAAGAGTTGGCAATAAATACCCATACTATAATTATTTGATGGAGGTAACTAAGGAAATGTAAAAGATTACTCAATTATTATAGCACTTTATTATAGCACTTTAAAATTAAAACTCAGAGCAGACCTTAGGGACCTATGTAAAGTAAAACTCCTTTTGCTGCCATCTGTCTGAATATTGTAATCATATTTTATTTTCTTGGCAATTACAGTTTAGTAGTCTATTTGGGGATAATTTTATTAGAATAGGTTACTTAAAGTGAATGTACCTAAGAGATGGCTTTAAGAGTAAACCAACACTTGGCTTTAAGAGTGAAAGAAATTATTGAAATTTCATGTTAAAAAATAAGACTCAAAATTATAGTGGTAAACTTATTTTACTTTAGCAAATTTTAAGTTATAATTGTAACTATCTTACAATTTCTAGAACAAATTGATTTTAGAGTGGCATTTTAAGATCTAAAATATTCCTTAAAATAATTATAAAAACTTACAAATTTTAAATATCTACATAAAATCATAAGTAACTAAAAGTTTCCTATTCCTTTTAAATTAAATTTCTGAGTACTTTGTCACACACATATACACACACACCCTTCCAAGGTAATAGAGTTTTTTTTTTTTTTTTAAAGGAGAACTCTCTTGTTTTTTTGTTTATTTATTTACTTATTTATTTGCACAGGCACTGGGTACAGTCAGAAGCACGGGAGGGTGAGAGAATTCACCAGAGCCAGAGCGGGGAGCAGAGCAGGCAGAAGGACCGAAGTACACTGCTGAGGGGAGCAGCGGGCGGCAGGAGAGGTCTGCGCGCCATGTGGGACCCTCCTCCAGTGGCCGGGGAGAAGCCGGGGATCGAACCGACGCTGCCCAGCACTCAACCGCTGCGCCACCGGGGAGGCCCCCAAGGTAATAGAGTTTTGATGGAAAACTCAATTTAGTCAGTTGTCATAGCAATTCACAAGGAGTGACAGTTACAGGGTAGGGTGAGGGGCACCCCAGGATCCCCAAACCTGCCTGCTCTAAATAGGTTCTGGCATCCATCCACCTCATCAAGACAAAACATACTTTACTGCATAGGACATTGAATGGAAATGAACTTTATACAATCACTGTGAAATAAAGAGAAAGTAAAGCATATATAAAATAGTTTCCAAATCAAGCACCCCAAATTACCCATCCCCTTATGGGTAAAGGCCCAGCTAAACAGGGTTGGCCCAAAGCAGGGCCACTGAGACCCAAAAGCCTGCTACAAGTCTAAGACACCCACTGGTGGGGACCCATTTGGAAAGGGGTGGAATGCGCCCAGCACGTCCGGGACAGAGAGAGCAAAATCAAAATCAAGATACCTGGTGGGAAGAGGAAGGATTAGGGTCAAAATAAGGGGGGGTGCAATTGTATGGAGAATATAACCAAAATGAAAATGCATACATTGTGTAAAAATGAAAAATGATGTAAGAATTATATAAAATAAAATATTAAAAAAAAACCTCTGGCCTATACCCCAGTTCTTGTATGCATAAATAAAAAATAAATATTAAAAAAAAAGATAAAGCTGCTATTGTTAACCTACCTACGGGTCTCTCATCCACATCTGTTTGAACCAGCCCAAGACCAAGAAGCAAGTGCAGCTTCATTACATGTCTCTCTGCTACATGTGCCTTATCCAGGCTCTCCATCCCGCTTCCTTCCTTCCTTCCCTCCAGCTTCTCCTCCTCCAAGCTCAGCTCCACCCTTCCTTGGGTGGGACAGGGAACCTGGAACCTCCCTTTTTCTGGGGACCACCCTGTTGCATGCTATTGAAGTACTTTTGAGGGGAGGAGGTATGTAATGACAAATCTGTTTTTTTTTTTTTTTCAATTTAAAGATTCATTTATTTATGCATACAAGAACTGGAACACAGGTCAGATATGCGGAGGTGGGGGGGTAAGGGCGGTGGTGGTGAGAAGATTCATCAGAGACAGAGTAGGGAACAGAACAGGCAGACTGACTGAAATACACTGCTGAGGGGAGAAGCTGGCGAGTCAGGAGAAGTCTGCTGCGCCATGTGGGTTGCTCCCTGGCTGGCCAGGGATCGAACTTGTGCTGCAGAGGCTGTGGATAGCTTCATACGTTGCATCCACCAGGGAGGCCCCAAATCTGGGTTTTATAAACATTATTCCATCAACTAGCAACACTGTTTTAATACACTAAAACCATGGGGGCAGGGGCTATTAAATAATACTAGGACAGATGCGTATGAAACTGAGTTTGTTTAGGAACTGTGGAATCTCCATTAATTGTTTTCATAAGGTGCTGCCCTGTTTTTTCCTATATAACAGATTAGTTTATCCCCAACATCCTTGGTGACCTGCATTCTAAACCATCATAAGTCATTTGATTTCAAATTTCTCAAGATACCTTTGAGAATTACTGTTTCCAGTATAGTCAGGAGGACATAATTTTACATCTGGAATTTTACATTTATGACAGTGTTTTCTAAAATATCTCAATGAGAGATAAAAGTATAGTGATTTAACTGCTCAGTTTTGGAGTCAAATTCCTCAATATGTCATCTAATAGTTATGTGGTCACCAGCAAGTCACTTAAACTCTGACCCAGTTTTATTTTTTTTAAGTGGGGATATTACCTGTCTTGCCTTACAGGAATCCTTTAAAATAAGTCTTACATGGAGAATATTTAGAGGAGCACTTGGCATGCAGTATTGCCAAAATAAATGTTAGTTTTTATTATCTTTTCAAAATGTGAGAACTCCAAATCAAAGTAGTTCAATAGTCAAAACTTCCCTATGAATTTGTTCAATAAATAATGTATTTTCTGATTAAAATTCCCTTGCAAATTTTAACTAAATCATTAAAATAGGATAGTTTCATAGGATAATGAAATGGTCAAGGAAGTTTTCAGAGCTTTTAATTAACTTTTCCCCTTATAAAAATAAGAAACATCCAGGACAGTGCCAAAATCTGTGGCATCTTTGTAACACACTAGTTAAGAACTAAGCAGGTGTCAAGACTCCTGATCTAGAACTCCTTTCAGGACATCACATTTAAATAATGTGTTGGCAAAGCTTTATGCAAATATAACCCACAAATATGAAAAAATAAAATACAAACCGTCATCGTCATCACTATTATCTGATCTTAGAGATGGTGCATAGCTGCGCCGGCTGTGAGTGACAAGATTACACAGGGAAATCTTTTTCTTCAATGGCCTCCACAGTTTCTACCTCTCATCCTTTCAAATATTAACTTTATAATAGTACCGTTGAGAAGTTTTACACTGGTCTCAAGGTCCCAATGCGGTTCCCACGACGGGGTTTGCCAAACAACAGCTCTTCAACGCAGCGCCGGCGTGTGGAGGAAGAAGGAAGGAAATGCAGAAGCCCAGGCGGGGGGTGGGGGGGAGGAAGGGTGTGGGCGGGGCTACCTGGCTGGGCGGGGCCACAGGGAGACGGGCGGGCGGGGTGGGGGCGGTCCCATCACAGCCGTTTCCCTGTTGGTTGCCACTGGTCTGCGCATGTGCAGCCTGTTTTAAACAGCAGCGCGCGCCGTGACTGGATGCCGGCCTGGAGCCTAGCCAATGGGTTGAGGACGTTGGGGCGCGCGCTCTTTGACGCGCACCTCGTCGCTCTCGTCGCTTCCCAGTCCAGGGCCGCTGTGTGTAGCTTGCCGGCGGCTACTCCGGCGTTTGGGTCGGTGCTGGGCTTGGTCGAGCCGCGGCCCTTGGGGGCCTCCGGCGCAAACCCTTCGCGCCAGCCGAGTCAGGCCAGAACATGGCTGCGTGGGGTCTGGTGAGTGCGGTTGTCTCCCTTCTGGCGGGCGGGAGCTGGGGGACCCTTGACAGCCGCGGGATCGGGCGGGTGCGGTGACCGCTTAGATTTCCGTAGTCAGGTGTGCCGGTAACCAAAGTAAATTTTTCTTGTTTTATTTCCTCAAGGTTTCTTGTAGTGACGGCACTTTTCCTCTCCTTGTCTCTGGGGACTTCTCTCTCTCTCTCTCTCTCTCTCTCTCTCTCTCTCTCTTTAAAGATTTACTTATTCACACATACAAGAACCGGGGTACAGGCCAGATATGCTGGGGTGGGGGGTGGCGAGAGGATTCACCAGAGAGTGGGGAGCAGAACAGGCAGATGGACTGAAATACACTGTTGAGGGGAGCAGCGAGCGAGGCAGGAGAGGTCCGCTGCGTCTGGGGATTTCTTTTCTAAGCTAGTCATTTCCTAGTTCCCAGAATAGTTTGCTGTCCATAGAGGAACTGGAACCATTTGAAAGTGCCTTTGCTTCGGGCTTGCTTGTCTGGAAAAGCAGGTTATTTAGGGAATATTGTTTATTGATGAAGTTTTGAAAAGGCAGGTATTAGTTTAAAGGTGCAAGCTGTGAATGACCGAAAGGGGGCGGGACTTTTTGTTTTGTTTATGTTTCCGGACGCCCGTGGTGTTCACTATGCTATATTTTAAATTTCACTTAAGGTTACTATCGGTTATATACCCTGTATCAACCCCTTTCCTAAACTGGTATTTGCTGCTCTATCTTTTCCTTTTAAGAAAGTCTTCAATTTTATTGAACTGCCCTTCCTTTTAAAAAAATATTTATTTATTTCTGCATAGAAGAGATGGGGTGTAGGCCAGAGTTGCGGGGAGGGGGCGGGGGGGAGGTTGAGGGGGTGAGAGGATTTACCAGAGACAGAGTTGAAAGGTTCGGCGCGGTAAAGAAAAGGAGAGCCAGGCTACATTTCTCAAAGGGAGGGAAAGTTTATTGCGCCCCGGGCGGACCTCACAGACCCAAGGCGGGGGTCAGTGGAGTCGCGCACGTTGTTAGGGGGAAGCAGGGTTTTATAGGGTGGGGAGAGGTCAGGTAGGTAGTTGGGCTCCTACAGCGGGAAAAGTTTGTAGGGCAGGTAGAGGTTCATTGTCTGAGATGAGACTCATAGGGGGAGGGGGGAGGCTCATTGTCTGAGTCCTCCAGGCAGGTATCCGCATTCCTGCCCCCCCAGGTGGGCTTCCGGGTAGGCTTTTGCATTCCGGCCTGCTGCATGGACCTCTCAAGAGTGGGGTTCAAAACAGGCAGATCTGCTGAAATACACTGCTGAGGCGAGCAGCTGGTGAGACAGGAGAGGTCTGCTGTGCCATGTGGGTTAGCTCCCTGGCCAGCTATCCAACTGAGGCCATCACGGGGATAGCGCTGAGACATAACCCCCTAGGCCATCAGGGAGGCTTTTAATAAAGATATATTGCGTATATGTACACTTGTATGCATGAGAAACGTATGTAAGTGTGGCATAGTGTGTGTGTCCTTTTTACTACGGCACATACATTGTTTACATTGCATGTAATCAGAAAAGAGCGATAAAGTCATTCTAATTGGTAAAGAAGAAAAGGGGAATAAAGCTTACCAGAAGACACAGTTCTTTTTTTTAATAAAAACTTTTCTTTTGCAGAGCAGTTTTAGGTTCACAGAAAAATTAAGAGGAAGATACAGATGTCCTATATACTTTTTGCCCCCAGTGCATTCATAGCTACTTCCGTCATCAGTATCCCTCACCGGAGTGATACATTTGCTATAGTTGATGAAGTAGTATTAACACATAATCACCAAAAGTTGATTTATGTTAGAGATCATTCTTCCTATCCATGCGTGGGACATATCTTTTAATTATTTTGTGTCTTAACATTTCTATTAACAATATCTTGTGGTTTTCATTTTCTCCTCCTATTAAGTTTATTCTTAGATACTTCATTCTTTTTGATGAGTAGTGTTGGCCTCATAAAGTGTGTTTGGAAACATGATGGTTCATCAACTTTTTGAAAGAGTTTGAGAATACTTAGGTCTTCTTTGAAGGCTTGGTAGAACTACTGGTGAAGCCATCTGTCCCCTATGTTTCTGGGTTTTTTGTTTGTTTGTTTGTTTCAGTTTGCTTGTGATTTGTTTCAGGTTTGTTTGTTTTCCATTTACTCTTGGAAGGTTGCATGTTTCCAAGAAATTGTCTATTTCTTTTAGATTATCCGGTTTATTGGCATTGACATACCGATATTCATAGTAGTCTCTGGTTCTTACTATTTCTGAGCTGTCTGTTGCAATTCTTTTCTTTCATTCATGATTATGTCTGTTAGATTTTCTCTTTTTTTCCTATAAACCTAGCTAGAGGTTTTTTTCTGTTTTCAAAGACCCAACTTTTGATTTTTTTGATATTTTGCTCTTTTTTTTTTAATGCTTATTTTTGTTATTTCCTACCTTTTACTGACTTTTGGCTTCATTTTTTTCCTTCTTTTTCTTATTCCTTTAGATGTGAGGTTAGATTATTTCAGATTTGATTTTTCTTGAGGCCTGTGCTGCTATAAATTTCCCTCCTAAAATTGCTTTTGCTGTATCCTATGGATTCTGACAGCTTGTGTCATTATTTTTAAATTTTTCCTTTGATTTTTTCGGTAGTTATTCATGTTGTGGCTTGTTGTTTAATTTCAATATATTTTGGATTTTTCTTTCTTTTTTGGTTGATTTCTACTTTGTGCTGTTGTGATCAGAGAAGATACATAATATTACTTAAGTGTTACCAACTTGAATTTTTGGAAACCGAGACGAGTTGGGATTTGATGATGGAAAAGGTTTGAGGGAGGTAGAGTAGGAGAACAAGGAAATAGAATAAATCCCAGGATATGAAAAATTAGTATAAGCAAAGGTTTGTAAGCTGTATAAATGAGGTAAGTTTTCTTTTTCTTGATCTAGAAGCAGTTAAAACACACTTGTTGAATGAATAAATGAAGACTTTTCTGGGGTGTGCTCATATTGGGGGGCTGTTACTCTCTTAAACAAAGACACTGAATTGATTTATTTTTCTTTCAGGATCATCTCAAAAATGACTATAGAAGAAGATTTTGCCGACCATCCAGGTAAGTTATAAGTTATAAAAAACTAAATACATAAACTCAAACACAAACATTCAGTTATACCTGTAGAACAGAAATCTGAATAATACTGGTAGATTGTGTTAATATTGGTATTTTGGTTGTGACAGTGTACAATAGTTTTGCATAATGTTACCATTGGGAAAGAGTGGATCAAGTGAACAAGAAGAGATCTTATTTATATGATTTCTGACAACTGCATGTGAATCTTCAATTGTCTCAGTACAGTTTTTAATTAAACAACTTATTCTGATTTATAAACCGCTGTTCAGATTAATGATACTAAATCAAAAGTGCATTTTAGAACTTATATTGGAGACTGTATTACTAGGATCTAGTAGCACTTGTGATCATAGAGTCTTTATTAAATAACCATTTCAGTATATTTTGAATTTGTTCAAAAAATTTTAAGTTCTTATTTATATATAAAACAATTGTGAACTTGTTTGTTTCAATCAAGGAAAGTAATTGTTAATGGAGACAATGACCTTGTTTCAAACACTTTTTTTTGGAATCTCTTGTATTATCAAGTATGTATTTGGTCTTCATATAGTAAAAGTGGTATTTTCCATTTGGTAATATTTTTTGATAAGGCAATGTGGAAATTTCAAAGTAGATATTAACATAAACAACAAATGCCTTTGGAGTATGTTAACATTTTTTCTTTTTTTCCTTCTTAATAGGGCACTTAATGTTAATACAGAGCAAGGCAAGAACATACTGGAAATCTTGCAAGACTGTTTTGAAGAACAAAGTAATGGTTTATTTCTAGATGGACTTTGAAGGTTGGGATGGATGAAAGTAGTCATTTTAAATGGATGTCATTTTGTCAAATATCAAATGCAGAAAATATGTCTAATGCTTACGAATATGTAAAACATTTTCCCAGTACAATACTTCATGTACCTTGTGGTACACTGAGAATAAGACTGCAAAATTGAGAATAATTTATCATTCTTTTTAGTTTGTACTAGATTCCTATAGTACGGAAATCCATAAATAATAAGAGAAAGTATTTAATGTAATGGAAATCATTATGCAACATTTTTGGGGTTCCTGAAGAGCTAGAGATAATATTTATTGTTTTACAACCCTTCTAAAGGAATGATGAATTATGTCCAAAACTTTGCTAAATGCTGGTATTGTATTAAGGTATTGTATTAAGAAAGAAAGCCAAGCAAAGAAATAAACACGAATAACAGCAACGTAAGTCTTGCATATAAACTCTGAAAGAACAGCTGGTACATATTTCTTCAGGAACCTTGTTTGTCATTTTCAGTTCTTCTAGGAACATTTGAATATTCAATTAAATTGAAGTTTACATTTCATTTAAATTGTGTTTAAAGAGTCAACAGACTTCTTCATATGTCATATAGGTATTTTAAGTAACCAGCAAAGTTTATGCCATGTTTTATTTTTTTTAATTTCTTTTTCTGTTTTTTGAGGTCTTGCTAATGATCTTAGCACAAATTCTACAAAGTCAGTGTTTTATTCAACACCTAAAATAAAAGACATTTGTAATCAGTTACCAAGCAAAGAGGTAAGTAAAAAAGGAGAATAGGTATGGTTTATCATTAGTACATTTTAAGTACATTTTAGTTTAGTTGTTTGTAAGTCTTATTTTTAAAATAGAACCATGTAGTGCCATTGACTTTCAATAAGATTTAGAGGCATTTTGTGAAAATTTTGATTTGATCTTTTCTGTTTTTGCAGTTGAAGTCTAGGAATTATCAAATTACAATCTTCTTTGTCATTTTCAATTATAATCATTTTTCACATCTTCTAAAATAATACTTAAATTAGATTTTTAGGAATGTAGATAATTTACTGAAATTCCTAATCCAGGTTGGCAAGGTTGGTTTTTTCCTAATAAAAAGAAGACAGTCTTGCTACATAGGGGCATCAATCTTTTGTTGATCATATATTTTAACAAGCAAGGTGATTTAACTATACAAAAACAGCAGACTTTCAAAGAGTTTTTGAAGCTGGTAATCTAAGACAAGTTATTCAAAAACATAAAACTAATTGGAAAGAAAAATATAGTGCTAGAAATAATACTAGAAACTTGAGTATTCTGACACATCATTTTCATTTTCTTTTCCTAGAGCTATTTTTCTTAGAAGTCTATTCTTTGTTTTTTGCTCCAATCTACCCTGTCACATAGGTGTTGTTACCTGTCATATAAAGTTGTCATGTGATTTTCCTTTACTCAAGGAAATCCCTTCTCTTCTCTCATATATTGCCCTTTACAGTTCTTGGATCTCAAATCTTCCTTTTTCTTGGCCTCTCCTTTTTTTGGTGAGGACTCATCTTTTAGTAACTTCCTGAGAAATTAATGCTTTAAATGTTTGAAAATACCATGATTTTACACTGATGATGAGTATATATAGAATTCTAGGTTGGAAATAAATTTTAAAGATATACTCTTTTTTTTTTTTTTTTAGCTTCTGTGTTATTGGTACCACTCTGATTCCTTGACCCTTTGTCAGTGACTTAATTTGTTTATTTAGTCTTTGTAAGCTTTTAGGATCTTGCCATCTGTTGTTAGAGATCTGGAACTTTGTAACTTTGCGATATTCCTAGATGTTAGGTTCCTCTAATTCTTTTTTTATTTTTTTTTTTTTTTATAGAGGCATGTTTTATTTATTTGTTTGTTTGTTTGTTTATACATGCACTGGGTATAGTCAGAAGCGTGGGAGGGTGAGAGAATTCACCAGAGCGGGGAGCAGAGCAGGCAGAAGGACCGAAGTACACTGCTGAGGGGAGCAGCGGGCGGCAGGAGAGGTCTGCGCGCCATGTGGGACCCTCCTCCGGTGGCCGGGAAGCAGCCGGGGATTGAACTGGCGCCGCAGAGGCTGCGGGCAGCTTCGCAACCCGGCGCTCAACCGCTGCGCCACCGGGGAGGCCCTCCTCTTAATTCTTTTCATTAAGGCTTTACAGTTTCAATTTCCATTAACTTGCTGTTTTTTTTTTTTTTTTTTTTTTTGCTTATTTTGCTAGTTGCCTTTTACACTAGAGCCTGCTGTCAGATGTCTAGTGATCATTAGCCATCTCCTCATATTTAAGAATGAGAAACTAAAGTGGTGATTGGAAGCTCTTTATGTATAGGAAAATTTATAGATTAGCAATTTCACTGTGGTATGACTGTCTGGGCTATGTCATTGTAGATGTCAGGGTTTTTTTCTCTAAGTTTTCTAACAAATCTCTGCTGCATGGGAGGTCTTTAATCAAACAATATTTTTGGCTAGGTGGGGCAAAGGGGAAGGGTGCACTTTGAATGCTTCCACTTTTAGTGTATTACACTTACCTTCCACTGCTCTCATGTCATTGAGTTAACAGTCTCTCTGATTATGAAGCTCAAGAGAATAATCATCTCATTTTCTTTTTCTTTTTTTTTTAAAGGTTTATTTATTTATGCATATAAGAACTGGGGTACAGGCCATAGGGTTGGCGGGGGCGGGAGGTGAGAGGATTCACCAGAGACAGAGTGGGGACCAGAACAGGTGGACTGACTGAAATATACTGCTGAGGGGAGCAGTGGGTGAGACAGGAGAGGGTTGCTGTACCATGTGGGTTAGCTTCCTGGTCCACAGGGGATCGAACTCATACTGTGTTGCAGTGCCTGTGGATAGCTTCATAGTGCTGCGACTTAACCCTTTGCGCCATCAAAGAGGCCCTCTCATCTAATTTTCTGCTAGGGTTTGGAGAGAAGAGATTCAGTGACTTACCACTCCCTATACAAACCTAAATCTTTGTTTGCAAGTCCCACCTGTACCCCCACTTTAGAGGTGCCTTGTACTTCTAATTTCTGATCTTGTGGATTTCTCCATAAATGTAAATCATGTTTGGAATTTCTCCATAGCTAGCGAGTTGCTACTTTCTCTGGACTGATTAGTAGCTTCTAGTCAGTCTGCTCTTCACCTTAAAAAAGTTTTTTGATATCTACTCATTTACTCCCTTCTCCTTGTCTTAGACCTTATATATTTATACATTTAAACATTTTCTTAATGTGGTTTCTGGAGGGAACAGAGTACACTGAAACCTACTTTTGTTTCTGTGTGTAATTGAGTTCGAGAGTATATTCATGAATAGCATATTTATGAATGGGGTAAATGGCTTAATTATTTATTCCCTGTTGGCACAGACTTTAGGTTTCCAGCTATTCATTATCACAATGATATGGTGAACAACTTTTTTCATGTATCTTTGTATACATGCTGTAAACTGAATTTCTCTAGGATATGCACATTGAAGTAAAATTATTATTATTATTATTATTATTAAAGATTTATTTATTTATTTATGCATACAAGAGCTGGGGTACGGGCCAGAGGTGCGAGGTGGGCCGTGGTGGTGAGAGGATTCACCAGAGACAGAGTGGGGAACAGAACAGGCAGATTGACCGAAGTACACTGCTGAGGAGAGCAGTGGGTGAGTCAGGAGAGGTCTGCTTGTGCCATGTGGGTTGCTCCCTGGCTGGCTGGGAATCGAACTTGTGCTGCAGTGGCTGCGGATAGCTTCATAGGTTGTGTCCTAACCCTTGTGCCACTGGGGAGGCCCTAAAGTGAAATTATTAAATGTTAGGGTTTTTCTGTAAAATGGTTTACCAGTTTTCTTTCTCATCTGCAGAATATGATGAGCTGTCTCTTTTCTAGATTTTCAAAATTTTTAAATTTTTAAATGACTTGATATGTTTCAGATTTATAAAAGAAAATATATAATGCATGTAAAGTGTTAAAAATGCTATAAGCAATCACACACATATCCATCCCTTAGTGTAAGTAAGTAATACCAGTACCTTTGAAACATCTATGTGCCTCTTACTGTTTCCTCTCTGCACTGAGGTAATCACTTTTGAATTTTGTCTTCATCATTTCTATCCTTTATATTGTTACCACACAGGGTTATATGCTGACAAAATCATGTCTACTGCTTACAATAAGAGTCCGATTACCATTCACATGTTAGATGTTTCATCAAATGGTTTCATGAGACTCAGTATATAGTTGTACTCATAACTGAGATTAATATAACTATGCAGTCTGGATACACAGCTAGATCAGTAAGAGAAAAAGAAAATGTTTAAGGCAGAGCTTGCACTTTAATGCCAGACTTCCCATGATCCTTAAAAGGACCACGCAAAGTGTAATCATTGCCTGTCACAGTGAAATGAAATATGCAGAAGAATTTGTACAATCTTTCTGCCCAGGGAACTCTTTTGAGTTTTTATTGTGGGTTATAAGGCAGCCTTTGCTCACCAAAATTCTGCACTCGCTGAAGGAAAAAGGACGGTATTGACCGTAAATCATATTATTTACACAAACAAACATCTAGGCAGGCTGGTATAGCAGATACAGCCTTATCTGCTAGTCAAGGAGGGAACATTCTGAAAACCAAATACCTAGATTCCAACGAAGGACTACCCCTATAAATAGGACCTTTAAGTGACCATACCTGCTAATATTAACTTTTTGTATAGATTGAGTCTCTAAATAGGATCAGTATTAACTTATGCAACATGCTTTTTCTTTGTTACCAATTGTTTATTCAGGTTTCTGTAGTTTATTTCACTATTGTATATGTGATATTATCTTATATAATTATACACTAATTTATCTGGTCTTCTCTCTGACTACGTTTTTGCTGTTGAGAACAGAATCATTTCTGTGATTGGAAATTTCAACTTTGCTAGATAATGCCAAATAATTTTCCAAAGTAGTTATTTAAGTATACAACTATACCTGCTGGTTTTTAAATACTGGCTTTTTTTTTCCCTTTTAAAATCGAATGTGTTTAATCTGATGGTATTTTAATGGAGTTGATCTAATGTATCTCTTTTAGGGTCAGTACCAGAAATCACACCCAAACTCAGTGACAATTTCTTCAAGAAAGAAAGAAACCTCTGTGGGCTGTATTGTAGAATCAAATGAAGTCAACAAATCAGGTTTGTGATATACCCATGGGTATTATTTGCCTGGATAAATTTTGGAAATGAGAAATGTTGAAGTGGTGCATGTTTTGTGTCGAGTGACAAAGATTAATGTCAACCTAGACACAGTTGTGAAATGTAAGAAATTGTTTTTGATTCCAAGTCGTGGTCAGTGTTCTTTTTCTCTCCTCTTTTTTCTCTATTTCTTTTAGGTAATTATATGTGCTTTTAAAAGTGTAAAGTCACTTTTTAAAGTTTTCTTTATTTGTGTTTTTCAAATAAGTCCTTCATTTGAGGGAAGAGTCAAGATTAAAGAGGAAAAGCTATTAATCATTACTCCCATCTTCCTGCTATTCCCACCTTTGAATTCTTCCATATTCCTTGTTGCGCCTAACTGAAAACATTAATACTGTGTTTGCGTGTATGTGTGCATATATGTGTTTTCAGAAGAGGCTTTCACAATTTTCTTTTACACTTACGGTGTAAAAAAAAACCTGAGATTATCAACTATCCTATTTTTTGGCAGTTTGATTAGTATTAAGTAATTTCATTCTTATTTTATTGTCTATTTCTGTTATTATCATTGATTTAAGTACTTTTTCTGCTTTAATCTACTTTTTTCCTGAGCTGTCTATTTATGACCTTTTCCTATTTGCTTTTTCTTGTTTATGATAGATCTTTGGATTTTATATCTGTAACCATTTATCTGTGATTTGTGCAACTGATACTTTTCCAAATGACTCTTTGTCTATTACAGATTTGTTTAATATCTTTATATGATGGATAAAATTTTTAAATTTCATTTGTCAAATGTCTAACTTAAAACTTTTGAACTTCCTGTATTGATTAAAAGGTCAATCATAATGTATATATAATATCCTTGACTTCTTTCAATTTAAAATTTAAACCCATCTAGAATGTGTTTTGGTGTTCTATGACATATTACAATTTTATTTTCTTCCAAATGGTCAGTTGTGCAATTCCTTTTATTAATTAATCCATTCTTTTATTTATATACTATTTTACCATGTATTAAGTCTCACATATCATTTTTAACATGAATTATGGTCTCTTTGTTTATTATTTACTAATAATAGTTTTTATAGTATTTCTGATCTAAAGATATTTTCTATTCCTCTGCTGTTTTCATTCTTTATTCTCCCAGTGAACTTTTTGGTTTTATCCAAGTCCCAATAATATTTTGTTGAGATTCTAATTAGAATTGCAGTTAATTTGTATGATAATTTGTGAGAATTCATTTTTATGTTATTTAGTGTTTTTTTAACATAAGGACATGTCATATGTTTCTATTCTCATCACTGGTCTGACGGACATTATCAGTTACATGAACGAATAACCCACAGAATGGGAGAAAATATTTGCAAATAGTGTATCTAAGAAAAGATTTATATACAGAATATATAAAGAATTTCTGAAACTCAACAACAAAATAGCCCAAAGGACTTGAATAGACATTTTTCCATTTGGCTAGTGAATGTATGAAAATGTTGCTCAGCATTACTAATAGTCATTAGAGAAATGCAAACCAAAACCCTACTAGATGCCCCTTTATACATGCTAGGATGGCTATTACTTTAAAAAAAAACTAAAAAGGAAAATAGCAAATGTTGATAAACTGGAACTAACGTGCATTGCTGGTGGGAAGATGAAATGGAATAGCTACTATTGAAAGAGGTTTGGTGATTTCTTCAGAAAATTAAATGCTGCTCCTAAATATATACTCAAAAGAATTGAAAACAGGGACTCAAGCAGTTATTTGTACTCCAGGGTTCTAACAGCATGTTTGCAATAACCAAAAGATGGAAACAACCCAAGTGTTCATCACTAAGTGAATCATGTGGTATACACATACAGTATAATGTGGAATGTCTCTGAATTTGTCTACATTTGGGTCATTTCCACCTTTTGTCTGTTGTGAATAATATGCTGTGAACACAGGTGTTCGGGTATCTCTTGGATTCCCTCCTTTCATTTTTTTTTGATATAATCCCAAAAAAATTATTGAAACATATGATAGTTATATTTTTAATTTTTTGAGGAGCCACCAAATTGTTTTCCATAGTTCCCACCAGCAGTGCATAAGGGTTCCAATATCTCTATATCCTTCCTCATAAGCACTTGTCTTTTTTGTTTTGATAATAACCACCCTAAATGGGTATGAAGTAGTATTTATGGTTTTCACTTGTTCATCTCATTGTCATTAGGGGAATTTAAATTAAAAAAATAATTAAATACCAACATACCTATAACGATGGCTAAAATTAAAAAAATATATAGATTACTCAAATCTTAAACTTGTTCGTTTCTATAACTTCCAATTCTTTGAGAGTTTCTGTCTTTTCATTTATTTCAAGAGAATTTATAAGTGATAATACATTTTTATGATAACTTTACCATTCTTGCTAAACAATTCCAACAACTGATTCACTTTGTTATTTGTATTCATAGATCATAATTTTGTTCAGGCATATTTTTCATGGTTTTAGTGGGATTAGTTATTTTGATTGTATCCTTGTCATTTGGTTATTTTGTTAGGAGAGCCTTAATTGTACTTAAGTATCCTGTTATAACATAGTTGCCTTGTTTTCGTTAATGTGTAGGTTCTTGTCTACTTTTGTGTATTTCCAAGGACATGTTTGGAGTCTTTATAGTGATTTTTGGATCTGTTTTATTTTTTAGTTTTCTAGGATTCCATCACTGGCTGGTGCTGTGTGGTGTGAATGGAAGGTGCTTTTCTAAGTTTCCTTATGTCCTTATTCACCCTGCAGAGATTAAAGTCAGAGCTAATGAAGTTAGATTTCCTTTTATCACTGGATAAAGAATAGGATAGAGATGCAGAGCTTTCCTATGTTTATTCCTGCTTCAGATTAGACTGGCCTTCAGGTGCCCTCATTGTAAACCAGTAGTGCTGAGATGGGCTGGGTATCAATACTTTCAGTGGATTTAAACATCACTTTGGTCTGTGAAGCAGGGTTTGGGAAGGTTAAAGCGTTAAAGCCTTACTATTATTGAATTTGGATGAGATTGTTCCAGGGCTTTGTTGATTTCTGTTACCGTTCCACAGTACTTTTGTAGTGAGGCTGGGCATGGCCTATGTCTTTGTTGCTTTGCCACTGCAAATGTAAGGTGCTCCTGGTTGTGAAGTGGGAGTTGGGTTCTCCACTATGTTTCCCTTCTCCAAGTTTTTTTTTTTTTTTTTTTTAAGATTTATTTTTTTATTTATACAAGAGCCGGGGTATAGGCCAGATGCGCGGGAGGGTGAGAGGATTCACCAGAGACAGAGTGGGGAACAGAACAGGCAGACTGATGAAATACACTGCTGAGGGGAGTAGTGGATAAGACAGGAGAGGTCTGCTCGCCATGTGGGTTGCTCCGAGGCCGAGGCCGGCGGGAATCAAACAGGCACTGCAGAGGCTGTGGACAGCTTCACAGCGCTGTGTTCAATCGTCTGTACCACCAGGGAGGCCCCCTCCAGGTCTTTTGGACAGAGAATACAGTTTTACCTCCCGACCCCATGTCTGTTGGCAGTTCCAGGTTGCAAGTCTCTCTTAAGTCCAGTCTAGGGGTGTATGGGAGATAAAAAGAAAATCCAGAGGTCCCCCCCACATTGTCTGATGTTGGTTAAGGCTTGGGGATCCTTGCAAAAATATGTCTTCATCCTGGGCCTCCCCGGTGGCACAGCGGTTGAGCGCCGGGTTGCGAAGCTGCCCGCAGCCTCTGCAGCGCCGGTTCGATCCCCGGCTGCTCCCCGGCCACCTGAGGAGGGTCCCACATGGCGCGCAGACCTCTCCTGCCGCCCGCTGCTCCCCTCAGCAGTGTACTTCGGTCCTTCTGCCTGCTCTGCTCTCCGCTCTGGCTCTAGTGAATTCTCTCGCCCTCCCATGCTTCTGACTGTACCCAGTGCTTGTATAAATAAATAAATAAAAAATATGTCTTCATCCTTCCAGCTTTCAGTGATTCAGTGTTGTTTGATGGATAATTTCCATGGAATTTGGTTGTATTTATTTAAAAAAAAAATATGTCTTCATCCTTCCAGCTTTCAGTGATTCAGTGTTGTTTGATGGATAATTTCCATGGAATTTGGTTGTATTTAGAGGGAAAAGCAGGAGAAAGTAAGTCCTTGTCATCTTACTCAGGAACCAAGTCCCTTTTTGTTTGTATTTAAAGTTTTTAATCTTTGCTTTTTAAGATTAGGAATTAGTACTATATCTCTGTATGTATCTTTATATCTATATATGTGTATATGTGTAAATGTTGTTCATTTAGCTGCCCTACGTTGTTAGCAACTGTTAACCTAAGATTCATTATTTTAGTTGTCCATAGAGTATTCAAATCTTAAAGAAATTTGCCAGAAGCCAGCTCCAGCAAACTATTGTGTCAGAGTACCTGCAGGAAAAGACGGTGTCGAGGACTTGAGGGATAAGGGATGGGGGAATGAGGAGACATGATACCTAGATCAGGGTGCAAGTATCATCCTGCCTAGGCTCTCAGCAGTTCTTTATACATCTCCAGCAAGCCATGGGAGTACATAAGGGAGTGCTTTCAAGTAGTAAAAAAAAAAACTAACAATGGTGGCATTTTTTTCAAAATCTGCCTGGGGACCTGATGGCCCCTTGCTGAGGTGATAATAGCCATTTCACTTTGTTCTAAAGGTAAATACAATTACCACACAAAATGTCCCCTAACAATCATTTATTTTCTAATGCCCAGTAATCATTCTGTTAATGCTAAAAACAGCAAAACAACAAAAAACTTATATGACTAAAACTTAACTCCTTTATAACTGCTAAATTACTAATTAATCAAAATTTATAAAATTCCTAAATCTTAAACATTAAAAAAAAATCACCTTATACACCAGTAATCAAGTCCAATTACTGCTAAAATCAAAAAACTTCTTAATCCTATAACTAATCTATTCTAATTTAATAAAAGTAGTAAAAAATTAAAAAACCCAAAGAATCCCTGTGCCGCTTAAATTGCACTAACCTTTATCTAACCCCAAGCTCCAAAAGAAAAAAAAAAAAAAAAAGGGGGAAACTCCTTTTACTTTCTCAAGGCTATATTTTCACCTGTTACTTCCCTGATTATCTTATTAACTAACTGCTGTTTCTAACTTTAACTGCTATCTCTAACTTTAACTGGTATTTCTAACTTCAAAACTCCTCTCCAACTGGTCTCTGTCTTAAAAAACCACAATTCTATATCAAAGACTTGGCCAGGAATGTTTACAGCCTTTAGTTCCCAAAGGTTTTCAGGTGTGACATATCACTTGTTTTTGTAAGACCAAAATTTAAATCACTGCTTCCAAGCAGAAAAATACTAATTGTTTCAAAATGTATTGTTTATATCATGCAGTGCCATTGTAGTCAAATTAGTTATTTAGTATTTGGTCATGCAATATTTGCAGTTTTACTTTTCAAATATGTGTATTAGTAATTGCCATATTCAAAAGAATCAGCCATAAACAAATGAGAAGAATCTAGCAGGAGTCATCTAACAAGATTCCTGACTTTTCAGGAATCTGCCCCATGCCCGGACCTTTGTCAGACAACATGAGTAGCATGGCCCGTGCCAGAAATTGACTTGTATCAATAAAATTGTGAATACTTGAAGATTTTTATCATTTTAAAACTTCAAAGCATGTACAAGATAGATGTTAAAGTTCATTAATTTTATAAATTAGAACTTGCATATTTTAATCATAGCTCTCTTTGATTATAAGCAGTAACCTGTGAGTCATTTAAACTATTTCTAATTAAATTATTGCTGAATTTTTATAAAGCATGTTTGATTCTCTTATTAAAAATTATTTTAAATAAATTCATATACTTTCCTTCTAGTTTGTACCCATGATGTTCATCCGAAAATTGTGGCAACTGATGTTGGTTCTAAAAATATACCTGACTCAAGAAAAATGTCAAATAAAAATAAAAAAATTCATCATGATGAAGACAAAGTGGAATTGTATTTATCTGTTTGTTCACCTTCTGTTCTCGTGGATGCAAAAACAGTATCACAAAATGCCAGTGCCCAAAAGAGAAAGTCCTGCACATTTGAAAATTCAGTAAATTTGCTGTCTTCAAACACAGAGATTTCTCTTAAAACCAAAAAAAGGTATTTACTTAAATATTAATCTTATAAAAGTTTTAACTTTTATATTTAAAAGTGAGTAATTTAGTCTTCTATGTATTTCCTTGTAAGTATTGAAATATATTAATAGTTAGAGACTTAACGTGTTTTATTTATATATATTTTATATATAAATACATGTATATATACACACATATACACACATACACAGTTTATATTTAATAAGGAAAGCCTTAATGTGTACATCGGAGAAGTTTAGGGATAAACTTTTCTATAATCCTTGGAAGAATGTATTTTTTCTGGTGGTACAAGTTTTCTATAATTTCCTAAGAGAAACAGTTTGTATTTTCTCTGTTTTTCTTTTTTTTTAAGATTTATTTATTTATTTATACAAGCACTGGGTACAGTCAGAAGCGCGGGAGGGTGAGAGAATTCACCAGAGCCAGAGCAGGGAACAGAACAGGAAAACTGACGAAATACACTGCTGAGGGGAGCAGCAGGCATGGCAGGAGAGGTCTACGTGCCATATGGGACCCTCACCAGTAGCCCGGGATCAAACCAGTGCTGCAGAGGCTGCAGGCAGCTTCGCAGCCCAGCGCTCAACCACTGCGCCACCAGAGGAAGCACTTCTCTATGTTTTTCTAATTACAATATTAAGATATGTATCATTTCAGGCATGGTGAAGGATAAGTATGTATGAGAATGAGTTGTGGTAAATGTATGTCCATTTCTTGGACCTTTCCTTAGCTTTTTGAAAGACTGTTTAATGTCCTTTGCTATTAGAAGCCTCTGCAATGAGTATAATTTCTGTCTTGGATTTTGTATGAATCTTGGAGCCAAGGAGTTAAGTATATTCTAAGAGTTTGCTGTTCATAGCTATTCCTGCAGCTCAGGATCAATAGCAATGGCAGTATCTGGGAACTTCTGAAAAATACAGAATTCCAAGCATTACCCAAAATCTACTGACTCAGTCTACTTTTTAATAAGATTCTCCAGATTATTCATAGTCATATTAAATGACTGAGAACAAATACTCCAAGCTACACATTTCCTTGGTATATGATTTAATCATTCTTTTCTCTTTTATTTTTTGTATTGACAGATACAAAATTTAATTTTTCTGAGCAGTTTGCCTTGTATTTTTGGTGTATTTTCAAATCAACATTTACGTATTTGAAACAAAATTCTGATAGGAAAATTTTTAAGTTGTCTATATTATCACTGTGAGGGGATTCAGCAAAACATAATTAAACAAACTGGGAGCATTCAACTTGCCTTCCTTTTAACCTTTTAGGTTAGATTTTGAAGATGATGTTTTGAAGAAAGTAGAAATAGGGAAGAAAATATCAGAAATAGGGGATAAAATATCAGAAGGACCACAAAAAGGGAAACCATCAGGAACATCTCAGCAAGGAATACAAGATTCAAAATATGAAATTCAACCACAAGCTAAAAAGAGTTTTTCAACATTATTTTTAGAAACTGTAAAGAAAAAAAGTGAATCCAGGTAAGTTATTAAGAAACCATCCTTTAAGTTATTTTTTCTTTTCATATTTTATGAATATTATCTAAGGATTCTTAATGCTATTTAACTTAGAGAAAATCTTGACACAAATTTTAATTTAAATTATTTCTAACCCATAAATTGAGTATAGTTTCTTCCCAAAAGCCATCATTTAATAGATACTAAATTTTATGTGAATGAAAATGTATTTATTCACTTTTCCTAACTTCTGCTCATCAACAATTTATTGTTTGTATGATATCAAAGAATGAAGGCAATGTTTAGAAATAAATTTATGTCAGGGTACCGGTATTTCATTATTAAGTGTTTAAAATCTATTTTTTATTTCTTCTTGTATCAACAAAAAAGGTAGTTTTAAAAATAAATTTTAATTTGCTACCTAAAAATCATCAGTGGTTCTACAGTATCTACACAGTAATTCCTAACCGTGGCTACACAGTAGAGTTTAACTAGAATTAGTACAGCTAGGGTTTAGAATCACTGGTCAATAGAATAAACTTCAAATTTGTTAGCTGTTGCTTATAGCTTTCTTCTTGATCATTAACTGTTCTGCCAACTTGGTCTTACACATTTACAGTGGTCCCTGCTTTGATATATACCTTTTTCTTTTGTTGTAGGCTAATCTCCATTTTCTTTTAAAGCTTGTGCTAGGTTTCCAGCTTTTCCAACACTCCAATTTTTGGGTTTTTTTTAAAAGTAGTTTTCTTGTATTATAGTTTAGTTATTTTGTGTTTGTCTTTCTTAGTAGATTAAGACATAAACCCTTCTCTCCAGAAATTTAAAGTTTCTTTTCTATTTTCTATGATATCAGAATGATAGTGTACATATGAGGAAGGTTTTATAAAAGCATATTGAAAAAATGAATAAAATTCCCCTTTTGTTTTTTCACTATTCCCATACCTGATATCTCAGTGTATCTTGCATCTTACATCCTGTTTAGCATGTTTTCCTCACCATCTGAAAGAAATGTTACACTGAGACCAGTAAGTTAATTCAGTACTTTTTTTTTAAAATAAGTTATCTTGTGTAGTTTTTTTTTTTTTTTTAAGTTTTATTTTATTTGTTATATAAGCACTGGGTACAGTCAGAAGCACGGGAGGGTGAGAGGATCCACCAGAGACAGAGCGGGGAACAGAACAGGCAGGTTGATGAAACACACTGCTGAGGGGAGCAGCGGGCGGCAGGAGAGGTCTGCGCGCCATGTGGGATCCTCCCTGGAGGCCGGAGATCGAACCGGCGCTGTAGAGGCTGTGGGCAGCTTCGCAGCCCAGCGCTCAACCGCTGTGCCACCAGGGGAGGTCCCAGTATTTTAATTTTAATTCAGTATGTTTTTAGTGTTTTTTTTTTTTTTTGACAAATTAACATTTTTTAAAAAGAAATCTTAGTGAGTAGTATTAACTTTAGTAACTGAAGTTAATTTTCTGCCGAATTGGTGTAGCCAGATATAAAACTCACTATTCCTGGAACACTCTTACTTCATTCTTTTGCTTATATTCTTCCTTTTGATTATATTTTTGCATTTTCCCATGAACGAATCTCTTTTTTTCCTTTTTATTTAATTGGAGTAACCTTGGCTTACATTATTGTGGGTATTTTGGAAGTATAGGAGATTTCCCCCTCCATCCCCACCTCCTCCCTTATCACCACCATAGTACATCCATCACCAAATCAAAAAAACTATACAAAATATAATTTGATATAATATATAATAATGGCATTCATTTTTGGTCTATCAGAGAAATTTACATATCCCAGGCTTCAACTTTTTACTATATATAACGAGTGGGGGAGCATCTAAATGAGTCCCATTAGAGCTCTAAATGAGTGTAATCAATATAAAATTGTAAAGGAAGATTTTATAGGGAGGGTAGGATTTTTAAGGATATGGGAAAGGAAGGCTGTGAACTTTTTGAGATACAATGATTTTTTTTTTTTGGTATGTATTATTTTCTTCACTAAGCCAGGGTAAAAAAGCTTTTCTTTTTGAGCTATTTATTGTAACATTCTGTTTTAGTCCTATTGTTAAACATATAGCAACTTCTCCACCTCATTCATCACCGGCAAATGATAAGAACTTATTAGAGGATGAATTTGTTATTGATGAATCAGATAGAAGCTTTGCCAATCTATCTTGGATTACTATACCGAGAAAGGCTGGATCTTTGAAACAACACATAGTATGCTCAGCTGAGGGCACTGTACTCCCTCAAAATAAGTCAAGAGAAAAACATCACAGTGTATCGCCTATGAATTTGACAAGGGACAAAGATTCTGATAAAGTTCACCCAGTAGAGAAATCTCAGCTCTCTGAACAAAAAAAAATGGGTAAGAGTTGTGCTTTGACTGATGCAGTAGAAAATAATCATAGATCTACGAAATATAAAACATATTCTGAGAACACAGAAAAGTCGCATCAAAGTAAAAGGACTACAAGACAAAAACAGAGGAGAAAATCTAAGCCCAATGTAGTTGAAGATCATGCTGATATGGAACAATCTAAGGAGAAAGACCTAAATATGTCACTTACCGACCAAGACAAGTTACAAAGAAATTCAGACAGAAATATGGAAGAGTGTGAAGAGATAAGAAAGGTTCATACTTCAGTAAAACAGAGGCAGCCTGTGGGTAAGTGTATGTATTTAATAAAGCTGTGAAGATTATTCTAATACTTTTTTTACAATACTCCTATTTAGCTTTGGGAAATAGGGAAGGTAAACGTAAATCTACAAGGAGCCTCAAAGGTCTATTTTTCTAACGTCTCTTTGTTTTATGAATCATTCCAACTCACTTAATTTTTGTGTAACTTCTAAGATGACAGCATCATGAAGGAGGGTAAAAGGGAAAGGCTAGCTTTTCTCTCCACATGTTCTGTTTGGTATTTAAGGTAATAAATAGAGAAGACCTTTCAGGAACCAGATATTCTGCCTTAAATTTTTCTATGAGATGCTGCCAAGAAAAAAATTGTGGAAGAAAGTCAATTTTGCTTTCTCCTTTTTTGACATGTAACAGCTGAGAAATTTAGCTCCCTTGAAACAACTGGAGCCCAGATAAGTCTTTAGTATTGTACTAACCTTTAAATTCATAATACAACTTCTTTTGTACAGCTTGGTAAACTGTAGTTTTACTTTCATTATCTCAGAGACTCAGATAATACCCTAATTTAATAAAGTGAGAAAGAAATAAAAAAAAAAAAAAAGGGAAAGGCTAGCAAACGAGGCAGCTGGAAATGCATAAGAGAGCCTAAGTTCTTCATGTTCATTAAAGCATAAATGTGGGGTGGAGGGGCGGGGGTGCGTGTCCCAGGATTCTGTGGGGTTGTTTTCCATTCTCTTTTATTCCATCATTCATGCACTTTTCTATTGATGACAGCTATTAAATGCCAGACACTGAAATTACAAAGATTACTAAAACACAATTTTTACTCTTGAAAACATCTCTCAGTGGGGTCTGAGAACAGTTATCTAATATCTCAATGGACTGTTTTGTCTTGGGTCATTAGATGATTTATCACCTAATCTAGGACCCTTGAGAGTTGCAGAGAATGTCAGGACAGTAAGCACAGACTGGGATTATCCTAGGCAGACTTGGACTATGGTCACCTATGTGATGATTGAACAGTGAGTGATGCTTGATGCTTGATGGCATGTTCATGAAGGAAAGACTGTATTCTTTGTACTGCTTTTTAAGTAATAGAAAAAAAAAAGTGGTTACTTTTAAAGAATTCTTGTCAGAATAGTTAATGGAGTAGAAAACACTTATCAAATGTATTAGATAATTTTAATGTATGCAATATAACTTAACTTTTTTGAAAGTCTTTTAAAGTAGGAGATGAAACTCCATGGAGGTTTAAAAAGTACTCAACAGGATCTGACTCACCATACAGTCCGTTGTTTTTGTCTGTGTCAGCAAGTTTTGAAATAAATAAAAACATTTTGATTTTAATGCTTAAATGGAAAAACTGTTAACTAATCAGAAATCCACCTTGGCCAAAATTGTATACATGCCTGAGATTCTAAATGACTATATTATATTGCTGACATAGAGGAGAGACAAAGTATATTAAAGAAAGGTATTTTAGCTCCCACCCATCCACCACCTCCTGTTCACCAACTCCCCTCCTATCTTCCCCACCACCATCACCATCATACCAGTGGTGCCTCTGCCTTCCCCTCTATGACCACTGGCACAAAATCCGAAAATCCTAGCTCCTTTCTGCCACAATTTCACATCAGTGCTGCTTCCTACTTCCTTTCCACCGTTTTCATCAACTACCCCTCTGTCATGCTACAATTCCAAACATAACTTCCCCTCTTTTCTTCCACCACCTCCATCTCACCAATCCTGACTTCCTCTTGTGCCCCTCTGTTAGGGGGAAAGGATGTCCTGAGCAAACTCCATACAGGTTTTGCGGACTCCACCCCCACTCCATCAAGACACTGGAAACGACAAATCCCATGATCACCAAAGAGAGGGTTGTGAGGACCTGAGGGTGGAGTTAAGCAGCCATGTTTTTCTGATTGGTGATATAACCAGCCATGTGAGCTGGGGTGGGGTCTTGGCCATGTGGCACTCAGCTTTTCACCAGCTTGGTGGGTCATTGGGATTCCAAGTCAGCGGAATGAGTAGGACACATCTACGAATTTATCTCCCTCTTTTTTTCCCTGAGTTCTTCATTTCCTCATTTCCCCTTCCCTTGTAAATAAGCCTTTTATTAACCTTAAAAAAAAAGATAGTTTTATGAAAAAAAAAAAACTTTAATCTAGTCATCAATTACTCAATTATTTTAGCTTTCTTTTTTGTTTAGTCTATTACCTAGACTCTCACCTAAATAATAGTTGTCAGACTTCAGTTTTGTCTGTGTGTGCCTTTGTGTATTTGAAAAATTCTTAAAATGGAAGGTGGAACAAGACACCTTTTCTATCTTGTGAACCTCTTTAATTGCACAATAAGGCCTATATTCTTTTTTTTATCAGAGTTGTTATTTTTTTTGTTTTCTTCAGTTAATGATTAGCAAAGGTTCATTTTAAGAAAACACAGACAGCATGAGGAATATGCCCAAACTAAGGTTGATAGTTACATTATAATGAAGTTTTCTTGCTAGTCTCTTCAGCAGTATATATTCACAGAACTTAAAGTTACATTTTTTCCATAATTTTTTAGGAAATACCATTTTATCAATAAAGTATACTTGAAGGATACTCTTTTTAAAATGTTAAGCATTTATACAAGAGCTGGGGTACAGGCCAGAGTCGCGGGAGGGTGAGAGGACTCACCAGAGACAGAGCGGGGAGCAGAACAGACAGGCGGACCAAAAGCGCTGCTGAGGGGATCAGTGGACGAGACAGGAGAGAGGTCTGCCTGGCCATGTGGGATTCTCCCCCGCTGGCCGGGATTCAAATCGGTGCTGCGGAGGCTGTGGATAGCTTCACAGTGCTGTGCTCAACCCACTGCGCCACCTGGGAGGCCCTCCCGCGACTGGTTTGTACTCCAGCTCTTGTATAAATAAAAATAAATCTTTAAAAAAATATATAAAATGTTAAGCATTTATTATCTGCTATATCCTGCACACTAATATTCATTTATATTAAATTCTTTAGGTTGCCTAGTGCATATAGCATTCTGACTAAGTAGTATACCAATTGCATTCACTTTTTATTGCCCTCATAACAAATTACTGCATAAATGGTGGCTTAAAACAACTCATATTTGTTATCGGAAGTGTGAAATGGATGTCACTGGACAAAATCAAGATGTTGACATTGCTTTTTTGTGGTTCTAGGAGAAAATTCATTTCCTTCCTTTTCCAGCTTCTTCAAGTCACTTGTATTGAATGATGGCTTCCTTCTTGTGTCTTCAAAATCAGCAATCCCAGCCTTATTTCTCCTGCCTCCTCTTCCATCATTACATCCCTCTGTAACCACAGCTTTAAGGACAGAAGTAATTAGATCGGGTCTAATGATCTTCCTATTTTATGATTTATAACTTTAATTACATTTGCAAAGTGTCTTGCAATGTAAAGTGCATTTTTCACAAATATTATGGATTAGGGTGAATAAAAATCTTTGGAAGGCCATTATTAACAGTTTTTTAAAAAATAATGTTGAAGATAATTTAATTCCAAAAATATTTTTTCCATAAGATCATTTTTCTTTAATTAAATGGCACTTCACGAACTTGTAATTCCTGTACTGATGAAATGGATTTTTCCACTTTATGTTACACAGGTTTCTTAAATTGAACATATTGAAAACTAAATTCCTTCAAAGTTGTTTCTTTTCTTTTCTTTTTTTTAAAAGATTATTTTTAATTTTTTTTTTTTATATAGAGGCATATTTTCTTTCTTTCTTTGTTTGTTTTTGTTTTATACATGCACTGGGTACAGTCAGAAGCGCGGGAGGGTGAGAGAATTCACCAGAGCCAGAGCGAAGAACAGAGCAGGCAGAAGGACCGAAGTACACTGCTGAGGGGAGCAGCGGGCGGCAGGAGAGGTCTGCGCGCCATGTGGGACCCTCCTCCGGTGGCCGGGGAGCAGCCGGGGATCGAACCGGCGCCGCAGAGGCCGCGGGCAGCTTTGCAACCCAGCGCTCAACCGCTGCGCCACTGGGGAGGCCCTTAAAAGATTATTTTTATACAAGAGCTGGGCTACAGACCAGAGGCGCGGGAAGGTGAGAGAATTCACTAGAGACAGGTAGGGGGAACAGAACAGGCAGACAACCGAAATACACTGCTGAGGGGAGCAGCGGGCGAGACAGGAGAGGTCTGTGCGCCATGTGGGAATCTCCTTGGCCAGCCGGAATCAAACCCACACTGCAGAGGCTACGGACAGCTTCACAGCACTGCGCTCAACCTGTGTTGTTATGGGGGGGGACTCAAAGTTGTTTCTTTTCTAGTTTTTCTTTTTCTTTCTTTTTTTTTTTTGAAGATTTTTTTATTTATTTAATTTATTTATACAAGCACTGGGTACAGTCAGAAGCGCGGGAGGGTGAGAGAATTCACCAGAGCCAGAGCGGGGAGCAGAGCAGGCAGAAGGACCAAAGTACACTGCTGAGGGGAGCAGCGGGCGGCAGGAGAGGTCTGCGCGCCATGTGGGACCCTCCTCTGGTGGCCAGGGAGCAGCCGGGGAAGAGCCGGGGATCGAACCGGCGCTGCAGAGGCTGCGGGCAGCTTTGCAACCCAGCGCTCAACCGCTGCGCCACCGGGGAGGCCCTCTAGTTTTTCTTTATGTTCATAAATGAAGCCACAGTAAGTTTAATAGCTTAAGAAAGAAATTCAAGTCATCTTTTTAGCTCCTCTTCCCTTTACCTAACAACCCATAAAAAGTAAGTCTTTTCATTTTTTTCCTAAATAACTTTCAGAGTTGTTATGGTTCGCCATTTCTTCTGCTGCTTCTCTTAGCCAAATTGGAATAATTTTATTTCTTAGATTATTGTAGCAGTTTATGCACTTATACTCTGACTTTACCACTTTAAATTAATCACCTAGATTGCTTTATCTTGAATTCCTCCTAGTTCTGTAAACAGGCCACTTTCTCAACTATGTGGGCCTTTAGTAAGATGTTCCTTGGGCCTCCCTGTTGCCACAAGGGGTTAAAGCACTGGCCAGGGAGCAACCAACATGGCACAGCAGGCTTCTCCTGTCTTGTGTGCTGCTCCTATCAGCAGTGTAGTTCATTTTGTCTGCCTGTTCTGCTCCCCACTCTGTTTCTGGTGAATCCTCTCACCCCCCGCACCTCTGGCCTATACTCCAGCTCTTGTATGCATAAATAAATAAATATTTTTTAAAAAAGATTCCTTTTGCTTAGAAAGTTTTACCTAAATGTACCCTGGATCCTTTCCCAAGCTTTTATATTCAGTTTAAATGTTACTTTACTTAGTTATTAACCTCCCTTCCCAAACTGGATATGTTCTTACCTACTTTTTAATAACACCATTTTTATTTTATCAAATATATAACTATTTGTTGAATTTCTGCCTGTTGTCTAGAGTCTGGGCTGAAAGCTCCAGAGGAATAGAGACAATATCTGTCCTGTTCCTAAAATAGCCCCCAGACCTTAGCCTTTGCAGTGTTCTCTGTGTCATTGGAATACATTCTCTTCAGATACGGAAGTATTACACTATTCTTGATGAATATTTCTGCTGTGTTTATTAAAGCACCTTCCCAGAATCCCTCTGTATATGTAAATATTCACAATTTTCTGTAGTAGAATTAATCATTCACAAGTCATCTCTTTCTCTAACTATTGTCCTCATGATATATGTGTCCTCAGTTCTAAGTCAGCTCTCTTTATATTACCAGCTGTTCATCTATCAGTTCATATAGCTTGTTTTTTAGTTTTTAAGTTCTTTTTCATCTAGTTCCTAACCTTTCTTGATTTGTAATTAGTTTCTGCTGTTATATTCTTAATTGGCTTGTCTTTTACTTTGTTTGACATTCTTTTTCTGTATCATTGTCCAAATCAGTTGTGTTGATAGCATTTTCTCCTCAAATTCTTTCCCCCTAAATCATTGCTTACATTGACTTTTTGAAGTTGATTCATGAATATAGGCAATGCTCTATCATCATGTGTCTCTCTCACTGGTAGAGCAATTATTCAAGATATTTTTGACAAGTGTAAGGAAATGGAAAATTGGGCATGGGGAGAGATAAAAGAATAGGAATTGGAGAAAGAGATGATGGCAGAAATATAGGGGGCAAGAAAATGATGTTCATTGATGAGCATTCTTGCAGTTGTGCAGATTATGCTTTAAACTACTAATCAGTGGCAGCCATGTTGAATGTTCTCTCTACTTGCTTTAGTATTTTATAAATTGACCCTTTTTTCTGTATTCATTTCCTAAAAATATCATTTTGCATTAAGCAGGTACATTTTATTATATGTTGTATGTATAACATATAATATATATGTTTACTTCTAAAAAAAGCTGCTTTTAGAAAAGAACAAGTTAACTCACACCAGCTATGGTTTCTATTTCTACTACCTTCTATAGCCCTGAATACCTGGGCAGAGCCATAGGACAATCTCATATGAAGAAAGAGTACAAAACATAAGCCGCCTTGGGCACTTAATAGAGATAATCAAAACTTAAGACATTGTGTTTGCTTCTTTTCTTATAATAGCTATACAACCAATTAAATAGTTAATTTCTAAAGGATCTTTACTGTTGAGTTTTTGCTTGTCATTATCTTTTCCAAGGTAGTAGATGATACTAATATTAAACACAGTGTTGTTAAAGTAGATTTTTCCTTTTTCATGAATTTTTTTGTCTAACTCAGTTTGTCTTTCACCTCCTTTTATAAGCATGAATCAGTTCTTTTTATTCCACAATCAACATATTGCCAATTCCTAACACTTAAAGAGTGATATTGCTATAAAGGTCTTTACATAATTTGGCCCATTTCATCCTATGCCCTCTACTCCTATCAGATTTTACCTGGGAAAATGGAAAAACCATCTCGAACAATACTTTTCAAACTTGCATGTCAGTTTGAATTCCCTAAGGATCTTGTTCATTAATAAACTGATCTAGTGAGTCTGGGGTAGGAGCAAAGATTCTGTAATTCTAGACAAAATATTTTAGGTGGATGCTGATTAAGCAGTTCTGTAAGTCATATTTTTTCAGTATCAAAACCCAATAATTAGTCTTTTCTTACTTGGGATATTGATTGGTAGTTGGAAAGAGATACATATTTCATGTTTCCTCTTTTTTGGGGTATACTTGTCTTTTTGGCTCAGGAATATATAATTAAGTATTTTGAAGTTTTCTTTTAACTCAAAATTAGACATCTTACTGAGGGCATGTGACTTAAAAACAGATGGAAAAATGCTGACAGAATAAAACTGAGAAGTTTCTATAACTTAGAGGGTTTTTTTTTTTTTTTTTAAATCTATTTTGGTTTTCTGAAAACTAGATTATGGTCATTTTTATGGTTTTCTTTATTTTAGGAGGCAAGCAAAGAAGCACCAGTGTTTCTCTTATAGAGAATCAGAAAAAAGATAGAGAACCCAAAAAGAAACATTCTTCACATGGCTCCAAGAAGAACAAACTTATACCTGAGGAATCTGATTCCATTCTCACAAGAAGTCGAAGAATTTCCAGGCGTCCGTCTAATTGGTGGGTGGTAAAACCAGAGCAGAGTAAGTATTTTTATTTAAACTATGTTCATTGGGTGTGCCCCAAAAGTCATTGTATAAAGAAGGTTTATGTTTCATTTATACTCCCATTCTCCAGAGAAAATCTCAGAACAAAGTTAAAGTGGGTTATCAATAGAAATTTAGTTGTGAAGATACTTCCTGAGACTGTACCATATGTAATATTCAAGAAATAGGAATTAGCTGTGGAAAAACAAAACTGAAAGTCCCTGTTCTTATGGCAATTACATTCTAGTGGGGGGAGATCAACAATATAGATATATAATTCATGCAGTGATAGACGATAAAGAAATAAAGGCTAGCAATGGGAATTAGGTGGTAAGGGTGGAAGCTGAAAGTTTTGCTCCTGTCTATGATTCATTATAGGGTAATGTACCAAGCAGAATGATCAGAAACAGTATATGGACAAAGTGTGAAGGAAATTCAGCACCAACTTCCAAGAGTTCTCTCACAGAGACTTCACACAGGAGGCACTTAATTCTTCTAGAAATGAGTTGTGACAAATGTGTGATATGTTTTCTCATAGAAACTTAGTGCTTAGGCTTTTTATTGGGGGTGGTCACCTAGGCAACTTTTGCCTTGCAAATACTAAAATCCCACACTGTAGGAAAAAGCAAATACTTGGCATTGACTTTTTTTATTTGGGCAAGCAGTTTAGGAATACTCAACTAGTCTCATCAGTTTGGAAATGATAGGACTACCCTCTTGGAATTCAAGTTCCTAGACTCTCTCCAAGGGCTAACTTTACATGTAAACCCTTCTGACATGAGCATTCTTAGGCCTACTTTTTTCCATAAAATATGAAGCACTAATTGTTTTGGAAATTAAATTAAACAATTTTTTGAAAGGGAGTGATAATGAAAGTTTGGTAGATGATAAGCATTTACATGCATATCACTGTCCACTAGTGCATTTAGATCAACAAGTGAGAGTAGTACAAATTTGGCATTACAACTGTGAGCCCTACTTGCTATCAATTATTAAATCATTAGCATCTTTGGTAACAGCCAAATATATTTATTGTGCGACAACCCTTTTTAGAATTTGAAGTTAGACCTGAGTTTAAAATATGATTCTCCCACTTTGGTTAGATAACTATTCATGTTCAATTTCTTACTCTATAACATTATTACCTGTACTTCTTTTTTTTTTAAAGATTTTTTTTTTTTTAATAGAGGCATGTTTTTCTTTATTTATTTGTTTGCTTGTTTGTTTGTTTTGTTTATACATACACTGGGTACAGTCAGAAGCGCAGGAGGGTGAGAGAATTCACCAGAGCCAGAGCGGGGAGCAGAGCAGGCAGAAGGACCGAAGTACACTGCTGAGGGGAGCAGCGGGCGGCAGGAGAGGTCTGCGCTCCATGTGGGACCCTCCTCCGGTGGCCGGGGAGCAGCCAGGGATCGAACCGGAGCCGCAGAGGCTGCGGGTAGCTTCGCAACCCAGCGCTCTACCGCTGCGCCACCGGGGAGGCCCTATTACCTGTACTTCTACTTAATTAAGTTGTTGATCCTGTTAAGGTCAGATGGGATTGGAAAAGTAGGTGGAATATAGTTAGTACTGAAATATTAACTGCTTCTATTGCTGCTTCAGAGAACTCCCAGGGTACCTGAAACAGTACTATGATTGATGAATAAATATATGGGTAAATAAACACCTTACAGAGATGAGATATAAGGGTAGTGGAATTTTGGAACTCATCAATATATAAATACAGATAAAGCACCAGTCTTGGTCTCAAAGAATTGTCAGACTGCTGGAGGAGAGAGATGGATAAATAGTATGACATTTGATAAATATTTTCAGTGTGCTGAGATAGAGCTTTCTAATCTAATCTTGGAAATAGGAAAAGCTTCCTGAAGACAAATTAGAAGTCAGCTAAGTAACTGGGTCCAATGAGGAAGGAGGATGGAATATGCTGAGGATGGAATGTGCTGAGGATGGAGGGAGTAGTGTGTATTGAGATTAGAAGTCAAAACTTGGCTTTTTTAAAAATTGTGGATACTTAAACGGAATTAACTGGAGAGCTTGTTAAAATTCAAATTACCCTACTCCTCAGAGTATCTGATTCAATAGATTTGAGATGAGGCCTGAGAATTTGCATTTCAAGCAAATTCCCAGGTGATTCTGCACCTGCCTGTCAAGAGCCCTCCTTTGAGACCCAGTGCTTTAGAGAAATGCAAATATTTCAGTATTGTTGGTTTATGTTGGTTTGTTAGGAGAGGAGTATTGAGAGTTGTAGTTAATGAAATAAATACTCTAGATGTAGAAATTAATGTTAAAAGTATTTGGACTTAGCCCTTGAACTATAGACAGTCACTAAAAGAGCTTAAGCAGGGTAATAACGATCCAGTTTATTTTCCAAATATGATTCTTGAAGCAGTGTGAAGAATGGATTGAAAAATGGAAAAGGAAATTTATGAAGAGACTATTTTTTTTTTTGATAATCCAGATAAGAAATATAGAGGGTCTTTGATAAAGATACATGGGAGACTTTAAAATAAGTAGATTTTTAGAACATTAAGAAAGAGAAGTGACAGGATTTAGAGATTAATTGTGGATAGGGCCGGGTATCTTAGATAACTTAGATTCCTGACTTAAGTATCTGGGTGTAGATAGTTATACTTTTTATTAAAACAGGAAATAAAAACAGAGGGGCAGATTTCATTAGAGAGTGGTTGACAAATATTATAGGTAGCAACATGTAAACTTATGAGTAGATAGATCCCTCACAGAAAGTAGTAGAGTGGGAGGCTGAAGCTGGAAACTTGGGGAAGAGCAGGCACTTAAGTGTGGCTAGAAGATGGTTGATAGAGCTGGAGAAGGGTGTCTTAGGAACTTGTCATAAATTTAAAAGATTTGGTGCATGTACCTAAAAATTGAGGAGCTGTATAGTTTATGAATTTGACTTGAAAACAAATGTAGCCTAGGAGATTGATATGGGTGTTTATATGTAAATGTAAATAACGATGGTATTTCAGTGAGTCAGATAGTCTGTATACATGTACAGTTAACTTTTAAGTTATCATTGAATCCCCCAGGTCCTGTTTATAACTATTCTACAATAATAAATGAATCATCAGCTTATCATAACAGTAAACAAAAACCTGCTGAAAAAACAAATCGATCATCTAAGAATATTGGGAAAAAAACTAAAAGGCAGAAGAGAGCTCAAGGCAGCTCAAGAGAACTGAAGTTTTTAACTGCTGACAATTCTGGTGAAAATATGAACCATGATGAAATCTCCACTTGTTCCCAGAATGACTCATTGGAAATTGACAAGGCAGACCTGGCTGAGAAGAAAAACTTAGCTCTTTCTAGGTAATATCTGTTATGTGTACCATATAGTTGTTTTTGTTGTTTAGCATTTAATAGTTTGTGTTATTTAATCATTCATAGAGAAACAATATTAGCTTAAAGACTTGTGGTCTGACGATCACTTATTCATTTTAAGTTTACTGTTCAAGTTGCTTCCTTTTAAGGCAGGTTAATTTGATCCCTAAGGTAATTAGGGATACATCTTAATATTTTTTAACCAAAGATGGCAGTGGTTAATGCATTTTTGAATGTTAATTATTTGCCGAGTATTTGCTAGGTGCTTTCAGTGAATTCTTCTCAGTCCTAACAACCTACTGAAATAAAAACTTCTTAGGCACTTTTACTTTTTAATAGAGTATTCATTCATTCAACATATACTTAATGCATGTTATGTGTGAGAAACTGCAAGGTGCTAGGGTTGTACCTTAAAAAAATGATGCAGGGCCTCCCCGGTGGCGCAGCGGTTGAGCGCTGGGTTGCGAAGCTGCCGGGGAGCAGCCGGGGATCGAACCGGCGCCGCAGAGGCCACGAGCAGCTTCGCAACCCAGCGCTCAACCGCTGCGCCACCGGGGAGGCCCTCAGTTGACATTTTATACAGTTTCCTTGGGCACATGAATAAGCACTTCCTATGGTGTCATATATACATCAAGAAATAGAATTGCTGGATTTTAAATTTTGGTATCTGCTTTAGCATAGTTATCCTTAGCATTAAGTAAGATAGTATATATTTTATTTTTGCACAACATATGCATTTTCATTTTTGGTTATCTCCCCCCCCCCCCCATAGTGTGTCTGGTTTATAGTTGCGTGTTGATTTTAATTTTTTTTATTATAATTAGTTTTTTTCCTGGTCCCTTATTTAGATTTTCTAAATTCCTGCTATGAGTGAAATCATCTGGTATTTTTCTTTTTCTTTCTGGCTTGTTTTGCTGAGCATGATCCCTTCCTGCTCCATCCATGTTGCTGCAAATAGCATGAGTTTATCTTTTTTGATTGTTGAGTAATATTCCGTTGTGTATATATACCACATCTTCTTGATCCAGTCATCTATTTTGGGGCATTTGGGTTGTTTCCATAGCTTAGCTATTGTAAATTGTGCTGCTATAAACATAGAGGTGCAGGTGCCCTTTGAATTAATGTTTCTGTGTCCTCTGGGTAAATACCTAGGAGTGGAATTGCTGGATCATATGGAAGCTCTATCTTTAGCAGGTTGAGGAATCGCCATACAGCTTTCCATTTTGATTGGACCATTTTGCACTCCCACCAGCAGTGCAGGAGAGTTCCTTTTTCTCCACATCCTCGCCAACATTTGTTGTTGCTAGTTTTTTTAATATGTGCCACTCTCACTGGTGTAAGATGTGGTATCTCATCGTAGTTTCGATTTGCATTTCCTTGATTATAAGTGATGTTGAACATTTTTTCATATGTCTGTTGGCCATTTGCTTTTCCTCTTTGGAGAAGTTTTTTTTTTTTAGCTCTTCTGCCCATTTTTTGACTGGATTATTTTCCTTGTTTTTGTTGAGTCTCATCAGCTCTTTGTAGATTTTTGTGTTCAGTCCTTTATCATTAGTGTTGTGTGCAAAAATTTTCTCCCAGTCAGTGGGGTTTCTCTTTGCTTTGGTTATTGTCTCTTTGCTGTGCAGAAGCTCTTTAATTTGATGTAGTCCTAGCTGTTTATCTTTGCCTTTACTATCGCTGCTTTGGGTGATGTGTCTGTAAAGATGTCTTTGAGGTGCATGTCATGTAGTGTTTTGCTTATATTCCCTTCTCTATATTTTATGGTTTCAGGTCTTATGTCTAGTTCTTTAATCCATTTTGAGTTGGTTTTTGTGCATGGTGTGAGGTAGTAGTCAAGCTTCATTCTTTTGTATGTAGCGACCCAGTTTTCCCAGCACCATTTATTGAACAAACTTCCTTTGCTCCATTGCATATTCTTTGCTCCTTTGTCAAAGATTAGTTGACTGTAAATCTGGGTTTATTTCCAGGTTTTCTATTCAGTTCCATTGGTCCGTGGGTCTGATCTTGTTCTAATACCATGCATTTTTGATTAATTTGGCTTTGTAGTATAGTTTGAAATCTGGGAGAGTGATGCCTCCATTCCCTTCTCTTTTTTTTTAGGAGCTCTTTGACTATTCGGGGGTTTTGGTGGTTCCATATGAATTTCATTAATATTTGTTCTATTTCCTTGAGGAATGTCATTGAAATTTTTATTGGAATAACATTGAAGGATAGTATATATTTTATATTGATTTTACCTTCTTAATAAACTAAGAATTCCTTTGATATGCAAAACAGCCATTACTTTATGTATGTATTTGCATTTCTCCGTGAATGTTATATTTAGTCTCAAGGATTTTCAGCTTCAAAACATACTACTGGGCCTCCCCGGTGGCGCAGCGATTGAGCGCTGGGTTGCGAAGCTGCCCTCAGCCTCTGCAGCGCCGGTTGGATCCCTGGCTGCTTCCCGGCCACAGGAGGAGGGTCCCACATGGCGCGCAGACCTCTCCTGCCGCCCGCTGCTCCCCTCAGCAATGTACTTCAGTCTGCCTGCTCTGCTTCCCACTCTGGCTCTGGTGAATTCTCTCACCCTCCTGCACTTCTGACTGTACCCAGCGTTTGTATAAATAAACAAACAAACAAACAAACAAATAAATAAATAAATAAATAAAAATCTTAAAAGGAAAAAAAAAAACTACTTCTGTTTTCTCCAAACACGAAGAATATTTGAAAGTTGGTAATCATGAGTTAGTGTAGCCATTGCTACCCACAGCTACACATTACTAAACCCTTTAAGGTTGTTTTTAAAGTGAGTAGCATGAAGTATATATTAACATCCAAAGACATTAGTATTAGTGTATTAATTTGATGGCCATTTAAAGATATCTGAGGGCCTCCCTGGTGGTACAAGGGCTTAAGTGGCAGCACTATGAGATTGTCAGCAGCCACTGCAGCACAAGTTCTATCCCTGGCTAGGGAACTAACCCACATGGCACAGCAGACCTCTCCTGTCTCGCCCACTGTTCCCCTCAGCAGTGTATTTCCATAGATCTACGTGTTCTGCTCCCTACTCTGTCTCTGGTGAATCCTCTCACCCCCTACACTTCTTTCTGGCCTGCACCCCAGCTCTTTTATGCATAAAATAAAATCTTTTAAAAAATAAAAATAAAAATATCTGAGTCAGGGCTAAATTAAAACTGTGTTTGGAAACTAGTTTTGTATCTTTTATTTTAGAAATTGTATAGGTACCCAGCGATTAGTTAATGAATTTTTATATCACAACTTAGTATTAATTTAAAGTTTTAAAGTTAACTGAAAGGGTTTGGAAGTCACAATTAAACTGATCTATTTTATAATTTATAGCACTATAAAAATTCATTTGGGAAAAGATATTACCTATTATTTAACTTTGGCACATAACTTTATATTTTGTAATGTTCAAAGAAGTACTTTGAGTAATTTTAGGAATTAATAGATTTTGGGGGAGAAAATAAATTCAGATCTTTTCAATGCTATAATATTATGTGAATACTCATAGAGTGGTGAAATTAGGGAGGCGACAGATCATGGTTTTTAAGCCAAAATGAGTGAATTAACTTGTCTGAGATGTCTTCCTGATAAGAAATACTACATGAGCTTTTCTTCTATAGTACATATTAAAATAGCATATTAAAACCCTTGCTTAAAGTGATATTTTTTGCTTAGAACCTACCAACCATGGTCATTAATTAAATTATAAGCTAACATCCTTTTTCCCTCCTAGAGTCTTAAGAAAAAAAAGATCTTAAAGAGCTAGTGTATTTAAACCATAAGAAACAATTTCCTTCTAGAAATCTTTTGAGTTACTCTCATTTTAATAATTATTTTATATTAAAGATCTAATTGGTTGTATTAAATAATTCATGAGTCAGGCAGTACCCCATCTAACGAGTAGATAGGTGTACCTCATTTTAAACTTATTTAATATACATACTTTTATATTATTTCATAAGCCAGAACAGAAACACATTACATTAGATTTTTATATACAGCTTTACTGAGATATAATTCACATACTATGTAGTTCATTGTGAAATGGATACAATTCTACAGTTTCTAATACATTGACAGGTGGGTACAAACCTTGAAATCAGTCAATTTTTTAATATCTTTATCATCTCAAAAACAAATTAGTATCCTGCAGTATTCCCCTCCTCTATAACTAAACAATCACAAATCTATTTTCCCTCTAGATTTCTGTCTTCTGGACTTGCATATGAATGAAATCATATAGTATGAGAGTGTACATAATATTTTCAAATTTCTGCCATCTTGTAGCATGTATCAATACTCCATTTTTCCTATGGTTGAAGACTGTTTCATGTTACAATTATACTATATTTTTTTAATATTAATTTGATAGGCATTTGGGTTGTTTCCACCTTTTAGCTATTATAAATAATGCTAATATAAACATTTCTGTACAAGTTTCTGTGTGGACATAAGTTTTCATTTTTCTTACATTAATACCTAGGAAATGGAACTGAGTCATATAGTTACTATATTTAATCTTTTGAGAACTTGGAGACTGTTTGCCAATGCAGATGCCTATTTCAAGTTCCACCAGCAGTGCCTAAGAGTTCCAATATCTGACTCTTTGATTCTTGCCATCCTAGTTGGTATAAATTGGCATCTCATTGTTTTTATTTATTTGCATTTCCCTGATGGCTAGTGATATTGAGTATCTTTTCATGTGCTTATTGGCCATTTGCATATCTTTATTTGCATATCTTTAGAGAAAGATTTATTCAGATCTTTTGCTTAATATTTAATTGGGTTATCTTACTGAGTTGTAAGAAGTCTTTATATATTCTGGATATACATCCTTCATCAAATAAATAATTTGCAAGTATTTGCTCTGTTTTCCAGGTTGCCTTTGCACTTTCTTGATAATGTCCTTCTAAGCACAATGTTTTTAATTTAAATAAAGTCCAATTTTTTATTTCGCTGCTTTTACCTATGGTTTCATGTCTAAGAATTCTATGCCCAATTCAAGTTTGTGAAGATTTACTCATCATACCTTAAAACTATTGTAGTTTTAGGGCTCCCTGTGGCACAGGAGATTGAGCACCGCACTGTAAGCTGTTCTCAGCCTCTGCAGTGTGGGTTTGATCCCGGCTGGCTGGCGAGAATCCCACATGGTGCTGCAGACCACTCCTGTCTTGCCCGCTGCTCCCCTCAGCAGTGTATTTCTCAGTCTGCCTGTTCTGTTCCCCGCTCTGTCTCTGGTGAATCCTTTCACCCTCCCGCACATCTGACCTATACCCCAGCACTTGTATAAATAAAATAAATCTTTAAAAAAAAAAGTATTATAGTTTTAGCTCTTAGATATATGTCTTTGATATACTTTGAGTTAATTTTTGTATCTGTTCTCAAGACTCCAACATAATTCTTTGAGCCTCTGAAAGTAAGGCTCCAACATCATTCTTTGTCTTGTAACTATCCAATTGCCTGATACCTGTTTGTTGAAAAGACTTTTCCCCTATTGATTAGTCTTGGCATCATTGTTGAAAGTCTGTTGACAATCCATAGATATGTGATTTATTACTGAATTCTGAATTTAATTCTGATCTCTAAATAGCAATCCGTTTTCCAGGACTACACTATCTTGATTATTGTTGCTTTAAGATTAAGTTTTGAAATTAGGAAGTGTGAGTTCTTTTTTTTTTTTTTTTTAGTTTATTCTGGGTCTCTTGCAATCCATATAAATTTTGGAGTCAGTATCAACTTCTACAAAGATGTCAGTTGGCATTCTGATAAAGAATGTATTGAAATCTGTCTCTCAAGTTGGGAATACTGCCTTCTTAACAATAAGTCTATTGGTCTATGAATAGGGATATTTTCCCATTTATTCAGATCTTTATTTTCTTTCAACAATATTTTCAGAATATGTTTCTGCTGCTTTTGTTAAGCTTTCTTGTATTTTGTTTCATTCCTTTTTATTCCTTTTGATGCTGTTATGAATGGTATCGTTTTTAAAGTTTTATTTTTGGATTGTTTGCTGCAAGTGCATTGAAATACAATTGATATTTGAATAATGATCTTATATCCTGCAGTGTAGCTGAATTTGTTTCAGTAGCTTCTTAGTAGATTTTTTAAGATTTTCTAAGTGTAGATCATATCATTTGTAAATAGAGATAGTTTTATTTCTTCCTTCCCAGTCTAGTTGCTTTTTATTTCTTGCCTAATTGATCTGGCTACAAACTTCAGGACAACGATGTGGCATTAGCAGACTACCTTGTTTTAATCTTATTTGGAAAGCATCTAGTCTTTCACCACTTAGTATGTTGTTACCTGAGGGTTTTTCATAGATGCCCTTTATCAAGTTGAGGAAATGTCCTTCTGTTTCTAGCTTGTTAGGTATTTTTATCATGAAAAGGTGTTGGATTTTGTCAAATGCTTTTTTTTTTTTTTTTGCATTTGTTGAGGTGATCATATAAATTTTAAAATTGATATGACTTAACATTAATTGGTTTTCAGATATTAACAACACTTGTATCTCTGGTATAGAGATCACTTGGTCATATATAATTCTATATAGATATGTTGCTGGATTTGGCTTACTAGTATTTTGTTAACTTTTTTCCTCTGTAATTTTCTTTTCTTTTTTTTTTTTAAAGATTATTTATACAAGAACTGGGGTACAGGTCAGAGGTGTGGGAGGGTGAGAGAATTCATCAAAGAGAGTGGGGAGCAGAACAGGCGGATTGACTGAAATACACTGCTGAGGGGAGCAGCGGGAAAGGCAGGAGAGGTCTGCTGCGCCATGTGGGTTTCTCCCTGGTGGGCCAGCAATTGAACCCATGCTGCAGAGGCTGCGGACAACTTCACAGTGCAGCGCAGCGCTCAACCCTCTGTGCCACCGGGGAGGCCCTCCTCTGTAGTTTTCTTATGTTTTTGCATAGTTTCGGTATCAGGGTAATTCTAGCTTCATAAAATGAATTGGGAAGTGCTCTTATTTTTAGGAAAAGTTGTAAAGAATTTGTATTGGGAATTGGGAAGTGCTCTTTTATTTTTAGGAAAAGTTGTAAAGAATTTGTATTCTTTGTTTTTTTTTTAAGATTTATTTATTTATGCAAACAAGAACTGGGGTACAGGCCAGAGGTGTGGGAGGTGAACAGATTCTCCAGAGACAGAGTGGGAAACAGAGCAGGCGGATTGACTGAAATACACTGCTGAGGGTAGCAGCAGGCGAGACAGGAAAGGTCTGCTGTACCATGTGGGTAGCTCCCTGCCCAGGGATTGACCTCATTTTGCAGTGTTTGCGGATAGCTTCATAGTGCTGCCTCCTAACCCCTTGTGTCACCAAGGAGGCCCCCAAAATTTGTATTCTTTGAATGCTTGATAAATTCTGTAGTGAAATCATCTAGAGCTGGACTTTTCTTTCTGGATAGTTGATTATTAATTCATTCTCTTATAGGTTTTTTGGAGTTTGTTTATTTTTTCTTGAATCAATTTTGTTAATTTGTCTATTTCTAGGAATGTCTCCATTTCAAATATGCTATCTAATTTTTTGGCATGTAATGTTATAAGTATGGTTATATAAATTCTTTTATTTCTTTTGACTGTTTTGGTAGAACCTAAGGGGAAAGTGGAAACTCCAAAAAATAAGCTATTACAGAATATGGAGAAGTTTGCATGCACTTTAGTTATTTTGCATACAGATTGATTTCTCGCCCATGATAAAAGTAGACTGATGGACTGAATTAAGAAATTAAGTTAAAACATAGGTCTTAGAAGAAACATGAGAGTAGAAAGAAAATTATTCAGTCTAGGAATAATGTAACTTGTTTGCATATAGTTGAGTTAAACTAATGGGCAGGTGTCAACGGCATGAACCCTGGTCTCTCTGAACACCCTTATTGTTCCTTAGGTCGACTAGGGATACTGAAGAATGAAATTTGAGTGGTTATTTTTCAAAAAAATAACAGAGTAACAGTGTAGTATACATCTTAAGTTGCCTGTAGGTAATTTAGTGTCTCCTGGTGTCCTTATGTCATCACTTCTATCTTAGTATAGATCTGCTCCATTCCTTACCACACTTTTTCAAGTCCAAACTCTTGGTAGACCTTAGAATCAAATTTCTTTTTTGGACTAATTATGAGCCCTAGGACCTGAAGAGGGATGTCTGATATTTGTAATTGCCAATGTTATATTGCTTATGCACCTGTGCATTGATTGTGGAAGAAATATTTTGAGGAAATGTAAACAATTATAAACTTTTCATTTTCATAGATGTACAGGAAGTTCAAAGGAGCAAGATGGTACAAATACTGTACAAAATGTTCATCTAAAGTCTCAGACAAATGACCATACATGCAAGACAATAGCAGAGTCTAATTTGAATTCTGGAGAGCCTAACACTTCAGTTTTTGAAAGAAGGTATGCATGTGTTCTGAGGATAACAGGACTTACTGTATTAGTTACCCATTATTATGTAACAAATTACTCTAACGCTTGATTTTAATTTTGTTAGTGGCTTGCATCCACTTTCTGTTTCACAGTTTCTGTGGATCAGAAATCTGGGAAAGACTTTTGTGCTAGTTTTGCCTTGGGGAATTTCTTGAAGTGTAAGAATCAAATTGCTGTTTGGTTTGCAATCCTTTGAAGGCTTGACTGGATTCATAGCATCTGCTTATAAGGTTGTTTGCTCATATGGCTGTTGGCTAGAGACCCCTGTTCTTTGTCATGTGGCTCTGTCCATGGGATTGTATGGTGTGGCAGCTGATTTCCTACATTACACATGTGATTCAACAGAAAGTGTGACTACACTGGAGTTTCTGATATCTTTTAAAGATCTAGCTTCTAAAGTTGCTTACTGCCACATCTACATTATTCTGTTTATTAGAAACAAGTCACTAAGTCTAAGCCACAATTATGGAGAAGGGAGTTAGCTTTTACCTCTTGAAAATACGAGTGTTTAAGAAATTAAGGTTATGTGTTTAAAGTGAGCACACTCAGTGAGTAAACCAAATTAACCTACTCTTACAATATCTGAAGTCATACACCCTTTTTTAAAATGAAGGAATGGTACATTATAGCAGATTCCCAGGCATTTACAAACTGGCTAAAATTTCTTTACTATTTGTGATTTGTGACTTCTGACTTGTCCAGGTTTCATAGTAGACAGAAAGGGATCTAGGTCTGGGAGAACTGAATCATCTCTGAACTTTTTTTTTTTTTTTTAAGATTTGTTTTATTTATGCATACAAGAACTGGGGTATAGGCCAGAGGTGCCGAGGGCAGGGGTAGTGAGAGGATTCACCAGAGACAGAGTGGGGAGCAGAACAGACAGACTGAGTGAAATACACTGCTGAGAGGAGCAGTGGTCGAGTCAGGAGAGGTCTGCTGTGCCATGTGGGTTGCTCCCTGGCCAGGGATTGACCTTGTGCTGCAGTGACTGCTGATAGCTGTATAGGTTTTGCCTTAACCCCTTGTGCCACCAGGGAGACCCCTCTGAACAATTTTTGGACTACATTTAAAATGGATGTTTTTGTCCTTAAGTTATATTTGTTTTTTTTAATTTGAAGAAAACTGATTTGTTTCTAATTTGATTTTTAATCAAAGAATGTTATTTGAGTTGACTTAAATTCATAACTGATCCATGAGTTAATTTAAAAGGCTATAAAATTCAGTATTTATCATGTTTGATAGTCCATTGTGGAATTTAATTTTAGGTTCTTTGTTTTATGCAGCAAGTAAGTGTATTCTTGGTGAACTATAATATCACTGTTTATAAGAAAGAAAACTTTGGTAGTCTTAGGAGAAAAGTGACCAACGAATAAGAGATTCTTTAGATATATGTATTATAAAGGCATGCATTTTATGTTTTACTCTTTCTTTTCCCCTTAAGTGGACCTTCCATGGTCAAGAATGTTTTAATAACTGAAAAGAATAATTCTGATGTAGATGATAAGGAAGTTCAGGAAAATCCAGGTAAGTTACTATTTTTTTTTAAGATTTATTCATTTATGCATACAAGAGCTGGGGTATAGGCCAGAGATGCAGGGGGTGAAAGAATTCACCAGAGGCAGAGTGGGGAACAGAACAGGCAGACTGACTGAAATACACTGCTGAGGGGAACAGCGGGCAAGACAGGAGAGGTCTGTTTTGCTATGTGGGTTCCTCTCTGGCCGGCCAGGGATGAACTCGTGCTGCAGAGGCTGGATTGCTTCATAGTGCAGTGTCTAACCCCTTGCGCCACCAGAAAGGCCCAGTTACTATTTTTTCCCCTGTGTTCTTTATTTTTATGGCATAAGGTGTGCTGTTTTATTTAATATATCACCTGTTGCAGATCTGTATTGAGTACCTACTTTTAGAAGCCTTGTTATATGGCTGGAGATTTGTAATAATTTATCCCTAGCTGAGAGAGGGAGGGAAGGAAAAGAGAAAGAATGAGAGATGAGTGACAGTCCTTTCTTCGAAGTAGAACATAGTGAAATAATTTTGCATTTATTATGTTAAGTATTGAAAAGTGTTAAATTGATAAAAGGTATAAATGAAGCAAGATTAATGATGTATTTATGATTACTGAAGCTGAGTGATGGCTAGATTAGTTTCATTATTCTATTTTTTCTACTTTGATATTTGAAAGTCACCGTAATAGGTTGTTAAAATATCTCTTAATGGAGAGTTTTATAACTGTTTTATGCCCCCAAAGAATGTGTTCTTGTAATATAATTTGTTGTACTATTTTTTTCTCCTGAATTTGCCAGTTTTTTTTTCCTTTTACAGTCTTTTTTTCTTGTATTTAGATTTATTATTTGAGTTAGATCTTGTATTTAGTATTTAGGTTGTATTAGATCTATCATTTTCTTGTATTTAGATTATTCTTGCATTTAGATTTTCTTGTGTTTAGGTTTATTAGATGTATTTCTTGTATTTAGATTTATTTAGATCCATGTTATTGCTTTTTATATTTATCTCTCTACATTTTAAACTTGGCAAAGAAAAAGCAGTGAATTATCCTGAATATACTTTTGGCTCAATTTTATATATTTTTTTTTTATTTCTTTTTTGTAGTGTGCTCTTAATTATAGTGGTGATTTTCTTTCACCGAGGAGTTATTTAAAATAGTATTTTATCCAAGATCTTGACTCCACAGTGAAGGACCTGGGATTGAATCTAACTATATCACTTACTAGCTTCATTATCTTAAGAAATTTCAAGATTTTTAGCTTCAACTTCTTTGTATAAAGTTGTTTTCAGTTCCAATCCCTTAGATGGATATAAAGATGAATGTATACTCCCTGCTTAGTTTTACACCTGGTTTATGTTAAATACTCTTGTTGACTATTAGTCTAAGAAGTTATATTTTATTTTGTCTTTGTTAGTAATTTCCAACTTCATTTTATATTTCTAGAGAACTTTAGCCTACATTATTATTTGAATTTATTAAAGGTTTTTTCCTTAGTGTTGTAGGGTACACTCAGAATATATAAAAATCATGGAAAATCTTCCATGGGTGCTTGAGAAAGAGAATATTATTTTTTAATATTATTTTACCTATAAACATTGGTTTATAGGTAACCAATTTAATTGAGGTAACATTGTTTATGATTTAGAGGTACAGAATCACCCTTTAGGTATATGTTACACCACATGCATAACCAAGGTACTGAAAGTCCTCCACCCTAGTCCATTGTGCCCCATCCCACTTTGTTCTTCTCCCTCTCCCTCCTACTCTGATATCCTCAGTTGTTCAATTCAATTTCTAGGATTTGTTATTGGTTTGATTTTACTGACCCTTTGTTTTATTTCTCCTCATTCCATATATAAGAGATTCCTTATTGTGTTTGTCTTTCTCCTTCTGTATTAATTCATTTAACATATGCCTTTCAGTTCCATCTAGGTGGTCACAAATGGCAAGTTTATCGTTATAGTTAAGTAGTATTCCATTGTGTGTATATACACCACATCTTCCTGATCCATTTCTTCTGGTTTTGGGCACTTAGATTGTTTCTATAACTTGACTATTATAAATAGTGCTGCAGTGAATATAGGAGTGCATACTGCTCTTCAAATTAGTGTTTTGTATTCTTTGTATAGATACCTATGAGAATTGTTGGTTCATACGGTAGATCCATTTTTAATATTTTGAGAGACCTTCGTACAGTTTTACATGGGGTCTACACCAGTCTACATTCCCACTAACAGAGTCGTCCTTTTTCTTCACATCCTCACCAACGCTTATTTTTTTTAGTCTTTTGATATGGACCATTCTCACAGGTGTGAGGTGGTATTTCATTGTGGTTTTGATTTGCGTTTCCCTGATGTTACGTAAGTGATGATGAGCAATGTCATGTGCTTATTGGCCAATTTCTATGTCTTCTTTGGAGAAGTGTCTTTTTAGCTCTTTCACCCACTGTTTGGGTGCATTAATTGTTTACTTTTTGTTCCGTTGTATGGGTGCTTTCTAGATCTTGGATATCAACACCTTGTGAGATGTATGGTCTACCATTCAGTTAGGTGCCTTTTTGTTTTTGTGACACTTTCTTTTACTATATAGAAGCTTTTTAGTTTGATGTTGTCCCAATTGTTTATATTCTTATTTATGTTCCTTGCTGTTGGAGATGAATCCACCAGACATCTCATAGCCTGCATTGTGGAGTGTTTTGCCTGCTTTTCTTCTGTGTATTTTATGATTTCAGGTCTTACATCCAAGTCTTTTGTTCATTTTGAATTAATCTTTGTGTATGATATGAGGTAGTTGTCTAGTTTCATTCTTTTGCATGTGGTGGTCCATTTTTCTCAAGCCCATTTATTGAAGAGGCTTTCCTTTCTCTAGTGCAAATTCTTGGCCTCTTTGTCAGAGGTTAACTGTCCATAGATGTGTAAAGTTTGCTTTTGAGCTCTCAATTCTATGCCATGGCCTGTGTGTTTTTATTCTAGTACTATATTGTCGTGTCTATTATATCTTTGTAATATAGTTCAAATCCTTCCTCTTTTTTGGTCAGAGTTCTTTTGGATTTGCATATTGCTTTAGGTAAAATGGCCACTTTGACAGTGTTTATTCTTCCAATCCATGATTCAGGAATGTTTTTCCATTTCTTTGTGTCTTCTGCTTCTTTTAACAATTTCTTATAGTTTTCACTATATAGGTTCTTCACCTCCTTTGTTAGGTTTACTCCAATGTTATTCTTTTTATTGCAGTTATAAATGGGATTTTTAATTTTTCCCTCTCTTTTAGCTCAGTGTTTGCATATAGGAAGGCAGATGGTTTTTGTTTATTGATTTTGTAACCTGCTATTTATTTACCCTTAGTGTGACCTGAGGGCTGGTTTGCCCTTTTATGTGTCCCATAAACTCCTTTGGGCAACTGTAGATACTGGCTATGTAGAGGATCAATCCTTAAATCACTTAACAGAGCACAAAGATATGTGAAAATTTTTTCCCTATAGGATCACTGTATCCTCTGGGATCCGGTCTCAAGCACCTATGCTAGGTTTCCACTCCTATACATACACCAAGCATATTGACCAGAGGGAGCAACTATCCTTTTTTTTTCTTTGAAGACAGCGGAGGCTATTCTCATATACTGCTCATTCATATTTTGAGTATACCTTTTATCTTAGCCAATTCAGAGAGAATAATACCTTGTAACAACTGCTAAGCAACAATCCTTCTAACTCTTGCCAGTGAGACTAGATTTCCGCAATGGACACTGGAATTCGCTTCTCTGCTTACAATTTAGCACACAATTTCCTGCCCACTCCTGGATAAGTTCAATTCTTAAAAAAAAAAAAAAAAAAAACCTTCCAGGACTGTAAACCAAATCTGAAATCGAGGAATACTCACCAGTCAGCAAGTCTGAAGCTCAGAAGAGCTGGATGGACACAAGGGGCTTTTATGCTACCATGGCCAGCCAAGTCAGCTTGATGCTATAGACAGGTTCATGAGAAGTCTCTGGTTCCCTTTGTTGGTCACCACTTGTTGATCTAAATAAACTGGTACATGCAAAATTAAGTGAGTTTATTAAAGAATCATGAGTGATTATTTGAATCCAGGAAACAGTCCTATAGGTGAGAACTGTTTTCGGTATCCTTCATATATATGCTTATTTGCTTTATTTCTTCTCTGTCCTACCAGTTGCCTCCAAGACCCACTGCTATGGGAACATGTTCAAGTGGAGTCTAACCCTTTCTTTACATGTTCTAATGAGGATTACATGGAAAATTGGATTTTAGGGGCGGAATTAACAGCTTTATTGAGATGTACTTCATGTATTATACAACTAATCCATTTATAATATATAATTTAACTGCGTGCCTCTATCACCACATTAATTTTAGAGTACTTTCATCACCCCAAAAAAGAAAAAAACATACTCGGTGGCAGGCATCTTCCTTTCTGTTCCCCCGACAATACCCATGCCCAGGCATCCACCGATCTCCTTTTGATCTATTTAGACTTACCTATTCTGAATAGAGATATATGATTTTATGATTACTAAATTTTCTCTATATCAGCAACTTTATAAAGTATCTAATGCATTCATTCTTAATCTTTTGCTATTGATATAATGGCTTCATTTGAGAATATAGTAAAGACTCCAACATACTATTTCATGATATGAATATTACATACAAAATTGTATAAAAATTTTAGGTGGTTCTTAGATGTTAAGTGTTAGAGTTACATATCACTGGATAATTAAACACCCAAACCTTAGTGAATTAATGCAATAATTGATTCATCTTACTGTTCTGTGGAGTGACCTGGCTTAGCTGGACATTTTTCACCTGGACTCTCAGCATGCCTTTCAAGTGTATGCTGCTGAAGCTGGAGTCATTTGAAAGCCCAAATGGACTGGAAGTCCATGGTGACTCCATTTTTATATTTGGCACTCAGCCAGGGTGGCTTAAATACTCGGGGCTGGCCAAGCATCTCTTTTCTTCCACAAGGCTTTAACATATGGTTAACTTGGGTTTCATTATAACATGGCAGTCTTGGGGTAGTCAGTCTTCATTCATGGTGGCCATCTTTCTGTAGTGCAGTGTACTTCTAAGAGATCCAGGTGGAATCTACACATCTACTTAGGACTTGAAACCCAGAATATTATCATCTCTGCTGCATTCTCTTAAGCAAGTAAGTCCTTAAGGCCAGGAGTGACATAGGAGAAGAGAAGACACTGCCTCTTTAAAATGAACATTTGTCCATAGTAAGGGAAAAAACTGTAATTATGTTCACATGCTGTTTAGCAAACTAAAATTGATGACCTCTGACCTTATTGGCACAATGCTAAACTCAGTACAGTTGTACTATTTTAAAACTTCAAGGATCATAGATTACATTATTAGCATATTAATTGTTCTTTATCCCACCCTACATTTTTATCTACCCAGTGACCAATAGAAAACATTTGTTTTTTGGTCATTTTTATTTATTTTAATTTTGGGATCACATTTTACTCCCCCTTATATGTACATGTTTCACTCACACTCCACTGAACCACTCATTCTATGCACGTCCCTCCCCCATTTTCTCTTCCCTCTCCCTTGTGCCCTCTGGTGACCAGTACATTTTCCCAATAAGTCCAAGATCAGTGCTTGCTGTATTTTGCCAGTGTATGGCTTTATTTGTTATTGTTATTTATATTTCACAAGTGAGTAAAACCATCTAATATCTGTCTTTCACTTCAGAATCTTCCTTTGAGCAAATTTTAATTTTTTTAATACTTAGGTGAAAATGTGGCCCCAACCTCTGTTTTGCTCCAATGCAGGTGAAGTCCTGGTTATTAACAGATAGATTAGATATAGTCATTGTACCAAGATCTAGAGAAATATCGCACAGTTTTTCATTAGTTTTTATTCCTTAACTGTGAAAAGCATTGAACTAATAAGATGTATTTTCAAGTAAATTTTATTTAAAACATACTGAAGTTGACCCAGTAGCACACTTTAACTCAACATACTGTTAGCTGTTGTGTATGATATATTGCTTATATTTTGCAGATGACTCAAGAGTAAAAGGATCTCAAGTAACATCAGAAAGCAAAATACATCACAAATTAGGTAAGATTATTTTTCTCTTTTAATATTTTCATAGGACTTGTTTCTAAATATAATTTAATTTTCCTGAAGCGGGCGGAAAAATTATTTGGATTAATTGATTCATTAAAAGTACATATTTATTTTTCATTAATTACACACTAAATCTTTACTGGTCACTAAGTTTCTTTATTGTTTATTTACAAATCAAATAGCAGTGTCACTTATTGCCCAATAGTAAGGAGCTGGGTGGAAAATTCTATAAGATTATGGCATCCCTGACAACTCCTATTTTTATCCAGTTCGCTGCTAAATAAAGTCATGGTTAGATACATAAATAGGCAAAGCTGAGAGCAAAGGAACCTTTGAAGAGGCCCATTTGAGATTCAGAACTCCATGGTTCTCAGAGAGATAGTTGTGGAATTAGAGTAATTTTTTAATAGTGTGGAATTAGAGTGATTTTAACTTTGTGGAATTAGAGTGATTTTTTAATATTTTTCTTATACACCAGGATGAGTGCTGCTGTACTTAGACCTAAAGAGAACCACTAGGCGTGAAGTTCTCTTTAGTTGCTTCAGCCAGAAAGTTGCTCATACCTTGTCAGTTTTTTGTGGATCCATAATGAGAGACAAATATACCTCTCTCCTTATGTTTATCTTAAATTGGAATCATCCCTAGAGTCAGGAGTAGGCAAAGAGAAATAACAATGCTTCTGAGCAGGGGCTGCAGCACCCAGAGGAGAATCAAGCATTATTTCCAATAATTGTAGGTACCTACTGGTGAGCAAGAACTTTTGTCATAGACAACAATTTTAATAATAACAAAAATATGACCACATTCAGAGATTTGGTTACAGCATAGAAGACTTTTTGATTCTAAAAAATCGTAATTTTTCAGTTAAAGAGGCCAGTAAATGAACAATAAGTAAAGATAATACTGTTGAGAACTGAATTAGTAACTGGTGTTGACATGTAAGAAATTCCTCAGAACATAAAATACAAAAATTGGAAACCATGAAGATAAAAGATACGCAGTCGAAATAATGTAGAGACAGCAGACAAAGCATGTAGGATTTCTAGGGAAAAAAAGAAACAGATGGAGGAGAGAGAACAGTTAAAGAAATAGTTTAAGCTTCTCTGGATTAAAGATGACTTGAATCTGCAGTTTGAATGAATTGCCAACTACCAGTCAGAATTACGGATATAAGTGATTAAAATCCTTGTATTTTAAAAATACAGGGAAGCTTCTACATCAAAACAAAAAATTATGAAGGAGAAGAAATGAGTAGCACTTTTCATCTGTGTAACTCTAGAAAATAACTACAGCCTGCTTTCAGAAAAGCATTACAATCCAATAATCTTTTATCTGGTAAATATATTTTTCTTACTGATAAGTTAACTTATTTTGCAGATAATGCAAGAATGAATTTAGTATCCTCCATGTAAATACCCTTGTAAGATATTCTAAACAAGTACTGTGTAAATCATAACTGGGTACAAAGAGGAAACAGTGGTGAGGAATGATTATTACATTATATATGACTAAATTTAAATGATGTGTATTTGTTTTCTGTTGCTTTGTACCGAGTTACTACCAATTTATGGATTTAAACAACAAACATTTATTATCCCATGGTTTTCATTGGTTAGGAACTCAGACAAAAGTTAGCTGGGTCCTGTGTTCTAGGGATATCACAAGCTGCAATCAAAAGTGTCAGCTTGGACTGTGATCGCATTTGAGGCTCCAGATCCTCTTCATGTGATTAAGGGAAAAGAAAGGAATAATCATTGATCAAACCAATAAAAGTTAGGAGAAAGAAAAATCATTAATATAAGATAATTAAGAAATATAAAGTAAAATGGAAGAACTAAGAGGAAGCATATTGTTACACTATGTGTATTAAGTTCCTTTAATATGATAGAAACTATCAGATTTGGTTAAATAATACAAATCAAACTACATATTTATACTATGCTCTTAAAACAAGTTTTTAAATGAAAGATCATCAAAGAATTAAGTAGGTATACCAGAAGAAAATAGTAGTGTAATTTAAGTATTAAACAAGGTAGAAATTTTTCCCCAACCTGCCCCCAAGCAAAGTAGAATTTAAGATTAAAATAAAAGTGTAGGGCCTCCCCGGTGGTGCAGCGGTTGAGCACTGGGCTGCGAAGCTGCCTGCAGCCTCTGCAGCACCTGTTCCATCCCTTGCCACTGGCGAGGGTCCCACATGGTGCAACAGACCTCTCCTGCCGTGCCCACTGCTTCCTTCAGCAGCGTACTTCGTCAATCTGCCTGTTCTGCTCCCCGCTCTGGCTCTGGTGAATTCTCTCACCCTCCTGAACTTCTGACTGTACCCAGTGTGCGTATAAATAAATAAATAAATCTTTAAAAAAAATAATAAAATAAAATGAAAATGTAGGATAAAGAAAGGACATGTAATGGTAAAGTGAACAATTTATGAAGAAGATGTAAAAAATGCGCAAAACAACCTAGCAGCTAAATAAGAGAACATGAGGAGTTTTTTTTTTTATTTAGATAATACAGTTAGACTGGGAGGTTTTATTTTATGTGTGGGTGTGTTGTGTCACTTTAAAAAAATTTTTTTTATCTTTTTTTTTTTTTTCCTCCTTTCTGTTGGTTGGAGAGTGCCGACTTTGTGGGTGGGGGTGGGTAGCAGGGTTCTGAGCTTTCCTCCCTTCTAGACCTCTTTTATGGCAACTTTCTTCTTTGGGCAGTTTGCCAGAGTCGCCCGTTTATCTTCTGTGTCCCAGTTCTCTCAGGGACCTGTTGTTTTTCCTCCCTATTAACTTTTTTTTATGGGAGGTCTTACTGGCAGCGTCTCCTCGCCACCATGTTGATGACGTCTCAAGACTCTTTGTTGTTCATTTTTAAACAATATTTGCTTCCCCCCAACCCCTCAGGTGTAGTCCCTATGGAATTTCCTTCCCCAATGTACCCCTGCACCATCACCTCAGTCCGCTGTTCTCCTCCCTCCCTCCTTCTGATCCCTCTCCCTCCTCCTCCCCTACAGTATGTCTCTGATTTATAATTGTCTGTTTTTGCTTTGTTGGGTTTTGTGCTGTTATTATTTTTTTACACCGATGTCTTATTTGGTTCCCTTATATTCCTGCTATAAGTGAAACCATCGATATTTTTCTTTTTCCTTCTGGCTTATTTCACTGACCATAATTCCTTCTAGCTCCATCCATGTTACTGCAAATGGCATGAGTTTATCTTTTTTGGTTGCTGAATAATATTCCATTGTGTATATATACCACATCTTCTTGATCCATAGACTGGAATGTTTTAATAACACATTTTCAGAATTAGACATCTCTTGCAAACAAAAAAATAGATAAGAACATAAGAATTTAATTAGATAGCCAACAGACTCAACTGGTATGTAGAACTTTGTGTTATTGTGATACAGTGAGTGGGTTATGTGTATGTATACACATGGACACATGTATACATAACCTTTTAAATTACAAATAAACTCTTGTGGAGTACCTAGATGGTTTTCAGTTTGATTTTTGTTTTCTGTTTCTATTCGAAGCACTACTACTGAGAATGTGTTATTGTACCTATCTATGGCTTTGCCCATTTTTTGTGTACATTTTTGCAAATTCATTTTCTCAAAATGAAATTTCTGAGTCAAAGAGTTTAACAGGTATTATCAAATTGTCTGCAATCAGTTTCAATTTCTACCTATGGTATATGACAGTACCTGTGTGCCTTTAACATCATTAATCCTGGGTATCATTGAGTTTTCAAGTCTTTTCCAAACTAGCAGCCTATTTTGTTGTTGACATTTCCTTACATATTAGCATAAATGTTTTAAAATGGTTTTAGTGTTTTGTCTAGAAGTATTAGCATTTAGGAGGTAATATAATCTTTTCAATGCAAAGCATCATCCAACTAAACATTTATATATATACATTTTTGTTTCTTATATTTTTACAGTATTGCCATCCAACACACCAAATGTTCGCAGGACCAAGAGAATACGAATGAAGCCTTTGGAATACTGGCGAGGGGAACGCATAGATTATCAAGGAAGGCCGTCAGGTAAAATTCAATTTATGCTTTAATGTCTGACAGTAAAAAATAATAATTGCAGTTTACTTATGTATGTTATATGCCAGCTAAGCCTACGTATCTACATACATTTTGTTATTTAATCATTCCCCCAAATGTGACAGGAATAAACGATTTTGTTTGAGTACTGTAGAGTACTCTAGAGACAGAGTTAGAGATATCTCTTAGTAGCAATTTGAGGTGAGTGCGTGACTTTATGGAACTTTATGAACTATTTCCTTACTATCCACCAGGTTTCTAATTGAACAAAATGAAATATTAGATCAGAACATAAGAAAATTATAAATGGTAAAGGTTAAGTATTCCCTTTTTATTCTTATTTCATATTTTTCTACATAAATGGTAAAGGTTGGGCACAAAAGTATTGTGAGTGTTATCTTAAAATTATTTCCTTTCTTAAAGAATATAGCTAAGTCAAAGAACTAAACTCACATGTGGACTACTATAAATAATTCATTGCTGGCCTTTGTGTGTTTTTTTTTTTTTTTAAATTGCCAGGCATGACTATTGATTTTACACAACTGAAGTCATTCAGTCATGTTTCACCAGTGCTTCTAGATTTAGAATAAAAGACATTTACATGAAATAGGTTGGTAGTATGTGTTATTTGAATTGTTAACTATAGAATATAGTAATAGTAATGTTTTCTTTGGTACTTTGAAAGGAAATGTGTTATATTTAGAGTTTTGTTTCTCACTTTTCATTTTCTCAGATATGAAATTTTACCATTTTTGTTAATTTCAGGGGGCTTCTTTGTGACTGGTGGAATACTATCCCCAGATGCAGTATCATCTAAAAGGAAGGCAAAAGGAAACATGGAAAAAATCAACAAAATTGTTAATAGAAAAAGGATCTGTCTTGATAATGATAAAAGAAGTATGAACTTATTCCTGAAAGTAACTTCTAGATTTTCTTTTAAGTGACAGTACTTTGAAAAGTAGCACTTTGAAAATTTTGAAATTTATCTCTAAAAACTCAGATGTGGTACTATAGGGTAAAAATGACCACCTTTCCCCCACAAATTTTGAAATAAAATTTGAAATTCTTTTAAAAAAATCATTAATGGCATAGTATAAATAATTTCTTCATAAGCAAACCACACAAACGAAACTCCTTTTCTGTCCCCAAGCTGTGGTTAAAATTGACATTTTAATGAATTTTTCTAAAGTGTAGTACATGCTCTCAGAGAATATACAGAACAGTCATTTAACTTCTTGATGATGCAAGAGTTCAAGAGTTGTTATGTTTTGGGCCTCCCCTGGTGGCACAGCCGTTGAGCGCTGGGTTGCGAGGCTGCCTGCAGCCTCTGCAGTGCCAGTTCGATCCCTGGCCACCGGCGAGGGTCCCACACACACACACACACACACAAAAAAAAAAAAAAAAAACAACAAGAGTTGTTATGTTTTAATAGGCTTATAGAAAATGTGTTTAGGATGTATGCTTCTATAGTAAATCATTGTGGTTTTTGAACTTTTATCAAAGTGGTCATTTTTAAATAGGACTATACCTCTGCTTATTTTCTGCTACGACTTGTCCATTATTGTATTTCATACTAGTTTTTCTTCAGTTGAAAAGAATTTTAAGTAGTTTGTATTTCAATGATACTTCTTTTGCAGATAATAAATTAGCGATAAATCTGAATATACCTCTGGGAGATCCTTTGCAACCAACGAGGGTAAAGGACCCAGAAACAAGAGAGATTATTCTTATGGGTAAGATAAAGGATGGTATTGAAAATGTTTAGTTTAAAAAACAAAGGACAAAAACTTGATTTGTTGACTGACTTTTATCTACTTTCCATCTCTTGCTCCATTTATTTCAGAGCAAAAATCCAGTAGAATGTCTAATGCTAATAAGCAGCCTGTGTGAGGGCTGTTCTGGGGGAGCACTGATGGCAAGTAATCTCCAGGGACACAGAACACCATGAATTTGTCCTTTGAACTACAAGTACCATTGTCAAGACTGTTAACTCCTACAGTGGTGTTCAGGAGGTCACATTGAGACAAGCCATTTATGGGGAATTGTAGCAAACAGACTCAGGATATACTCTTATTTTGATCCTAGGCAGGGATTGTAGATAGTATTAAGACAGCCTTCCAGGTCTTGGAATGCCAGTAATGGTACCTGGTAGGTGAAACCTTTGGGGAGCATGACTAACAGAACAATCAGTCAAACAAATAACAGGCTTAAACCTAAGGCCTACAGAGGGTTCTGGAAGGTGCCTGTTATATTTAGTAGGTTTTAAACATTCAGTGTCTGGAGACTGTGGGAGTTCCCAAGGGTTTGACTAATGTGTGGTGGGGATAAGTGACATTCCACTGGGCAATATTTATATATTTGAAATACATGAATGTTTCAACAACTTACTTCTTTATTCAATTATTTGGCAATAGAGGTAGAAGTACAGAGAATTTTATTTAGTGTTAACATTAATAGCATTACCATACTGTACGAGGTTTGAAAAATTGTGTTGTTAGGCGTTCATTATTTTTGTCTGTTTTTGAGCCTCTATTCTCTATATTCTATAATGTGTAGGATTACTAACATTCCTGAGTAGCCAAGGAAACAGTGTCAGAAGCTACTGATAGATAAGAATATTAGTTACAGATTTGGAAAGGTTTGTAAGTAAAAGGGAAATTCAAAAGTAAGATAGTAATTTGTGAGTAACAGAATTCTGTTTACTGAGTACCTTTACCTGATAAGTAAATACCTTGTTATTTAATAATCTGTCAATCAATTACAAAAGAATAGTGGCATAATGATTAAGAGTTATGATAAACTTTTTAAAGATACGGAATTCTTATCTCTTTATTTTATTTTCCAACCTTCCTATAATAGAAATAATAATTACTGCCATTAATATTAATAGCTAAGACCTACCTAATGTTTACTTTGTGCCAGTGTCTTAAATATCTCACACCTGTAACTCATATGAAATATGAACTTTCTTTTTTAATCTCATTGTATAGCAAAGAAAATGGAGAGAGACAGACAGACATTGATAACTTACCTAAATTCATAGAGCTTGTAAGGCAGAGGGAGGATTTGTCCTCTGGCATTCTGTCTCCAGAGTCAGTTAACTTAATCACTTCTGTCTAAGACAGGTTTACATCTAGTCGTAACTATTATATGTGTGTGTGTATTGTTGCATCACTATTTTTTGTATTTATTTTTACTTCATATTTATTTTTTCCCTTAGATCTTGTAAGGCCACGAGATACTTACCAATTTTTTGTTGCGCATGGTGAACTGAAAGTATATAAAACACTGGATACACCCTTTTTTCTACTGGAAAATTGACATTAGGACCACATCAAGAAAAGGGAAAGCAGCATGTTGGCTCAGATATATTGGTAAGTTTATTTCTCCATATATTTATCTTTTTGATATTGGTGCAAGTCTGATTTATTGAACTTGATGAAGCATAAAGTGCTGTTTCCTCAAAAATATTACTACAGTGCTCAGAATTTTTTTTTAATTTGTTAATCTATTGAGAGTTAATCAATCTGTGCTTACTTAAAAGTTGTTCTGTGCATAGCAGTGTAACCTTGAGATTCAGAACTTTGATTCAGATGTCTTTAGAACAAAAATCTTAGTGTATAGGTTTGTAAACAATCGTTAAAATTTTAAAGCTTGAGGGGATTTATAGTGATTAAATCTAAATCTCGTTCTCCATCATGCAGTTTAGCAATAATGAGGTAAAAAGAATTCACAATCTTGTAATTAGTTAGCAGCAGACTGGGCACTGGAAGCTAGTTGCTTGAAAAAGTACTCAACAGTATATTATCGTATATAGCAAAATTGCTGGCCTAAGTTATCTCTGTGTTTCTCTCTTTCTCTCTCTCTCTTTTTTTTTAGATTTATTTATTTATGTATACAAGAACTAGAGTTCAGGCTAGAGGTGTGGGGGGTGAGAGGATTCACCAGAGACAGAGTGGGGAGCAGAACAGTGTATTTCAGGCAGATTGACTGAAATACACTGCTGAGGGAGCAGCAGGTGATGTTAAGAGAAGTCTGCTGCGCCTGTGGGTAGTTCCCTGGCAGGGGATCGAACTTGTGCTGCGGTGGCTGCAGATAGCTTCATAGGTTGCATCCTAACCCCTTGCACCACCAGGAAGGCCCTGTGTTTCTCTCTTTAGAGATTCACCCCCTTGCAACTTTTATGTATCATGTGTATGTATGTATATATTAGATATTCATGCGAGTTCATTATTGTATATTTCAAAAACCTTGTTAGTAAAATGTGTGCAAAGTGGGGAGGCTTGTGTTTAGAGAGCCAAACTGAATAAATAAGGAAAAAACATAGAAATACATGCTACAGTATCTTTTCTCTAAAGTTGATATAAATTTTGTTGTTGTTGGGCCTCCCCTGGTGGCGCAGGCGGTTGAGCGATGCGCTGTGAGGCTGTCGGCAGCCTCTGCAGCACCGATTCCATCCCAGCCAGCCGGCGAGGGTCCCACATGGCGCGGCAAACCTCTCCTGTCTCGCCCGCTGCTCCCCTCAGTAGTGAATTTCGTCAGTCTGCCTGTTCTGTTCCCTGCTCTGTCTCTGGTGAATCTTTTCTCCCTCCCACGCATCTGACCTGTACCCTGGTTCTTATAAAAAATAAATCTTTAAAAAAATTTTTTGTTGTTGTTGTTTTATTAAATTATAAGGGTTCTGGGCCTCCCTCATGGCCTAGGTGTTAAGTCTCAGCACTATCACCACTACAGCCTGAGTTCCATCCCCGGCCAGGGAGCTAACCCACTTATACCTCTCCTGTCTCACTTGCTGCTCCCCTTAGAAGCTTATTACAGTAAATCCACTCTGTCTCTTGTGTACCCTCTCAGTCCCAGCACTTCTGGCCTTCACCCCAGTTCTTCTACACAAAAAATATATAAATTATAAGAGTTCTTTTAGAGCTTTTTTTCAAACACTTCTTTCCCATTTAGGAAATCAGTATGTCATAGTGGTTAAGAACATGAATTCCGGAATCAAACTAGTTCAAATCCAACTTTTCCATTTCTATCATGACCTTAGAAAGTCACACCCTTAGTGCCCTGCCTTGTCTTCTTCATCTCTGAAAAACTAATATCTATACTTACTTAGTACCCATCTCACTGGTATATATATACATTGAATGAATAAAAATAAAGTGCTCAGAACATTGGCTGGCCTAGAGCAAGTGCTATTATAAATGCTAGCTGCATTGTGGTAGTTTAGGCTCGTTTCACAAAGTGGTTTAAAAAAAAGGGAAGTAGGAGGAAGGCGAATTCTCTGAAGCAAAGAAAAAAAAATCCCAATGGCTGAATCTCAAAATTTGAATTTTGAAGTTTAAAAGCCTTGCAGTTTTTATTTAGTTGCCTTCCCAAAACCAGATTATTTGCAGGATTCTGCTATCTATGTATAAAACGTAAAATTTGCCATGTTTGATTATGGAAGTCCGTATGCCTGAAGAGATTTATCTTCTCTTATTTTATTACTCTTGGTACTTGTGTAAATGCATGACTTTTTTTGTCTTTTTTTTTTAAGATTTATTTTTATATTTTATACAAGAACCAGAGTACAGGGCCTCCCCAATGGCACAGCGGTTGAGTGCTGGGCTGTGAAGCTGCCTGTAGCCTTTGCAGCACCTGTTCGATCCCCAGCCACCAGCAAGGGTCCCACATGACGACGTGCAGACCTCTCCTGCCGCGTCCGCTCCTCCCCTTAGCAGTGTATTTCATCAGTCTGTCTGTCTGGCTCTGGTGAATTCTCTCACCCTCCCGTGCTTCTGACTGTACCCAGTGCTTGAATAAATAAACAAATAAACAAACAAACAAATAAATAAATAAATCTTTAAAAAAAACTGGGGTACAGACCAGATGCATGGGAGGGTGAGAGGATTCACCAGAGACAGAGCAGGGAACAGAACAGGTAGACTGACGAAACACACTGCTGAGGGGAGCATCGGGTGAGATAGGAGAGGTCTGCCGTGCCGTGTGGGACCCTCCCAAGCCGGTCGGGATCGAATCAGCACTGCAGGCTGTGGACAGCTTCACAGCATGGCACTCAACCACCTGTGCCACCAGGGGAGGCCCTTGTCTTTTTTTTTTTAAGATTTATTTTTTATTTATACAAGGACTGGGATACAGGCCAGAGCACAGGAGGGTAAGAGGATTCACCAGAGAAAGAGTGGGGAGCAGAACAGGCAGATGGACCAAAGACACTGCTAAGGGGAGGAGCGGGCGACAGGAGAGGTCTGCCGTGTCATGTGGGTATCTCCCTGGCCAGCCAGGAATCGAACCAGCACTGCAGAGGCTGCGGACAGCTTTACAGCACTGCACTCAACTGGCGGTGCCACTGGGGAGGCCCCGTTTTTTGTCTTTTTGTTCTTTCTTTGACTCATTAGTCAAATTGAGTAGTCTGGTGTCCTAAACTTGGAATCATTAAAGAGAGGTCCATAAAAACCTAGCCATTTTTCTAATATAAATGGTGCCCATCTATACTATAGTTTTTCAGCTTTACTATAGTATAAAAGCAATATGTATTCAGTAAAAACTGGGTGGCAGCAGCAGCAGCAGCAATGCTCCCAGCCAGCATTTTCAGTTTGTGATATTATCACTTTACAATGGGTTTATTCAGACATTGTAAGTTGAGGAAGGTCCATATAGTAAAGTGACATTCTTTACAGTGATTCTAAGTTTTCATAAGCCAATAAATAATAATGAAAAAAAAAAAGACTTTTTTCCCTGTATAGTTTCCTATTGCCAGTCTAAAAAATGACCACAAATTTTGTGACTTGAAAGAACACCCACTATTATCATAGTTAGGTCAGTTATAAAAGTCTGGTGGACTTCACTATTTCGAACCAAGATATGGGCAGATCTGTATTCTTCTCTGGAGGTTCATAGGTTGAATCTGTTTTCAAGTTCTGTGGTTAGCAAAGATCAGTTCCATGTATTTAAATGGCTGAGGTTCTCGTTTCTTCACTGGCTATTAATCAGTATGTTATTCTCAAGATCTGGAAATAGTCTGTATTCCTTGGTTCCTGACCCTCTTCAGTGCTAACAACAGTGTATCTCATGTTTCATTTCTCTCACTTCTCTGTTTCATCTCTCCAAGGCTTCCAGCAGGAGAAATTTTTATTTCTATTTTTAAGGGCTTATACAACTAGATTAGACCCAACTAGATAACTCAAGGTTATCTTTCTAAGGCCCCTTTTACTACCTAACAGTAAATTCTGAAGATTAGCATCTGGGCATCTTGGCTGGAGGCTGTGTGTGATGGCAGCGGCGGGGCGGGTGGGGTGAGGGGTGTGTGTGTGTGTGTGTGTGTGTACGGGGGAGGGTTACTAGGGCCCTTATTTCCTTAATTCTTTGTTGTGGTTCAACTTGAAATGAAATTGGTTTTTAAATTTACAGGTTTTTATGTTAAGTTTGGTAACCTTTTATGTACCTTACATGAAACACCTTATGTGATAACAACTGGGGATTCATTCTTTGTTCCTTCAGGTAAGAATAATTAAAGACATTCTCTTTCACATATTATAGCATTTTTATAGATACTCATGAGCACCCTGAAGATTGAAACACAGTGATCAAAATTAAGCATGATGTCATTGATGCTAAAGAAGCTTGGTACATATTTTCTTTTAGTTTTATCACTAAAGAAGTATTTTAATACTTGAAATTTGAATATATGAAATGTGAAGAATTGTGAAATACAAATAAATACAAGAAAATATAAGAATTGCTTATTGCTGAAAATATTTACTTAGAATATAGGTTGTCTCCAGGATAGAAGAAAAGTTACTATCTTTAAGACATCGTGTAGTCACACAATTTTGAGTAGGTTATTTATTTTAAGATTTATTTATTAGGCCCTCCCTGGTGGCAGGGGTTAAAGACACAGCGCTACTGCCAGCCACTATGGCACAAGTTCAGTCGGCTAGGGGGCTAACCTACATGGTACAACAGACTTCTCCTGTCTCACCCTCTACTCCCCTCAGCAGTGTTTTGCTGCATAAAAGAACTGGGGTGCAGGCCAGAGGTGCAGAGGTGAGAGGCTTCACCAAAGACAGAGTGGGGAGCAGAAAAGGCATATCTGCTGAAGTACACTGCTGAGGGGAACAGTGGGCGAGACAGGAGAGGTCTGCTGTGCCATGTGGGTTAGCTCCCTGGCCTGGGCTCGAACTCATGCCACAGTGGCTGGCAATAGCTTGATAGGGCTGACACTTTAACCCCTGCACCACCAGGAGGCCCTTGAGTAGGTTATTTAAACATACAGAATATTGTATGTTTGAAGAACACAGTATTGAAGAATACGGATTTGGGGAATAGGAATTTTAATTTGTTCATTTGTTTTCGTTCATTCAACAAACGTGAATGAGAGTCTGCCTAGCATTGCTCTAAGAGTGAAGGATATATAAGTGAACAAAATAGGAAAAAAATTCCTGCTGTCATGGAGCTTACATTCTAATGAAAACAAAAAAATATTTGTATGTACCAGCACTGTTGTGAATACAACATTTACTGATGCAGTTAAGTTTAATATGTATCAGTTTCTTATATATAGAAAGTTACAGTATGGTACTCAGTCCTGTAAAACCTACTTTATGTGTGGCTGGCTATTCATCTATATTTCATTTTTGCTGTTATTTGTCAACTTATTTAAGAGTAGCTTTTACTTAATATGTTACATTTTTACTATTTTATTTATGTTACCTTTCATACTTACTTGTACATGCATGTGTCTGGTTTAGGGGACTCCATAGCAGTTCCAAAAATTTAACAATGATTGGATGCAGGAAGAGATTTTACTTCCTGAACCCTTGTCTTTTTGCATTCATTGTCAGAATGACAATGAAGGTTACATTCTTTCAAACCTTATCTGGATCATAGGCAGTGGCTAACACAGATTTTTCAGTTTGTGGAATTAGTTACTTAGGGTTAGGTGGACTGATTATTTTTATTTGGTGCTGCTATATATATAATTGCTTAGTGATGACTATTTAATCAAGAGGAAATGATTTCTATGGAAATAATTTTCTTATCACTCTATTTCTAGGTAATTATTACAACATCAAAAATCTTCTGGATGAGCAAAGTGTACTTCTTTTTACTCAGATAAAAAGATGAAATATGAAGCAAAGTTTAGATGTGTATGTGCGTGCATGTGCATGAGTGTATATATACACATATACACACAACGGTTTGTACAGTTGGAACATTTCTCTTTGTAATTATTTGCACTATTTTAAAATAATAAAATTTTATTTAGTTTTCTGTTACTTGTATCAGATATTTCAAGTTCCCATATCTTAATTTTTCCACAAATATACACTTGACCTCTAGTGGTTCCCATGCTTATAATATTTTAATAATATAAAATCAAATTATTGCTTGCAGTGAAATACAATATGTTTATTTGTCAGAAGATATCTGATTAATATATCCATTTATTTAAAAGTCATTTCCAAATTTTAGTTTTAAATCACTAATTGTTAAGACAACCAAAAAATAGAGAACTGTAGAAAATAGTACATCTGTATTAGTTTCCTTGGACTTTTGTAACAAACTAGTACAAACTGGGTGACTTAAAATAACAAAAATTCTGGAGCGTCAGAAATCAAAGTATCCGCAGAGATTCTCTCTCTCTCCTCTCTCAATCTCTGTCTGAATCTCTCTGAAACCTTTAAGGGAGAAGCCTTTCTCTCTTTGGTGTTCTTTTAACATCAGTAGTATTTTTTGTTAGAGACTGTCCTGTGCCATTGCTTTCTGTGCTCGGTTCCCTTCACCTTTCTAATATTCAGTTAAATATCTCACTAAATACATCTAGGCCATGGAGTCTAATTTTTATTTTTTTATCTTATTTTTTTAAGATTTATTTTATTTATACAAGAGCTGGGGTACAGGCCAGAGGTGCAGGAGGGTGAGAAAATTCACCAAAGACAAAGTGGGGAGCAGGGCAGGCAGTCGGACCGAAAGCACTGCTGAGGGGAGCAGCAGGCGAGACAGGCGAGGCCTACCACACCATGTGGGTCTCTCCTGGCCAGCCGGGATTCGAACCCGTGCTGCAGAGGCTGTGGACAGCTCCATAGTGCTGCGCTCAACCCAGTGTGCCACCAGGAGACCCAAGAGTCCAATTTTTAGTTATATTTTTTGTGGTATGTCTGTGTATATATATGTATATATGTGTATATATGTCTGTGTATGTGTGTATATATATACGTATACATGCTATAATTACAAACATAGTTGATGTTTCATGGTAAATTATACTTAGGCCAGCCTCCTACTCATGTTTATGTTTAATTGTTAAACATATATTCGGA